TTCATCGCAGGTTGATTGTGATTCCTCTTTCTTATCTACGCCGATTAGATTCGTTGAAGTACACTAGTATTGCGGCCTTGGTTTCCATGGCCTACTTGGTTGTTTTGGTGGTCTATCATTTCGTTCTCGGAGATACAAAAGAAGACCGTGGCCCGATTCGTGTCGGTCACTGGGCAGGCGCAGTACCAACTCTCAGCAGCCTGCCAGTCATCGTGTTCGCATTCACATGTCATCAAAATGTAAGTTTACACTGCTGCAAAAACGATGGACATATCTAACAAGCCGTCTAGATGTTCTCTATCCTCAATGAAATCGGCAACAACAGCCATTTCCGCACAACAGCAGTTGTTCTCGCCAGTACCGGCAGTGCAGCTGGAACCTACATCCTTGTCGCAATTACCGGCTATCTCTCCTTCGGCAACAGTGTCGGCGGCAACATTGTTGGAATGTACCCGCCCGGTGTGCCAGCAACAATCGGCCGCGCTGCAATCGTCATGCTAGTGATCTTTTCCTACCCGCTCCAGTGCCATCCATGCCGAGCATCAGTCGATGCCGTTCTGAAATGGCGCCCCAGACCCAAAGCCAGCGGCACCGAAGGCTCCCCACACCGCCATCCACTGCTTGGTCCTCGTGGAAACCGCACTCCCGAACCTATGAGCGATCTTCGCTTCTCAATTATCACGACTACTATCCTAATTCTCAGCTACATTGTGGCCATGACTGTGTCCTCTCTCGAAGCCGTGTTGGCTTACGTTGGTAGCACCGGCAGTACGAGTATCAGTTTCATTCTGCCTGGCTTGTTCTACTACAAGATCTCTTCGCCAGACTCGCCTACCCACCGTGGTTTGATGAAAGAGGATGATGAGGCAGATGATGATCTCTCAGAGGACGATGATGACGAGGATGAGGGTTCTCTTTCCCGCTCATTAACTGAGAGTGGCCTCTTGCTTCGTGGCAAGAAACACTGGCGCAAAGCCCTGTTGCGACCGCTTAGTCTGGCATTGGCTGCTTACGGCTTCCTTGTCATGGTCGTGTGCCTGATTACGAACACTTTCTTCATAGCCTCGCATTAGTTGGCTTTTACTGCATAACTTGTTTTGTGCTCCCAGTCGTGCAAGCTTTGTCACCTCTGGGTAGAACATAAAAGTTAAGTTTGGTAAATTCTGTTTCTGTTTGTCTTTCCTACACAGGACTAGACCATTGCATCTTTGCTATCTATACTTGACTAGAGTTTCTGCTGTTTTCCCCGAGGGTTTTGCACAGTCCATCCTTGGTCCCATTATACTCGTTCATGTTGGGTGTTTGGAGTATTGTATCTATCATCTTGCTTGCTTTTTATACTTCAGTAATTTCTTTGGCAGTCTCCATTTTGCCTGTTTTACGCATTTGTGTAGCTTGATAAGTGTACAAAAAATATAATGAGAGGAGTGGCTTCCAATATGAGGGATAGATTTATTATGAAGGGAAAATGTACTGCAGTGCAATTCAACCCAAGTCAAGAACACGAAGATCCAAGAACCATGGTAACTCCAACGTCCAGCAACTATTTGCCCCTATCTCCTAAAAAGTAGATGACAAGTTAACGACCAATTCGGTACATCCGAGAGCTACAGCCAAGCTCAGTTGTTATTGTTAGCACCATTCAGAATGCGCAGAATAGACATGAACAAATTCAGCACATCCAAATAGAGCGAGATAGAAGCCGCGATTTCCTCCTCAACATGGTAGTGGCGCATGACCAGCTGCGTATCAACAAGGATATATCCAGAGAAGATGAGCGCACCCAAAGCACCATAGATAATCTCAACGGTACTCCCAAAGGGAACGAACATGGCGACAAACCCAAACAGAACCATGAACCAGAGTGCACCGAACAGGTACGGCATCCAGTCCGTGAAATCGTACTTGGTCTGGCATGCGAACAACGTCAAAGCAACAAAGATACCAAGCGTCAGAACGAGCGCTTGCACCACGATTTTGGACTCGTAGAAGGATGTCGCAACGCTGATCGAGTATGCCTCTAACAAGGTAAACCCGGAGAGGAATAGAAGGTTTGCCGGGTATGACTTGCGCTTCCAGAAGGTTGCCAGCATGAAGCCCAAGGCACCGAAGACGGAGATTATCATCAACCAGGGGTGGCCTTGGATCCAGATGCGGTAGCTTTCATTGAAGAAGGAGATCGAGCTCATGACTGTTGTGAGAAGGAGCTGAACAGTTCTGGGTGGGTGAGAGGGTTAGTATTTAATATCTATAGTGAAGCTGCTCGATGCAGGGGTCTGCGTTATTGTACTTACAGGATCGAGTAGACTTTCCGGACAAATTGCATGCGGATGTCAATCGTGCCTTCGGCTACCATACCACCGAACTGTGCTTCTGGTTAATTTCTGCTACTTGCTTTGTTTGGATCGTTGCTTACCTTGAAGTCATCCGGTAGGTTATCATTTTCGCTGCGAGGCTCCGGCTCTGCTGTAGCCTGGTATGAGGGAGGGGCTTGGGAGAAGTGGTTGTCTTCGAAGGAGTCCCGCTGGGGAGCAGGCTCATATCTGGCATTTGCAGCCATTTTGTTGGTATCTGGGGATCGAGGATGCTCTGTGATAATGACTTCGTGAAGAAAGAAACAAGTAAGAGTGAAGCCTGGAGGCGTAGTGCATGTGACGTGACGGATCACGTGTGATAAGCAAATGTCCGGGGTGTTTAACCTAAGGTGTCTATTTTCTGACTGCTTAGTAAGATGACTGCACCTATATAAGTTACAAAGGTAACCCCATGGGATTGGCGAGAATTTGGTGTAGAGCCGCATATATTGTCCTCGCTGAATTCCAATCGGTATTGCTTTGAGTGGGAGAGTTGCTCTGGGACCAACCAGTTGTGCCTTTCCCTACAAAGCCGACAAGCTAAGCAAGTACGAAGCAAGAGATAAGTTATATAGTCCAAAAGAATTCTTTCCTGGCATTATTCTTTTATGCTACTGCATCCGAAACTGGCCATCATTGGACTGACCTAGGTGAAATGCTTCGTATTAGATCATTGCACGAGCGTGTCGCATATAATTGGCTCCGAGTGTGCTAAAACAGGTATGCATGGTCACGGTGGAGATTCCCGTTGCCCTAATTTCTCCCGCCGGAGCTCCAACGAAACCCATATTATGTCCCTAAGTTTGCCCCCCGTCAGGTCCTTATCTCTGTCGATCGCATCACCTCATGGCTTTAGACCAGTGGGGGTTTTCCTTTGTTTTAGTGTCGCCGCTACTGTATGCCCCTCTTGCATTTGTAATCGAACAGATTGATAATCAGCATCCCACATTCCAAGGTTAGATAATGGTGTGTTGATAGAAGTACAGTTAAAGGGCCTGTATCTATCTGCCTAGTTTGTATCAACGCACTGATTCAATTGTCTCAACTTTCTACATTTTCGACTTGTACCGTTTATACTACGCTACTATGCCTTCCACTGTTGCCTTTGTTACCGGTGCAAACCGCGGACTGGGCTTCGGACTGGTGAAAAGTTTCGTGGCCAACCCGAACTACGTAAAGTCATCCTCTTACCTGGCATATCCGTTGGGAGCTAGCTAATTGAGCCACTCGTAGGTTGTCGTTGCTGCGGTCCGTGATCCTGCACACCCAACCGTTAAGGAACTATCCGAGCTATCCACGGGCGAAGGTAGCAGCATTATCGTCGTGAAGTATGATGCCGGTGTTGAGCAGTCCGCCTTTGACGCTGTTAAAGAAGCCAGCGACAAGGGCGTTGATCATATTGATTACGTTGTTGCCAATGCCGGTATTGCTAAAGCGTATCCCCTTGTCAAGGATGCCAAACGCGCCGACGTCCTCGAGCATATTGAGGTAAACGTCTTAAGCGTTATCTCTCTCTACCAAGCCACTCGACCTCTGCTTGAAAAGTCGATCACTAAGCCTGTCTATGCTATCATGGGATCTGGAGCTGGTGCATTAGGGTAAGATATTTCTCTTAGATTCCCCTATGTGGTTACCATTTCTTTCGTATGTATATCTATACTGATTCACTCCCTAGTCGTCAGCCTCCCGTTCCCAGTGCAGTATATGGAGCTTCCAAGTCTATACTCCCGTGGTACGGTGTTCGAATTAATGCCGAAGATGAGTGGCTTAACACCTTTGTCTTGGACCCCGGCTGGGTACAGACCGATATGGGCAACGGGGCTGCGAAAGGGTGGGGTATAGAGTCAGCTCCTGACACTGTTGAAAAGTCTACAAGCGGTATGGTTGACGTGATTATCAATGGAACCAAGGAGCAGTATGGTGGCAAAGTCGTCCTCTACAACGGCGAAGTTCAAGAATGGTAGATTGCTTGGGTGGTATTTGCTTCATCGGTGATTCAGTGATTGACATATGAGAAAGCTAGAGATATTGAATATACGTTCTTTTTTACGACCTTGGAAATCCACTTGGTAGTAAAAAGACTTGAAAATGAGAACGAAATGCCGGTTTCGAGTTTCTTACGTCGATAATGTGATACCAGAAAGTGTCGAAAAAAGTCATGTATAAACACAGTAATGTATATATATGGAGTTATCCTGATATGTGTCATGAACCACTGTCTCATTGATGGTCGCCGATAACCCGAGTGAAGCCAATTTTTTATAAAATGGAGCCAAATCCTTGACCATTTCAGCGTCATCTCCATCCGGCAATGTAGCGTCACTTCCGCTGGCTAGTGTGACGAGAGGTTGAAATCCATGAAGAGTATCTAGCACAAGAAGATGGCGCTGCGATGCTTCCACGGCAGCCTAATACTTTTCTATGTCACTCTCCGTCAGAACAAAAACCGTCTTTGTTACGTGGCGAGCTACTTGCTTAGTTGTATCATTAGCTTAACCTTCCAAGGCTCCAACCGGGGAAGTAAATCACAGAAAACACAAAGCACAGATTCATAAGCCAATGAAGTAAATTGATATGCTTATGCAAATAACAAATAGGTATATGTCCAACAAAAAAGCGAAACCTCAGGTGCAAGCCAGCTCAACCCTAAGTAGAATTCGAGTTATCGGCACAAGACCAAGCACTCGAGCCCCCAGAAGCATTATAGCTATCAATAATGCCAACAACAGAGCCGTAGGTGCCGGCAACCATCATCAATGTACCAATGATAACAACAAACACACTCCAGCAGACCATCGCAGTCCACCTGGCCGATTTCTCGGTCTTGCCCTTGCCCCAGTTATCATACAGCCACATGCATCCCATAGGCTGGAAACACATGAATGTACCAAGCAAGGCACCGATCAGTGAAACAAGACTGTCAAAGACAGGGATGGCACTGGCAATGATATACGAGATCAGTCCGACGCCAGTGACGCAGCCGAGCCACGCGCTCCAGTGGACGATGCTGTTGGAAGTGAGATGTTTTGAGCCACGGAGGGCGCGGACAAAGATATACTTTCCCGGCAGCTGAGCAGTATTAGTTTCCTTTCTTGATCATTATTTGATGTCGAGCCGGGATGGCAAACTTACATGGATGAACAGCATCGTCGAAACTAATAGACCGGGAATGGCAAATCCGTAGCTGACTTTCTTCATGGTCGGTCCTGCCGAGCCGAGGGCTGGCGAGGCAACGTATGAGCCGCAGTAGTAGTATACCACGATGCCGATGGTGAGGTACACGGCTGTCACGGCGCTCTGGCAGATAATCATGGAGCGAGTATAGAAGCGCGGCTCGCGCATTTCAGATACGACGGAGAAAAATGCGGGTGTACCGGCATAAGCGAAGATCAGAGAGGAAATGGCGGAGACCGCTTCGGCAAATGAAGGATTGGCGATGATTTTGTAGTCGGATTGCCAGTGTCCTTCCTGGGGGGCGGAAGCTGGGCGGTCCTGGACACCAACGGCGATGGTGACGATCATGACTGGTGAGAGAGAGTGTGGTTAGCTTTTGTTCATGTGCGTTGGAATTTTCTGGTTTGCTAGATATCTTACTTGCTGTGAGAATGGCGACGAGACCAACCCATGCGAGCCAACTTATACGACCGAGTGTGCGAATACTGGCGAATCCAATTCCTGCGATGGCTGCGATGGCGACAAAGACGGCCGTACAGGTGGCATGTGTCGAAACGGAGTTGAGGGCAATTGAAAGGCCGAGCATTCCAGAGCCAGCGACAAAGATCCAATCTTTAGGATTGTCAGAGTCAGAATTGTCAGGGGGATGATTGTTCGTGCAAATCGAGTATACACTTACATAGACAGAACACGAAACCAAATAGTTCACGACCAATTGGACCAAACATTAGACCCCCAGCATCGTCGATACTGTAGACTTCTCGATGCTTGAGTTTGAAGACCCCGACCATATAGTCGGACCAGGTTGTGATGATAGCGACTACGAGCAGGCATATCACGCCAGGAACAAGCCCTAACGTGTCGAAAGCGCTAGGAATGGATAGTACACCCAGACCAATCTGACTCTTCATCATCAAAACCACCGTTCCCGCCCATCCTACCTGTCAAGGGGGTTAATTGAGAGCCATTCAAGCAATACTGGAGAGACATACGTTACGATAGTTGGGGCCACCCTCTGTAATTTCTCCAAAGACATCATCGTGGGCCATGACAGGGGCATCTTGAACGTCTGTGTCAAGCCCTTCAAGGTCTTTCTTCTTGATGTCGGCCATAGTGGAATCAACTGAATAGAGTGGATGGGTCTACCCGAAAACACAGTGGACATGGAACGGGTTTTAACCTCCTCGGCGAGAGTCCGCCAGTGCTACGGACTTTCAACGGGGCGTCCGAGATAAGACGACGTACACCACTCGACATCTCAGTCGTCAGTCCCAGATCCACAGTGGAAGTGGAGTGGCTAACTGCAATTGACCTCGCCACGCTAACTTCGGTTTCAGACCCCATCCAGCTTTGAGAATTCGCGCATCCCTCATGCACTTAACCCGATGGGCTCTGCAATGACGACAGAGTCGCAATGCGTGGGGACCTATGTGGAGTCCTTTCAGTGCCCACGGCTGGTCCATCGTTTTCTCCATAGGAAACCCCATGGGGAAGTGTTGATGTTTACTCCTCCAACCTTAACTAAACCTCACCGCTGCGCCACCAAATGGTTTCCCCCCAATGCCCAGACACGCCCCGCCGGAAACCAGGGGTAGTGATCGGAGTCGTGGCTTTCCGGGAAGAAAATAGCGCACGGTTAGAAGATCTTGATGAGAAAGGTGACTTCAGGGGCTTATCTCGCACTAACCTGTATTTGAGATATGGGGTTTCATATCTCTGATAACTGAAGAACCCATAACATAACATAACATCACATCAATTGATCACATCTGAGAATATCTTGCCACCGAGATAAGATCGGAAAGGTCGACCAAATCGACCAAATCGACCGGCTTCCCTTCCGATGGTTCATTTCCCCGCATAATCCTGGAACCTGAATCTGGCAAATCTAACCGGGCGAATCCGATCGGCGGAAGAGTTACTCTTTTCACTCCCAAGCCTCAGGTCACTTGCCTAATCCAGAAGTGTGGCTGCCTGTTCCACAACGTGTGATCTCCAATGACGTCGGGAAAGGCCTTCCTCCCTTGGAATGGTGACAGTCGCTATGTAATGTACCCCAATTTTGGATTCTGGATTCCAGGCTGGTAGATTCATTCTCGGGGGGATATCGACAAGCACGCCCATATCATATCCCCTTGTTCGGATAGTCAGCCCTACAGTGGACATGTCAGAAACACAGGCCGGGTTCTGCTCGTTATACTATTCCCCCCTACATAAACTATCTACTGTACAATACTGCACCATAGGGACGGGGAAACCTTCCAGATATGATTAGCCAATCCACGTTAATGACAATCTCTGTCAAGCCTGGAGATAGTCAGGGGCCCAGAGCTGGATCCCAGCCTTGGAAAAACAGGCAAGTCGAAGAGAAAAAGAAAAAAGAACTGGGTGGCCAGGATCGTCAGGCAAAAGCTGGGGTAATCACGTGTGAGGATCACAGTGGGGCCCTTCCTAGTTTGGACATCCAATGCCCTCTCGATCAACTTGATGCCAGCACCAACTACCCATTTCAAACGATTTAGTGGTGAAACACGACATGTAGTTGCAGAAGAATTGGTGCACGGCAAGGACGAGATTACTCAATCTACCCCAAGATCCTTTTCACCCTTCTCTCTGTCCTATTCTTACCATCCATTATTGCTTTTGGCTTTTTTGGGCGACGCTCTCCACTATTCAACTCATTGTGGCTTGTCACAGTGAAGATGGCTACCGCAGCCGTGACTATGCAGGCTAGACCACCAAGGATACGGAAGACCTCTTCGCCACACACATCCATCTCTCCCCCCGATTCCAACTAAGACCCAATTCACAAAAGAACCCCGATACAAAGCCAAGGTCCAAGACACTCCTACAGTCAGATCAACGAGAAGAAAAAAGCAAGCAATCCCGAAACCTACACCACGCCACAACCTGATAAGGTCCCAACAGGGCACAGCCTCCCACCAACCACCGGCTGCGAACGCCTACAGTACAGTACACCATGCCGGACAATGTGGCAATATCCATGTAATAGACCTGCAAGCCACGCATAGCACATGCACAAATCTCATGGGGGCGAACATCAATGTACACTGTATCCGGTTTCCATCGGATCCCAGCGGGTCGAGCGACCACCGGTATGGCGCCCGATGACAAAGTCCCATCTAGCCCGCCCAAGAGGCCGTCTTCTGCCCTGTGCTTGATGCAGTGGCGGGGGCCCTGCCGGTGCCATTGAATGAGGCAACCAATACCGGGCCGGGTCCCGGTTGGAGGGCTCGTATCTCTGGGTTTCAGTTCAGGGGTACGTCTATCAATCACGCCATGCTTTCTCGTAAGAGGTGGACGTAATGATGATAGGATATTGGGAGGGTGGGAATTCGAGAGGGAGGTGGAGGGTTGGATAGCAAATTAAGATTTATTCATTCCGAGATAAGACTTCTATATGCAAACTGCAGGTTGAGTATCTATAGATAAAGCGAGAAACCACGTGTTCCAAGGCATAAGATGTAGATGGGGAAAAGATGGGCATGAATGGGCATGGGGCAAGATTAATCACCTGTTTTTGGGCTTGGGCTTGTTTTCGTTTTTCACGCTGTTTTTTTTGTTTTGGTTCATTCCACGATGCGGTTCATTGCATCCTGTCGGATAGAGTGAGGTCTTCCATTCTCTCGCGTTTCATTGTCATTCACTGTTGATCCCGAGTCTTCGTCCGTGCTGAGATCACCCTCGTCCTCGTCTGTGCTGTCATCGCCACCGGGTCCCATGCCTTGACCGACACTTGCGCTGGAGAGATACGTTGGTCGGCGACGTTGGAAGTCTTGCGCATGTGCTGATGCGACAATCGTGCCGACCCGGCTGATTCCCACCGACGGGCGACGGGTGCGCGCCCGCACACTCGAAACCGAGGGGGTTCCGTGTTCGACGTCGCCGGGTGACATGAAGGGCGTCGAGGCAGCGGCAAGTTGCTGTTCTTGGAGCTGGACATCTTCTGGAGATCCGTCGAGGGGGCAGCGACCGCTGCTGGGAGGTCGTAGGGGAGCGGGACATCGCGTGAGGCACGGAAGAGGAGGACGTTGGTACAGTGTTCGTTTTCCACTCGGAAGATGGACCATATACCACGACGACAGACTTCCGAGAAAGAGACCATGAAGCTGAGTAGCGCTGACTGCTGAATGTTCCTGATGAAGATTGCGTAGTAGATCCAGTTGAAGCGGATAACCACGTCTAGCACCATGGCGACGTAGTAAACCCAGACCCGCCGGAAGGCAAGCACTTCACGGAGCATAGGGTGCTTGGCGTAGGGGTTTCCAAGACTCCAGTCCATTATCAGGTCCCAGACTGAAGTGTATACGGCGTTCAGTAGGGCAAAGGTAATGAATGAGGCTTGGAAGCGCGTTTGAAGGTCGATGCGGTACATGCTCAAGGTGGCATAGTATAGGACGCCGAATATGTACTTGCCCAAGTTCAAGAGGTGAGGAAAGGCATTTCTCGTGTCCAAGTATCGGCGTATGCACTGGAAGGCTCGCCAGACAGATGGCAAACACTGGAAGAAGCCCAGCAGGCGAGAGTGCGAGGAGTTGCAGTGGGGAGGGTTGCCCCAGTAGGAGGCGTATAGACAAAAGAAGAGTTCGATGTTTCCCATGGCATATGTTTGAGAGCAATACATGTCACCAAGGAAGAAATCACGGAACTCGACGGGATATATCCCAGCAAGTAGTAGACGCCACTATGAAGATCAGTGATGCTCTTGAGGATATCAGACGACGGAACTTACATTTGAAAAGGCGAACCATTTGCGACTCCTGTGATATAGAACGCGGGCTGGTAAGAAGACAATGATGACTGTCAAACCGATAAGTACGACAGGCCAATAGATGTACATATCATTTATCCATGAAAAGTTAAGCCACATGAAGAGGCCCATCAAGAAGAAGAAGAAAGAAGGAATCTGTACATGTTAGAAAAGTTTTCCAGTGTTTGAAACTCTGAAACATACCTCCAGATACTGACGCCACTCCAAGGTGTGTCTACTATCATATTCAAAAACGAAGGCATAGTTGATCTTTGACTTGGTCCAAATCAGACAATCCATGCAAAAGAGCAAGACGTGAAACACGATCAGAAAGTATCCACCGTATAACTGCCTTAATTAGCCATGATAGTTGTACAATGCATGGGAGCACCAACCTGCAGCAAATAGCTTGTCTGAACTTGCTTCTCAACATCCGCTGTCCGAAGATGGTGGGTAGCATCGACCAGACCTTTGATTGAAAAGAGAGCTCCTCCCATCAACAAAAGACCCGAACGGAAAGTGTTTGGAGAATAATCCCCCGATTTCTTGAGAGTGTGCCGAAGCTTCGAAGCAGCAATTTTGCGATTGCCACGCTCGAAGTAACGGGCATACAAGTCCTCAACGGCGACCATCAAACTCTCAATCACATCACTCTGCACAAAAGCCGCCTTATTGATCTTTTCCGACATGTAACGCAAGGGAGGGCGAGCGTTGACCGCTTTGTCGTATTTCTTGTTAATCTTCCGGAAGGCTGTGCGGTTCAAATACGCGTACCCCTTCAGGAGTTCGACCCCACGATAGAATTCTTGCAACGCATGCTTAAGCTTGCGCTTCGCAGAGCGATACGAAACTTCCTGGCTAGGCGGATCCTGTCGTCGCATGAAATCCCTCCGGTTGGAAATAAACTCCCGATCCTGGGCGTGCATGCCAGGGGTAGCCATCTCAGCCAAGGCCTCCGAGTTCTTGCCAAAGCGATTCTTGCCAACAAGCGTGTGCTTGAGTCGATGACTGTTAAGTTTGACGAACCCGTTCGGCCGTTGCTGGGACTCCGGGCCATCACCCTTGGCTGCTCTCTTGGCCATTAGAACCTCTTGTATACGTTGATCGCGCATGATGTGCAGCTGCTGACGGAGAACACGAAGCTTATCTGTGGCTTCTTGCTCTTTCATCTGGTAGAAGGAATCGATCTTGTTCAACTCGCTATCCAAAAATTCGAAGAATTCATCTTGGCGCTTGTCGGGCTCTGAGCTGTCAGGCTGTGATCGCTTCCCGCTAGCCTCACCCTCGGTGTTAGAGAAAACCCGGCGCAAGAGATGAGATCCTCGCTTTGCTGATGTCACTCTCGTGACGGCACCACTCAAGGGACTTTGATAACTCGGTCGTTGCTCCAACTCGGGCCTTCGCTCAACCGGAGGACTATCAGGCATGGGCTGTGAAGGCGAAGTGCCGAAAGTAGCATGTCGATCCATCACCGGTGATGGCGTCCTGACCGTCCTGGGTATCTCTCCATGCTCCTCATGCGGCATATACTCCTCGTCGGGGTCGAGTGCTGGGTCTGGCAGCTCAAACGAGGCTGCATCGGACGTTCCTGCTCCATGATGCGGGGGTGTAGCTAGTATACTTCCATAACTACCGATATGATCCGAGAATCGTGACCCTGGCGTGCGCAGTGGCTGTCGCTCGCTTCTGGGAATGGGTGTGGACCGTGTCACAGACGCTGGCTTTGTACCACTTCGCGGAGTCGATGGGTCATTGGGCTCTGCCGCATCCAATGCTTTATCTGTATTTGACGGTGTGAGGCTAAACTGTGCTGCACCGCGAGGCTGCGGGGTGGACTGCCAGTAGGTCGGTGCGCGAGGGCTGCGGTGTGTCTTTTGAAGAGCGCGAGTGATCGCCTTCACTTTTTTCTTGCCGGTCTAGAGATGCATTGATCAGCTTTGACGAGCAGCGATCGACTGACCATTGACTTACCTTGTAGTCGAGATACTTTGCCCGCCACTCAGGAACAAGCTCCTGTTCTAGCTCTCTGGATACAGTCAGCCACTGGAATGTTCAAGTTCTGATCGTGGGACACACTTGGCAAATTTCATGGTGAACGAAGCCTCATCGCACACAGATTGGACGTGACAGAAAGTTTGTCACCGACACTGACGAGGGGGTTAGAAACCTTGGGCCGAAAGCGCACGACTAGCTTGACGCCACACGATAAGCAAGAAAAGCAAAAAGTGGCAATAGTTGGAAAGGAATATTGAGGATCGTTGCAAATCTCCGAAATTTTAGGATTTAGGCTCTTTCACGCAAGGTACCAATGATGTACCCCAGACAGCCACCAAGCGCCATACTTCAACGAAATTCGTGTGAAAATGAACCTGGGTAATACTCCAACGAGAAGTCTCCCATTAGGCACGTGTATGAGCTCATGGGCGGACGTCAGGGGCAGAATGAGCTTGGCAGAATCGGGGGTCCACAAGGCTAAGATTCCCCCCTCGACCCTGGAATCTCCCACTGGCACTACTGTTCTTGTGCAGGGCTCTATCTACACCTGCACGTCTGTATGATATCACATGCTATTCTGCATGCAATAGTAATTCCTTCCCTTGGCCATGACCAACTGACTCAATCAAGAAACCCGTCAGTACCTGTCGTACCACGAGCGTGGAATGCCATCTGGAATGCTGGACACTCTAGTCGGCGGGTTCTCCTGGCAATGACTGGTCCAGCAATACATCCGCATACCGATGGAAGTTCGGCGCATAGTTCCCTATCTCTTGTCGTCACCGACATACGTTTACCAGAGCTGCGACGTCGCACTCCTACATGTCCCACTACACCGCCTATCTTTATCGTCAAGGGAGAGAGAGAGAGAGGAGAGGAATAGTGGAAAGATGTGTTCATTTCATATTGGTATCCAGTTGGTCTTCAAGACCGATGAGCTGCTTTCTCATGCTCAAGTGTTCAAGGTCATTCAATCGTCCATTCCAAGGATCCCAGATGCAGAGTCGGGTATTCCTTAGTAGTTGCCGCGCTCGTAACGCTCCTCGTACATGTGGTGGGCGTTCTTCTCGGCGTGGTGCTTGGCCTTCTCGCGGTCAACCCAGTCCATACCCTTAGTCTCGGCGAGCTTGTCGACCTCGCCGCCGACGAAGCCCATCAGGAGCTCCTTGGCGAAAGCGTGGTTGACTGGCTTGCCTGTACATGGATCAGTCAGCGATATGTACAGATCAGATAATGGGTGGGAGTCAACATACCGGACTTCTTCTCGTGGTCCTCGTAGGCCTTCATGGCAGCAAAGGAGGCGGCACCGGCAGCGAACTCGTGGGAGAACTTGCCCTCGTGGTGCTGCTCACCGTTGTAGACCTCCTCGTGAGCCCGCTCAGATTCGTCTAGAGAGATCCAGTCAGCGGCATCCTTGGAACCGTGTCTTGCAGCCAATGAGGGCTCGATGTAGTGCATATTCATGTATACATGCACATGGGGCATGAGTCTTCATGCAGGGGGAGCACGGGTGAGATGGGTGTATGGGAAGACTTACTCCAGCCCCAAGCCATTGTGAATGTAGTATAGTAGAAGGAGGGTTGTTTGAGAGAGTAGTTGATGTTTTGATGAAGAGAAATCGAGGGGGATGAGGGGATCTTATACCCACGGAGCTGACATTAGAAGACGCCAGAAAGACTACGTACTCAATAGCTGTCTCAGCTCATTGCCCCACCATCCACTTTGCGAGGGTGGCTGAGGTTGTTTGGCTACAGGGTACGGAGGTATCACAGGGGGCCTCCATACTGTACAACTGGACCACGGATCGGACTCGATATGGACTATGTATTGGCTCGTTGTCAGTGGAGAAGGCAGATCGTTGTTATTGTTGGGTATCCGGGGGCGAGGGGCACTACTGTACTCCGTTGAAGAGCTCCGGTGAATCGGGCAGTGAGAAGTCCGACCTTGTATCGTTACTGTAAGTCCAAGATGTCCAGTCCATAGAGGACGAAACTTCAACCTATGATCTTTCCTGTGATATCCCAGCACAGTATGATATCAGTAGTGCACCTTCCCCGTTGCACCACCTCACAATCTCTTGAAACCCGGCGTTACCATGTACGAGTACGTACGTGGTCCTCCAATTGGGCGATCTGATGGGTCAGCTCAGCCCTACTCCGCCGATAGTAAACAAATAGAAAATGAACACAGGCACCACTAGCCGCTTTGGGTGTTAGTCGTACGCTAGTGACGCACTGGGAACGGATCTGTTGAATGCCAAGACCATGAGCCCCCGACACAGCCGAGCCAAGCTTCCCTTCCGAGGCTTGTCGTCGCCTTATGAGACGCGCCACGAGTGGCGGTGAGGAAGTGCTCCTTGGATTGATATTCCGAACGGAACACTATTGAACCTTTGACAAAAGCCTAAGGGCAGTACTCAATCGAGCGGGATCGGAGCGGGATCGGGGCGGAATCGAGGCATGCTCACTGCCGGGTGTTAGGGTGCTACTGTATTTTACTGTACTATTTTGGGGGGTTAATCAATCTCTTGCCATTACGTAGTGCTGTGGCGCCGAGTACCCTCAGAGTAGGGCTCCGAGGGTCTATTTCCGGTCCCTCAAGGGGATGCTCCATAGAAGATCGTGGAATTATGTTGACCGCAATACCCTACACTACGTGGTACCTTCGAACACCACAGTGTGACCCGGCAAATACTGCTGGTATCAGATTGAATGAATGAAGTCATACAATCCCTGGACATCTGTTGATCGCTAGGCAACCACAATATACAATCCCAACGTGAAAGACCAAAATAACAAGTTCCAGCTAAGCCACAGTTGCGGAGACAAGCCACCAGCCACCAGCCACCAGCTTCACCTCCCAATCCTCAAAGCTTCGGTGAGTCCGAGCAGCTCAACTCGACACACCAGGCAATTCCAGCCGTCCACAGCTCTAAGCCTCGCAACGTCCACAGGCCACAGGCTGTCCCATCCCATACCTTCACCTTGAAAGAGAAAAGAAAAAGAGAGAGGAGAGATGCCTACCAAAACCCCCACCACCTCGGACTTCCCCAATCTCACAGTAACCATCACACACCCCTCCCCCTCGTCAACCTCCACCCCATCCCCAAACATTCTTCTTCTCCTGCACGGCCTAGGCGACACAGCCGCAGCCTTCACCAACTTTGCCCAAGCCCTCCGCCTCCCAGAGACAACAATCATAACCATCCAAGGCATTGCCCCGCTCCCCTTTGATCTAGGCGGTTTCCACTGGGGCGATGATGTCTCCTTCAACTCCTCGACCGGCGCGCTAGATATGGATGCTGGCTTTGACAAGGCAACCAGGTTGCTCTCTGGGATGGTCCGGAGCATATTAGTTGACCGGTGCGGGTATCGCTTACGGGAGATCATGGTCTTCGGCTTTGGGCAAGGTGGGATGGCTGGGTTGGCGTTGGCGAGGGAGCTCGGGATTGCGAGTAAGGGGTCCGGTGGTGGTGGTGGTGGTGAGGCTTGGAAGGGAGAGGTTGGGCCGCTGTCTGGTGCTGTTTCTATCGGGGCACCGTATTCGGTTGATGGCTCGAGGGTTGGTAAAAATCGCTCGCCTGTCTTGCTTGTGGCGGGCAGGGACTCGGTTGCTGTTTCGGATGATGCGGTGCGTAGGACTAAGTTGGTCTTTGAGTTTGTGGAGCTTAGTCGGTATGCTCGCAGAGGTGATGGCATGCCTTCGTCGAGAGAGGAGATGTTGCCTATTATGCAGTTCTTTGCTAGGACGTTGAGGAGTAGGCAGGGTGTTCCTGAGGGGAGCGTGGAGTTGAGTTGAGGTGAGGTGGCTGGTTTGTATATCAATGAATATATGAATGTATTTGTATCTAGTTGTGTGTTTTGATATGGTAAAATATAGGGGGGCAGCGGAAAGACTACGGTTGTGCGTGGTGTTGTGGGAGATAATCGTGGTGATTCCGTATAGGCGTTTTCATAGATCTTAATATGAATAGTGCTATATACTTAACTAGGTTTACCGTATAAGTGTCCCTCCCGATCTTGTTGCATATCTATAATAAGCTCGGCGGCTTTATCATAGGCGATAATTAATTGACTGCCAAATTTAGACATTCACCACGAATTCATTACTATCATGTTATGTTAGAACCAGCATAGTTTGATGGGAAGTCAAATGGATATGTCTGGTTTGACAGGAGACTGCGACCGCAACGGGACGCAGTGGCCGTGTGTATGGGTCACGTGTGTAGCTGGACGGAGTGCGCTACTTGGTGTGGTGGGAGAGCTGACTGCCTGACGGCAGTCATAGTAACCTTTTGGTTCAGTGTCCGAACTGCTAAGCTCTCCTAGTGGGTCGTAACACTTTACCTACGATACGCCGTTTTAATAGGCGTCTAAAATAGCAGCGCGTTGAACCATAGATAATTAAGCCGTTTTGCTAGATTTTGGGCCAATTTCCAGAGCTATTGCATCTTTGTGGGAGGTATAGGAGAGAAAAAAAAAACATAGGTCGGTTGTTAGGGCAATTTAGTAGGGTGGGGTGGGAAGGATTAATTGACGTATATCTATATTTTCGACAGATGCGGCCGCTTAAAGCCCGAGTTCAAGGTCCATCCGATCAAGAAGGGCTCTGGTATTTGAAACACTAAGCTAGACGACGGAGAAATATTTTCAATCGAGTCCTTGAGAATCGGTAGGCATTATCGCCGCCTTGGACAGGAAAGCGCGCTCGTGAGAGCCATGCTAGAAAAGGCCAGGAACAAAACTTTAGGGTTTGTTACTGTTGTGCGCCCCGGTGTTCTACGCAGTGAATTGTTATGCGAGCGTAGCGGAGAAGAGGTCCTCAATAAGAAATAGTCGGAATTGGCTGCTAGGGATATTTCAAAATCTTTCTGGCGATCTTTGGGTTAGTCTACCGCCGTGGTCATGCCCTGTCGTCTCTTTCACTTTAATGGCAGCGATTGAGAACCAATCAAAAATCTCATATTCAGAAACGATATTGAGAGTGTTGCAATCCTACATGATAGAACCTCACTCTTTGACTATTCCGCCAGTACACCCATTCCAAATTGCCAACACACTCATCAACAAGCACTCCCACTGCCTCAATGTGGTGCCAATGGCTACTTCCTCAAATCAAATTAAAAGGGTTGCGTAAATTGTCTCGCTTCAATGGACGGAAAGTGATATAGACGAGTACTGTAACAATGATCATTTTTTGGGTCGCAATGCATACATTTTGACCGGTAAGAGTTTATATTGCTTCGGAAATCCACTTTGCACCTCGGTCTTGACAACATCCATGCCAGCGGTATTGAATATCTCCTTGAACTTTGAATCCGTTCTTGTGACACTGCTGTCCAACTCGTCATACATGTCATTACCGACGGGATCAGTGGAGAGATTTTCCTTTACCACCATGATTCCGGAGACTTTCAAACAGTCACGACATCTTGCGATATATGCGACCAGCTGTGCATCCGTGAGATGACCCACACACCACTGGGTCCAAATCAAGTCGTATTTCTTGTTGGGGTTCCAATCCTGAAGACCAACGTTGTAGACGTCCCCTACAACGCCCCGCTGTCCCAACTCTCCTTCCTTGAGAGCTTGAGTAAATTTTTCTACCGGCTCGACAATATCCACCACCTTACAGACATCGCCGAGGAAACCCTTCGTCACGCGACCGACGCCCGCGCCGCAGTCGACACCAAGATCGAGTTTTTGTTGGTTGGAAAGTGTAGGAGTCAATCGTCGGACTTTTGCTAGAAAGTTTTTGGACCCGCGCAGCTCGATGCGTGTATACCAAGGGAGGTCGCCTAGCATGGCTAACATACCACTCGAGGTGGCAGGAACGTTGTTCCAATAGTTTATCGACGCGTCATGGTCAATTTTGGAGTCCGCGGTCGTGGAATCATTTTGTGGTAGCCTGTTGACTACAGGTGTATTTTGGGACATGTTGCAGAGGAATTGAGAGATTGCGCTCAGGTTGGAGACACGAGATTTTCGCACTTGCTCCGGGGTAGATCGCAAATCATGTGACTAACCAAGGCCTAAGGCATAACACTCTAATGAAGTTCGATATAACTATACACAATCTGAAATGTAGCGGGGATGCTTGTAATAATTTTTATTTGATCTAGCGAATCAATTACTACTTTCCAATAATTGCTTTAACCATTTCGCACAATCGAAGGTGGATCCCAGAGGGTTGTTGTTCAATCCCCATATCTCAACAAATTGTAGACCCCGAATGGAAGAAAGCTCGCGGATGCCAGAATCACATTTGAAATCTTCGCACGGAATTGTTGACAGTATTTCTTCGTCAAAAACAAGGCGCAAATACCTGAGTCTTTTGAATTGCTTTAATAGTTGCACGCATCTTGAAGCGTGAAGAGAGAGTAAACGCAACCCAGTATCTTTCGGGTCCGACATGGCTTCCAGGTCGCTGCTGCTGAGCCAGAATAGTTCCAATGATTCCACATTTCTGCGGCCGAGTCGGCCAATGGAAAGTGCAAACTTGATGAAATCATCCATATCATCAAATTTGAATTGAATTGATCGATATGCGAAGGGTAGCGCCTCTTGACGCATCCATCTATTAACGAGCAGAGCGCTAGTGTTCTGACTCAACGGAAAGTAAAATCCACTTGTATCTCCAATTGAAACTGGGAAAATTTTCTCAAGAAATTTGCATGGATCTGTATGCTCCCATTCCTGCTTTTGGATGGCGAGTTCAAGGATACCTAGTCGAATCTCGTGCGGAAGTTTCACCAAATTGCCGCAATCCATCTCGGGGACCGTTCGAGGCTATATTCGTTGAGCTGATAATATTCCAATATGAAAAGGGGTTTCAGTACCTTTGCATTCATTATGATTCGACACGCCTCGAGTTCAGTCAATAAAAGAGGTAGGCCCAATCCAAATGAAAACTGGACGTCTAACGTAAAAATATAGTATCCGACATCACTGCAGCGCTTCAGGGTAATCGTGGCTTCTTCATTATCAAGCGACTATGCTCGAGTTTAGGCAAAAGGCAAGCTTGATCGAAGAGGGACTGAAAATATGGGACGGACGTACATGAATCTCGCCTAACCCTGGAAGCGGAACTCTAAGGCTAGTGATGTGTTCTTGCGATTTCTGCTTTCGATGTTCCTGAAGCTCCTTTTCAGTTCTGTTCAAAAGATTGTTGGAGACAGGTGACAGATCCGAATAGAATCGCTCTTCAATTCGAATCTGATCATTTAGGGGTTCAATCTGGAACCCCAGCTCCTTTTGCATTTCGAGAAGTGTCACGACAGGTCTTTGTTTAGCCATCTCTTGGAACTGAGGATACCGAAGAGCTTTACACTGTACAGTCAAACTCGAGAGAGTGGGTGGATTGAGGGACATCATGATCCACTCCGTTCCTCTTCGTAATGATGATTTTCACGGATCCGGTCGGATAATACTTTTACCGATTCAACGCCTAGGATCATGAAGAAACACAATTTACAAAGCGACAAGTTTAAGGAAACCTTGAAAATGAAACTTGTCTCATAAAGATACAGTACTGTTCTGATGTTGGCTCGGTAAATTTACCACATCTCTAGTCTTCTTTTCTTCTGATGATTTGCTACTTGGCACCGCCATGTTATATTCGTCGTGCATCAGCCTCATTTGCTTACTGGCTTCTTCTATTCTTAGGAAAACATCCATCAAGGTCTAGCTATGTTCAAGCTCTTTAGAAAAACAGCCACGAAGAACGAGTCATCGTCGTGTTATCTGCTTCAACATCGGAATCTCTGAAGAGCAAGGCCGCCTTACTCTCTCCCATCTTGTCCACCGCAAGCATGAAGGCCGTTGCACCCTGATCATCTGAAATATCTGACGCTGCTCCTGCATCAAGCAACATCCGTGCAACCTGTGTTCTTTCGTTTAAGACGGCTAGGTGTAAGGGTGTTTGCCCAAGACAATCCCGTGCATTGACATCGGCCTTTGCCTCCAGTAGACACAAGTTGATTGACAGGTTCCCAATCTTCGCAGCAAGCAGTAATGGGGTCATCCCGTACGTTTCAGCATTAACGTCCGCGCCATATTCGACTAATAACGGTACGATTGTTTCATTGCTTTGTTCGATAGCATGATGCAATGGGGGGCTGTTGAGAGAGCCTCGCAAGTTCACATTGGCTCCATATTCCAACAGAAGCTGTGCGACCTGCTTATGCCCCAGAAAGGCCGCTAACTCGAGTGCTGTATATCCAGCAGGGTCCTTCCCATTGATATCTGCTCCTTTTTCGAGCATTATGCGTAGCCTACCAAGCTGGGCTTCCTGTGCCGCTACACGCAAGCCAGTTGCCATAGTGCTTCCTTGTCTTTTGCCTTCAGCAATTCTTTTCAAAAGCGTTCGCTTCCCACGATTTCCCATTGTATTGGACACCAAGTCCAACGTCTTCTTGCTGTCACCGGACTTTTTCAACAAGAGACGAACCATCGTCGCATGCTCTTGGACAGCAGCACCATACAAAGGAGTCCACCCATCTTTGTCCTGAATACTTGTTTTGGCTCCCTTTTGCAACAGTAGAGCAGCTACCTGCTCATGTCCTTGTAGAGCCGCGATATGTAACGCAGTGGCGCCATTATTGTCTGTGAGATCGGGATCAGCTCCATTTTCAAGCAACAATCTTGCTACCTCCGCTGAGCTCTCTTGCGCAGTCCAAAAGAGAGCAGTTTGTCCAGCACAATTTTTGGTATTTACCAAAGCGCCGTATTTCAGCAATAATCGAGCAATCGGCCCTTGTGCAATAGCCCAGTGAAGCGCAATGTTGCCACCCGAATCGGCAGAATTGACGTTCGCGTTTTTGGACACAAGCAACTCAACAGTGGCTGCATGAGCTGCTGCCACGGCAAAGTCTAATGCCGTGCTTCCATTGCTGTCTTTTGCGTTGATATTGGCACCACTTGCAAGAAGCATCTCCACCATTTCTTTGTGACCCTCTTCCGCTGCCAAAAAAAGCGCTTGGTTTTTGGTATCTATACTGATGCTAGCACAGACTTCTTTCGCGAGCAATAACTCCAGCACTTCGCATTTTCCACCAATGACAGCCCAATTAATTGCAGACCACCCTTCATGGTCCGTTATGGGCTCGGCACCACGCAAGAGGAGGACATTGACTAAATCTTTGCTCCCGTTTTTGGCAGCCCACAAAAGAGCTGTTTCTCCTGTGAAATTTTGCTCGTTGATGTCATTTCCATTATCAAGAAATAGCTCGACAGCATCCATCTGATTGTTCTGGGCCGCAACAAAAAAAGGAGTTTCACCGCGACTGTTGCGTATGGTATTATCAACACCCTCGCTTAACAAAATCTGAATGATTCGCGTAAGACCCCACCATGCTGCGATGTGTAAAGGACCAATTTGTTTTGGGTACCGATCGAACCAGTCTTTGATCCGAGGCGAGGTCGCGTATAGAACTTGAACGGCGGACAAAAGCTTATTGTTGTCATTGAGGTACTTGAAAATCAGTTTCGTGTAGTCACTGCGAGAATTTCGCACATGATAACCCCAGTATTGGGCCGCGTATGGAAAGAATTTGTGACGTTCCAGTCGCTTTTGAAGCGCTTTGCCGTCTGCACATGGTCCGCTACCAAAGACATCAAAAGAAAGGTAAATGAGGCATGCTTCCGCGATTTTAGAGTCAGGATCTTCGGAAAGCCGGTCGGGGAACGTTTCGAAGTACTGTTGTAGGGTTTGATGAACAAGCCCTACAACATCTCTCGTTTCATCAATTTTGACCAGCCCAGTACAAATACTAATAAGAAGGTTGTCATCCACGCATTGGCTCTCTTCAAAACTGGTATCATTCGCCCACACTCCCAAGGCATGGCAGAGCTCTTTTACGTGAAGAGGTCTTTGTGCATGAGAGATGAAAGAAAGTGCGTCCTTGGCAAGTTTACAGCGGACTGTTTCTTGCTGCTCGATTCTCTCCATGGCCTCATGATAATAGTCAAAAACATTATCGGGCAAACTACTTAGAGTCTTTCGCACACCCGATATATGCAGTTGTTGGCATACCTTTTCGACGTGATGGTAGGCGAGTAGGAACCTGAAGCAAGCTTTTTAGCACACACCCCTCAACATTTCTGCTTGCTTCCTTACATTCCCTTGGATTTGGCAATGATTTCTTCGACAATCTCGGCTTGCACGGTAGCGTTGTTTCGAATGACAAAGTTCTGGAAACTTTTTCTTTTCGAAATCTCGGCGTCAAGGAAAATTTGCAAATCAGATGACTTCGCGGAGATGGAAATCCGCTGAAACCCAGAAAATTCCACAGGGAGGCTAATATGGGGGCGAGATGTGAACATGAAGCGAATGCTCGTATCCAGCATTTTTATGAAGCGAAAGAATTCATCTCTATTATATTCCGGGCACTCATCCTAAAGAAAATTCAGCATATGCATTACCGCACCTTTTTATGCTTATATGTACCAGCGCATCAACAATAACGATCATTTTGCAGAAGAAATGACCAAGGGATTTAATAAGTGCAACCCATTCATCACCCGTCGGATCTCTTTTCCTCATGGCGTTTTGATCGCGGAAATCTCTAACCACGGCGGGTATGTGTTCGATTTGTGCAGTCAGTTGTCGTGCAATGCTGGATAGAAGAGCAAGTTCAGAATGTGTGTTCGTGTCTTTGTAATTGCAGTACATGAATGCAATAGCAGTGTCAGTTCCACGGGTCTTTTCATCGACGTCATTAATAATTATTGACCTAAAGGCATAGTGACCGTGTGAGATTAATACTCCGCCAAATGTGAAAAACCAGTCCGCGTTGATACATACGTTAATATGGTCTTCCCACTGCCAGCTTCAAGACAAATTAGCATTCAGACAATGACACTCGGTATACAAAGAGAACTCACGATCTCCAAAACACCAAAGAGTCGAGTTCTCGGTACCGCTCAGCCATCGTCGGAATGTTTCGTGGCTCAGAACCCATTGACAAGTTCCATCGTGATGCTTGCCAAACTTGTCTTTCTGTGTATCAAGGAAAGTATCGGTTGAAAGGCCGTCCAAGAAATCCTTATCTGAAATGAATGAGAATGGGACATTTCAGGCACTTGAGTAGATAACGTACCCCCGAGCTGCTTGTATACTCGCTCAGACTGTTTCAAAGAGCGATGGGCTTCACTCATGTTGACGAAAGTGAGAGTTACAATCAGCTCTTGTTCTCGCTTGACCATCTGATGAAACTTATCGTAAGCCGAAGCGAGCTCGACATCTTCTCCAGACACGAAATTTCGCAATGCTTTGGCTATTACCGATTTTATAAGTTCACATTGCGGTTTCTGTGAATGTGATATGATTCTTTACTAACCGAAGCGCCTTTTTCTGGTGTATTTCGCGCAAATCCCACATAAAATCAGCACGGATGTCAGGACCTCGGTCAAAGCAAATTCAAGTTGAGGTACTGGAGGGATTTTCTCCTCAATCGTCTTCAGTCGGTTGAGATACGACTCAACATCACCGAAGAATTCAGCAACCTTATCAAAGTCCGCTGATACAGAGCTTGCAGTCTATAACTATATCATCAGCAATGATTAATCACACAAGGCTGAGATCTTACATTCAAAAGATGTCGAACTGCCGTGAAAATTGCCATGCTGGGGGGGAAAGACTACCGTGACAAGGCTCTTGTTATCTTGAACCCTTTTGAAAAGGCTTCAAAACTACTCACGTTTGATGTTCCCTGAGCAACAATCTCGCTGACCGTTTCGATGGACTTTAGGCTTCGGCTGACAAGGCTTCTGAATCTGTCAGTTTTCGAGCCGTCATGTCGAGTTCTTTCGAATTCTTCTTTGCGAATGTCTATCTCGCTTAAAACATCTTCAACACTGTTCGCTGTTTCAATGGAGCCGAGATCAACTTGAGTTATGTCCTTGTATCGGCCAATTGCATCTCGCCAGATTGCACCGACATCAGTCATATTATTAGATGACATTTCTAATCGAGAGATCAAACGAAAAATGAAGGATGGCTCAAATTCGTATTCTTAACTCGGTTGTAAACCAAAAGCGTCGCGATAATAGAAGGTTCAGCCCACCTGAGGAGTCGGGGCGTACGCCTCCAGTCAAGACTATTGCGGATAGTACGCCGCCAGTCGAGGATCGTCTCGACTGGCGGCGTAAGATCGACCGCGGCTTCACCACTTCCTGGAAATCCACGCGCTATGAACAATCGACCCTCCCAGACCCCCGTTCCCTTCACCCAGAAAACAAAAGAAGATTTCTTGCAACACGTACTCGAAAATCCATCTAGTCGTCGGATATCTCGACATGACCCGGAAAATCTCCTCGAATGGTTGACGAATCCTTCGAAACGACCCACCTCGCAGACAGAGTTCAGTCGACGGAATTACGTTCGGAAGACTTTCACCTGGGACAAAAATTCTCAAAGTCTTCTCGCAAAGCCCAAAAATGGCGAAGAAGGCAATCGGTTGGTGATTTGCGAAGATAGAATTGCCGATACGGTGGAGTGGGTCCACGAAAGCAGCGGCCATGCCGGATGGGATAGCACCTGGAAGAATATTAGCACCTCCTACTATGGAATATTGCGCTCAGATGTCATTTTTCTGTTGAAACAATGTCAGATTTGCGCCCACGACCCTTCCAAGCGTTCCAAAAGAACAAATGCCAACATGAAAGGCCCATCCTCAAGCCATGAAGCCCAATCGACTTCGGAAGGGGATGATGTTGAACGTGAGGATATTAATTGGGGCTCATGGACATTGGAAACCCCGGCTACAGGCCAAAGCGTGATGGCAGATGAAGATTAAAAAGACTGCTTACTCTGGGTGCAAAGAGGGGACTTGGTAAGCGACCCATGTCATTGCCTCTGTACCTGTTCTAATTCGACTTGTGCAAGATACATACCGACACAAACGTTCCTGTCGTGTCTTAAGCCTCAAAACCGTTGCTATACTTGAATTATATGATAGGTCTATGAGATGGACCCCACATAGTTCAAATTTGGTCTATTAGATTTCCCTGAAGAGGCGAATTGAGAAACACAGGTGGCTCAGGCTAATTTTTCAAGAGTCTTCTCACAGATCTCCCTGATTTGGATCCATCTTCGTAGTAGAATGGCAACTTTCTGGCCTTTCCAAGACGGTGGTAGATTCTCTGAAGACCAAACCACTCCATGTGCACCAATTTCCCCCTCTAAACCGTTGATGGCTACCTGGCTTTCGTCCAAGTATGTTTTGACCCATTTACGGATCCAATTCCTGGCATCTTCAGAGATAGGGCCAGACGATGGTTGGCCAAGAACATGTTTTTTCCAATCGTCACGTTCCATGCATTTGAAAGACGCAACAATACTTAGGTTAGGGCTGGGTCCAGATGAGTTTAGCTCGTAATGACTGAGACAAAAAAAAGAGTTAGCCGCATGTCACCCCGATCCAGGGAAAGAAGATTACCTATTGTATCCATGGGTGCGTAGAGTTTCCTTGTCGTCGAAAGTGATGTCTTGGAAGACGATTTCATCCAAAAAAATAGCATCGCTTTCATTTTGATCCAAGAAAAAGCCATCTTCGCGCGCTTCGGTCAGTATAATATTCAGCAAAATTGCAATACATAGTAAAATATACTCACATTCCACAAGAAGGTAATCATTGGGGTGTGATCCGTAGCTCATGAATACCTCTTTCCCTTTCTCTTTATAGTCACGTTAGTTGTCTATCCAGGCATGTATAACAACATAAGAAAGCCCTCACCATGACGAGTCGTGGCTCTAAATGTAGAGAATTTTCCATCAAAAACAACTTCGCAAGGCTATTTCGATAAATTAGATAAAGTCGTGGAGCGTGAAGTATGCCAAAGAGGCGCTACTAACCGCATTGTCCGCATGATTAAAGTAATCACCAAAAGGTACTAAACCTATGGCATCATTCCAGTCATCAGGGGGATCTTCATTAGGACTGACATAATAAAAGCTTCGTGTATTCAGTATAAGCCAATGATATGAAAAAAGGCTCCAATCTGTAGCAGGGAACACCGATGAGACAAGATCCCAGGCATCAAAAAGCCGTTTTTGCTGTTGTCTCAAGACGTTTTGGTATATATCCTGGTCTGAAGAATCGCGGGGAGGGATAGAAAACAAACTGAATTGGCCAGATACGGAAGGGGGCAGAGGGATATGCCCTTCATCGTAACTTGGTGGACTTTCAGGCCACAGTACCGGCAAGGACTCTTGGAAATGCTGCCGAGAAGGCCAGGTCTTACGCCAGGCAGTCCAACGATCAAGTAAGTTCGCATCACCGTGTGTCAAAAATGCGGCGAGAATTCCATGGACGGAGGAATCATTCGGAAAGCGATCGATAAATTCTCTCGGTACGCTGTCAATAGTGAGCATTGTTGACACAGGCACGGCAATCATGATCTCATTTGCCTTTATAACGTGTATTTGATTTAGCTCCTGCTCCAACAATGCCAAAAAAAGGGTTCCGGTGTAGCTCACCTCTATTGTTCTGGTCGCGATAATTCCCATGCCACGTCCAGGGAATTTGAAAGGAGCGACTCCGTTAATTTGTATACCATTAGACAATGCCCATTGCCAAAAATCACGGTGCTTGGTATTAGACTCTTCATCCTTAGCCATTCTCCAATCGGGCGAGATCGATCGTTGCTTGCTGGATTAACGACATCCTTTGGTCCATTATTCTGAACCCTCACGTGATCTGACTACAACCTTAGTAAGCTAAATATCTAACGTTGGCAGTTAACTTAAAAGCGGATCTCCCGCCGGCTCTTGCTTGATGCCAGGGAATACTGAGCAGGAACTGTACTTGATGTGGGAGGAGAGCTGACTGCCTGACGGCAGTCATAGTTACCTTTTGGTTCAGTGTCCGAACGGCTAAGCTCTCCTAGTGGGTCGTAACAGCAGGGGACTAAATAGAACCACGCACGGGGAGGCACAAGGACAAAGAGCGCTAAGCCACATGTGGACAAACCAAACTACAAAGCGTATTTCGCTGTCCCCCTCCGATATGACATATAGAGTGATTGGAATCCTTTCATGTCTGTATATATACGTACTTCAACCTCCAAGGTAATGCCTAGCAGGACCGCGTGTGTTGAGATACAACCTGACTCCTAAGTAGCATTGCTTCTTGTCGAAGGTAAAGTCCTCTGTTTCAAGAACGTGGATATTTTGGTTTTACATCTGACATTGGATGCCTATATTCTGGTGCTCCGCTTTTGATAGATAGGGTTCTTTCAATATTACTATAGGACTATTTATCTGGTCTGCCATGGTTTTATATCGCTTCTTTTCAATTCGTATCAATGTACTTCGGAGATCTGTCTATACTGCAATCCTAGAAGTGTCGTCTATCTATATTTCCCAATGCTATGTACAAACTCCTCTAAAGAACCAAATGCACCAATTCCCATCCGGTTTATATCTAATGCAATCACCTCAACCAAATCACTTTTTGATACCAATAACAGCCAGATTTCTAGGACTCTCCCCATACTCAAAGACAGTCTCAACCCAGCACTCCTTGACAGAATCATGCTCACGCAAAAACTGCCAACGATCAACAACAATGACAGCCTCAACAACCTGTGCACTAAACGCCATAAGACTCCACACCACACTGAGATTCTTGCGTGTATGCAGGTAGTCCTTTTCATAGCGCTCCAATTCCTCATCAGACATCGTACAGATCCGCTCCTTGACGAGATCACCACGAGTCGCATCCCGTCTAAGCTTGACAGTCGCGGCGCGGACATATGCAGTGAAGGATTCGAAGGCAGCCTTGCGAAGCGAGCCGACAATTAGTGCGATCTGAGACTCGTCTGTTTTGTAAAGGTCTACTGGGATCGCCGGTTTTAAGACGACGCCGCGATCGACGAGGACACGCTGTAAAAGAGCGCGGTAGAAGTGGCGCGTGAAGAAGCCTTCGCTATCGGCGTAGCCCCAGTTGTAGGGGGCCTGAACACCCATTGATCGGGCGGTGATGTTTAGTTTCATTCCTTTGATCGTGTCGGATTCGTAGTCTTCGTAGAGCTTCGACATTGGGAAGCCGTGGGGGTCGTAAGAGTCGCCTGTTTTTTTGAGGCGGGGGTGGATGGGTCGTAGATTTGGGAGTTTGTAGGTTGCTGGTCCCAGGCGCTCGGTGAGGAGGTTGTAACAACAGCCAATCATGGCAATTGCTACTACCGATGGGTTGAGGATGAGGGAGCGGACACCGTGGTGGACAAGGTTTCCACATGAGTGTAGAGAAACCACCATGACTCGGGCATCGCTTGGTTTCTTTTCAGGTTGAGTGAGCTCTGCCTCGGTTCCATCCTCGAGCGTCTTTGGATCGACGACGTGATCAATGATTGGTTCCAGGTAGCCGTCTTGGATCTCGTGCTCAATGTAACTGACATGTCCCCGGGTATCGATTTCTGGTGGGGGTTTAGGAATATGAGGTCGAGGCTTCTCGAAGGGAACGACCACATCATCGGCCTCTAAGCTCATCTCGCTCAGCATGAAAGTGTTTTCATTATCATCATCCCCAGCGGGATTCTCCGTCACAGTCTCAGTCGAATCTGCGGGTTCTGTTTTAGGAGTATCGACCTTGTCTGCTAGCTCCGGGGTGTCGGTACAGTCAAGACACTTCTTCCGCTGCTTCTTGACGTACATAGTCTTCTGCTTTTCTTGCTTGGTCAGTCGAGCATGAACATCCATACGGTTAGCACCGCTAATGTATTGATGCTTGCGCTCGATCGCAATGATATGCTTGTGGTAAGGCGCGCTAGCCAGCGTCCGCCCCAGATAGTTTTGCCCGGATCCGAAGTCCACAATGTGAGACAGTGGTTCTCCGCGACACTCCTTCACAGTGTCCGACAGAGAGGCGACGTATTTGGAGAATTGTTCAACCTCATGGGTCTTCTTCTTATTCATTCCTACAGCGACATGTCGCGGAAGGCGTTCGTTGTTCTGTGGGTCTGGGGTGAAATCGCGCTGGAGAGTGAGTCGGCGTATATTGCGAATGTATTCCAGTAGACTCGCAGGCGGAAATGCGCCTCCGTTCCAGGTTCTGTCGGTTGTTTCTGCGCTGTCGCAAAGCGGGCCGATGTCTTCTCGCAGGAGCAACTGTAGAATGCTGTGAATGTCGTGTTGATCGAAGAATGCGCGCCAATCTTCGGGCAGCAATGTCGCATACAGATCGGGTTCGCGTGTCAAAAAATCGAGAATATGCACCCCGCCGCAAAGGTTGATGAACATGATCGACTCAGTCGCAAAGGAAAGAAGGGCTTGAACATATTCGTCGGGATCTTTCCACTCCTCCGAAAGAGGAAGAGGACTTCTAGGTGCCATCATTTACTCCCAGCAAGCACCAAAAACAAAACAATTGAAAGGACCGAACGAGGGAATGAGGGACAATCTTAACTGTGGGGAAAATTGTTATCTTTTTTTTTATCGCGGAGCCCGCTGAGTCAGCTCACGCCGGGGGCGAGAGAGCTCCGTTGTCAACACGGAGTCCATCACCAACCTCCCAACCACATACACCATGGCGCACGCAGACCCATTCCTCCAAGTCCAGGCGTGAGTCTATCCTCTTTACTCATGAAATCAGCTCCCGACTAATTCAACTCCAGTGATGTCGTCTCAACACTCCAAACCAGTCGACCACTCTTCTCCTCATACCTCCGCATCCGGTCCCTAGCCAAAAGCCCCTCAAACCCCGAGCTCAAGCAAGCACGCTCAGAACTTGAGAGTACCTTGACAGAGTTAACAGCGGATCTTAACGACCTAGTCGAGAGCGTGCGCGCAATCGAGCAAGATCCCTACCGCTATGGCCTAGAACTAGAAGAGGTGCAGCGGCGCCGCAAACTCGTCGACGATGTCGGTGATGAGGTCGAGAAGATGCACCAGGAACTACAGCAGGCTGTTTCGAATGCCCCAACGGGCGATGCCCTGCCGAATCCGACGGAGTTTGATGCGGCGCTGGAAGAGGAAGAGCGTGGCCGTGGTCGTCGCGGGAGTGGTGGTGATGACTATTATGCTTCGATGGAGCAGCAGCGGCAGTCGGAGCTCATGCACGAACAGGATGAGCAACTTGATGGGGTCTTCCGCACTGTTGGTAATCTACGGCAGCAGGCTGATGATATGGGCCGCGAACTTGAGGATCAGGCTATCATGATTGACGAGGTTGATACCTTGGCTGATCGGGTTGGAGGGAAATTGGCCAACGGCATGTCGCGAATCAAGCATATTGTTCGCAAGAATGAAGGTACGAATCTACTTGATCTTTCTGGAATTCTTTGGTATAGTATGGGAATCACAATTCAAACTGACTTTTCTAAATAGATACATGGTCCTCCTTTTGTATCGCGGCGCTCATTTTCGTTCTCGTCTTATTATTAATCCTCCTCATTGCACTGTGATAATACATAAAATCAAGGGGTTAGGAAAAGCAAAACATAATCAAACAGGGGGGGGTCATTGGCGTTTCGGGTGCAGTTTAGTTGCGAGCCTTCTTGCGCGGGCGCGACTCACTTTCTTCATCCTCATCTTCGTCCATTCCATCCAATTCTTCCATCTCGAGATCCATGTCTTCGAGATCATCGGCGGCCTGGTAGGATTGAACTGCAGTCCAAGTCAGCGATCTCTCTTCGAGCTCAATCGACATCTACTTACCGTAGTAGCGGAGGGCATCGGGCCAGAGGTCCTCTGCAATGGCAACAGCGAGGTCATCACCATCGGGGAAGATCTCGGCATCCTCGAGTCCATCCTCATCAATATCCTCCTCCTCGTCATCGCTGTCACCACCCTCGGCGATGTCCTCACCCTTCTGGACCTTGGCCCAGCGAGCCTCGATCTCCTTGGCAGCCTCCTTGGACTGAGCAGCGGAGACGTCACGGCCACGGAAACCGAAGAAACCGAAGAAGCTCATGCCAACGGGGCTGGGCATGCCCTCATCATCTTCCTCATCCTCACCGGCCTCGGCGGCAGCATCAACCTCCTCGACCTTCTGGACGAGAGAAGCGAACTCGGGCAGCTTCCTGCGGTCACCGCCCTTCTTCTTCTCGGCGTCCGACAGGTCGCAGGCCGCATCGAGAAGACCGCGGGTGAGATCCATATCCTTCTTCCAATTGATGCGCACGGGCTCGGAAACGAGACCCTCCCAGGTGCGGGTGCGGCCCGAGGAGGTCTTGGAGACCTCCTGGCGCCAGTAGAAGTTCTTAACGAGCTTGTCGTTTGTGAAGTAAGGGTTCTCCTCGCCGGTCTTGAATTCGAAGGTGAAGCGCAGGGAGCGGGGCTCGCCGTTGCATTGGGCATCGAGCTCGAAGCGCTCGACGGTCATGTTAACCAGGACCTCGCCCAAGGCCTCGGCGTCGGTGGGCAGAATGTACTCGTCGATCTCGGGGGGAGCGCTGGCAAAGACACGCATCCAGAACTCGGGCTGGACGTCAGGCATCTTGATAACGCTGGCGCGCTTCTCAATCAGAGGCTGGGTGAGCTTGACAGTGTTGCGGACTATTTATTTTGGTTAGCATGAATACTACAATTATTTGACAACGAGCTGCCAACCAGCTCGTCGGAATATTCCAGGTCCAACTTACGCTGCTCGACCTCAGCACGAGCGAATTGCTCCTCCAAAATGGCGATCTGCTTCAAGGCAGCCTCTGGGATGCTGGGCATCTCGATGCGCTCCAGGAGCGACTGGTCGACGGTAGACATGATGTAATGATTCGTGAAAACGTAAAAGCTAGTTAGGAAAAGAGAGGAAGTATAGTAAAGATAAGTAGGATACGTTCACAGGAGAGAGTAGTGAAGAAGAATCTCGAAGAAAGGAGAAAGATCAAATTGAAAGCGGGACAGAGAGGAAAAAAAAAAGTCCTGATGCGGGATGACGAGCATTACAAACTGCTAAGAGGAGTTACATAGTGCTACCTGGAGGTACCTCTGGTTCCGTGGTTCACCGGGCGGCTACCCAAGTATCTCTTCGTACCCAGGTGTCCCCCGAGCAACAACGTGGTGGGGGGTCAAGCTATTAGTAGTTGAAGGCAAAAGCAGAGAAAACTCTGACGCTGATCTTTAGTTGGTGGACCTGTGCTAATTGGCTGTATGACTGTGCAGCCATTGGGCTGCAAGGGGCTCTCGGGCAGGAATTCAAAGTCTGGAGCTCAAGCTGGAGCTCTGGAGGCTACAGTATGGAGGCCATGAAAGAAAAAAAATACGCCAGGTTTTGCTGATAACGAAAAAATGGCTCTTATCAGGATGAGGGGCTTAGCGTGAAAGACAATCTCTTCACCGACATCTCTCATGGGTGATACTGTATACAGTAGTAGTCTCCGGTTGAGGGCCCTCAATAGGGGCCGGGTTAGGGTTCGGTGTTTTCGACGTGATCCCTGAGACCCAAGACAGGACAGTATCTCCTGTGCACATGGAACCCTGTGAAAAAAGGGGGGTTTGACTCGAACTAACCTCGGTAATATCCTACCGTCAAGAAAACTATGCTTGATGCTTGATGCTTCATGCTTGTAGGGCAGCCTCTTACAAAAACAGCCCCAGGATCATACCAGTGAACGAGTTACCAACCAGCCTCATTCCCCCTTGAAGCTCCTACAACGTACAACTATACAGTATGGTGTATACTGCAAGCTCCGATCCCCCAATAACAACCCGAAGATCATATTTCCTTTTTTGCCGTGCCCCTCCTCCTATCAGCGTCGTCCATGGCCAGATGAGATACATCAACAATAGCGGGACCGCAAAGAACAAGAAAAAGGAAATATGACCCGGTTCAGTACATAGTTTATTTCGACGACCATGTCCCCCTGCCCGATCCAGTCCTGTACACAGTGGATCGCACTCCGTATAGTTATCCGCGTTCAGAGATGCAAGTCGCGGTGACTTGCCCTAGAACCGCCCTAGAAATGCCACCTAATCAACTCGGGTAGCTTCCCGGCGTGTCCTTCCAGATCTGCCCATTTGCCCATATGCCCAGTCTGCTCTGCCCCCTCTGCTCCGATCTGATTTGTTGCGCGCGGGGCCCAGATAAGAGGAGCGGTCTGCACGATGAACGTGGACGCGCACGGGGACCTGCAGATGGCGGAGGTTGGTTCATTTTGGGAGTCAGGTGGATTATAGAGAGGAGACACAGAGACACCGGGATCGGAGCCGGGGATTGGAGCGGCAGGCCCTGCGCCCTTTCTAGTACTGTATACAGGATCCGGGAAACGGCAGAATCGTGAGCATATCATTGAGCAGGTAAATCGCACTGCGACCAGAGTCGGGATATCGTATTCCATATTTTGGGTCTCCTTTTCGAGCTGGGGGGGCTGAACGGAACAATAGGGCAAAGCAAAACACATAATCAAAAATCAAAATCAAAATCAACTTTTTTTTTTCCGTGGCATGTCTCATGAGATTGATCAAATCAGATCAAACCACGTCAAATGAACAATCCTCGTTCAATGCTACCTCATCCTCTCCGATTAAGAACCGAGGTTAAGTCATGAAAGTCCGTATATCCCATGCCCGTTCGCCAAGAATGCAATGATTAGAACCAAGAAAGAGAAAGAAAGAGAGAAGAAAGAAAAAGAAAAAGAAAGAAAAAAAAAAAAAACAGCAAAAGGTAAGATGACATGCACAGAACATCATCACCATGCACGTCTTACCCAGTTGATCTGTCGTGATAAGAGAAATTAAAGAGTCGCAAAGAGCAAGAAAAAAAAAGAAAAAAAGGAGAAAAAAGAAAAGAAAAAGAAAAGCAGAAAGAAGAGAAAGGAAACGCAAAGTCATCATAGATAACTAAAGCATCCAATCCAACCCATTTGCCTCCTCTTCCACAGGGAATACTTCCCGCGCATACTCTTCCATATCGCGCCAGCCCTGCCACAGATGTCGAGACTCGTCCGTCACCCGCAGCGAGATAACCCCACCAGGCCCCTGCATCATGCCCGCACCAGCGCCCTTCCCACCCGCCGGTCCGAGACCCTTTGGAGAGCCCGCGGCCGGTTGTGAGAACTCTGGTTGCGGGAAGTACGGGGCATCACAGTCGCCAAAGAGGATCTCCAGGGCTTCCAGTTGTTCCCGGTAGCCGGGGGGGATATTGACCTTGATTTCGATTTTCGGGACGCGAATGTAATTGCACGGCCGGTCGAGGGCCCGCGAGAAGGCCGCACAGACTTGGAGGGGGGAGAGTGTTTCGAAGGTGAGCGCGATACTAGTGTGTCGGTCAGTGGTCTGCTCGTCCTATCCTATTTCGAGCTCTGGGTATGGGTATGGGTATGGGAATGGGTGATTTCCGGGGCTTGTCCTTACCGGTGACCGTTCCACTTCTTCGTGCCGTCCTTGAAAATCTGCAGCAGCGTCGGTCCCACATCGTGTTCTGCGTCCAGCCAGGGCAGTGGGATCTCCGGGTCGAACGGCGCACGCCATTCAAAGCTCCCATCTTCCAGCAACTCCATCTGGAACAGCGGATAGGGCAAGCTCGTAAAGTTATTGTTGTAGATGCCCGCATAGACAAAGGTCGCGGGCATGCCCAGCTGGCGCACGTAGTTTTCGACGGTGAACTTGGGCGCCCACTGGGGCACGGCTGGCCACGGCCCATGCACCGAGTGATCGGGCATACTGCTGTAGATATAATGCTGGATGGAGCCGGCTCGTTTGGCAGCGTCGGCGAGGGCTCGGCCGATGGCGACCTCGTCGCCGGACTGCGAGGTGGTGTTGATGAAGGCGAGTTGGGCGCCCTTGAAGAGCTCGTCCATCAGGGCGACATTGCCGAGGAGCGGTCCTTGGAGCAGGGTCACATTGGGCAGTTCGGCCAGCTCGGGTGCGATTGTGCCTTTCAACGAGTGGATTTGCGCGCGTACTGAATATCCCACGGCGGATGCGACTCGGATGAGCGATGCGGCTTGCCGGCCTGTCGCGTTGACCACGGCAATGGTCTTCTGCGGTTGTGTCATGGGTAGATTGTTGTTGGGTGTGAATGTATGAGTTTATCAGATTGGGGGAGGGGAGGGCAGATAAAAGAAGAAATCCGGAGTAAGCCTTGGCGAGTGGTGGGGTACCTTGGGAGGTCAAAGTTGAAAAGGCCGCACGTTATGCGATCTGAGTTTCCTGCGGTTTGGAGTTCCCTGGGTTTTTTGCTGGAAAATTTGGACTCTTCACTGGTTGCGGAAAACGTGGAGAGGATAAGATAAGGCGTATAACGTTAAGGTATGCCACTAAGAGAAGATCAGAGCTCTAGGAACACCGGAATCATATATAGAAGGACACCATTCTGTTTTTTCTACGTATTTCTCATATGACACCATCGCGCGATTTAAAAAAGAAAAAAAAAAAAAAAAAAAAGGCGAAAAAAAGGAGGGAAAAAACGAAGAGCTTTTCTTTACGTAAATCGGCCAATTCGGCACCGGGCAGATCCTTTGACCGTACGCTGTTCGGGACTCGGAATGAGCTTATACTCCTGGTTTACCAGGCATCAACCCCAACTCACACTCACCTTCCTCTCGCATCTGCTTCAGGCTTCGCAGATACTCGAGACACTCCCCTCGAGATGCGTCACTGTCTCGCCAAGAACCATTTCGGAAGGCCCCGAGCCCCCCCCCCATTCCATCAAGTAACGAAAGAACTAAATAGCGCAGGTGACTTCCACCAACAATCAGCCAGGGGGAGCCTCACGTGGTGTCCCTCCGTATATCTGCTGGGGCACCCTCAGCCAATTGCAGCCACGACGACTCCAAAAACCCACCCCGATCCATACACCACCGGTGATAGTCGGCTAACTGTACAGAAGGTGGACAGTGTACAGGACACTACCGGGGGGACAGTACCTGAGGAGTATTCACAGAGTTCATGTACCTGTTTCTGCATGGGAACGTCATTCCGAAACCGTGCAGGGGACCGACCGGACCAGAGGCAGATGGGGGAGGGGGGGAAAGCATCAACGGAGACACAGCACACTTCGTATGGTGTGCTGTTGTTACCCTCAGATCGCCTACGCTAAACGTCCCAAACCCCGCAAACCCAATGCATCACATCATTCATGAGAGGATTTTCCAGATCTATGAGGCCATCAGTGGATTGGGGCGGGTGCCTGATTACTTGAGAGAAATGGTCGCTGCGACGCGTCGTGGTCTTGATACCACTCGCAACACACAAATGCCACCAGCCCTAGGAGCTGACGGGTACAGAGGGGGGGGGAAAGCAATGAACTCTGCAGGTTACCCCACCATTCGCACATCTAGAACCTCCTGAGTGAGTAACCTGCGAAGCCCTAACCCCAGAATATTCAAAGTAAAAAAAGAAAAAAAAAAGAAACAGAAAAAGAAAACCCCCCTTATCTTCCCCACTTGGTGGCTTGGTGCGGCAGGCCCCGATCTCCGCGGACTTGCTCTTAGCCATTGCTCTTGGCTGTACGGAGTACTGAGCACAGCATGTGGAGGGTATTGGATGGGAAGGCCCGGAACGATCATCTGCTTTCCGAATATACTAGCCGCGATATTGAGTAACCGAGGAGGAAGAAAACAGAAGGGAAAGTCCAGGTAAGGAGGGCAAATGGGGAACCCCGTGATCACTCTATATTCTAGCGTCATCTGGAATAGTATCTAGGTGCAAGCGCAAAACCAAAACAGCCTTAGCTGCATTTAAGAAAGAAAAATGACAGAGCTCCCAGGACACTTGGGCCCTGTTGTGGCCCGTCCTAAAACGGGAAATAAAAAGAGCGAGGGATTAAAGTAAAAAAAAAAAAAATAAAAAAAAAAAAAAAAAAACAAGGAAAAAAAAGAAAAAGAAAACAAAGAAGCACATCAGATCGCATTCCCGTGATTGACAGGGTTGACAGGTTAAGATGGCGCAGACCCAGCTGTCATCTTACCCCGACCAGCGTCCCAATCCCACTCCTCGTCCATCTCACGCTGGCTAATCTCCTTCGGTCCGACCCCCGCCAATCCCCAGACCGAGGGACGATGACGAGCCAACAGCTCAGCCGCGGGTCGTTCACCAGAGTGCAGGTGAGCACCCGACTTGCGGAGGAGAAGGACGTGTTCTGAGAGGCCAGCATTAGCTGCGAGGAAGAGTGGGGTGCGGCCGGCGCGATTGCGGAGGTGGACGGAGCCGCCTTGCGATAGGAGGAAGTGAAGGATGGAAATTGCGGGGGAGGTCGAGGCGAGGTGCTGGTCGCGTGTTAGCTTGTTGGGAAAGAGATAAGAGAAAGAGAGGGAGCGAGAAAGGGAGAGAGAGAGAGAGTTTGGTTGGGGTATAACTCACAATGGGCGTGTTACCCGAGTAATCGGCGTCGTTGAGGAGCCAGTGGTGCTCACTTTTGGTGATGGCTTGGACCTTCTCTAAGTCGCCGTGGTCGATAGCATAGCCCATTACGGTAAGGGTTTGGATGCGTTCGGGGAGCGCACCATCTGGGTGACGAAAGACCGGCTGAGATGACTCGGTCAGCTCGCCGCGAAGTGAGACGGACATGCGCGCAGCGATGGACTCGGGGGTGGAGTCGGGCAGGGCGAGGAGGTAGGCCAGTTTGGTCAATGCTCCTTCGGTGGTCATGTCGAGACCGGCGACGACTCCAGCGCGGGAGAGACTCATGCCGGTGGCATAGACGGGACTGACACTGCCTGTGAGACACTGCGTGATATTCACAATGACAATGCCCCGCTTAATCGCGCTGGCCAGAACGTTGATCATCGCATTATCCTGACCAGACGGCGCATTGCCCGCACCAAACGTCTCCAGAATCAACCCACGCAGTCCATCCAACTTCAACACCGCATCTACCATCTCCGGCTTGATACCAGGGAAGATACGCAGGCAAGCAACATGGGTCGTGTCGAGGTTGGTCTGGATACTGAAATGCTGCAGCGTCCTCGGCCGGTGAACCATATCCCAATTCACATTCGTCCGCATCGACGTGGTCACAGCCAACGGCGCACAATTGGGTGCGTCAAACGCAGCAAAGTCACTCGCCGCAACCTTCGTAGTCCGATTGCCCCGGAAGAGCCGGTTATTGAAATACAAGCACACCTCGGGAATCATGAAATGGCCCGCAACAACCAGCGAGCCCAGCAAGTTGTCCGTGGCATCGTTCTGCAGCTCCAGCATGGGCGCCTGCGAGCCCGTGAGCACCACGGGTTTTCCCAAATTCTGCAACATGAAGCTGAGCGCCGAACAAGTATACGCCAGACTATCCGTGCCATGTAGAATCACGAACCCGTCGAAGAGCGTGTAGTTTCGGAAGACGGTCTCGGCGATCTCAGCCCAGCCCTTTGCGTCGATGGAGCTGCTGTCGAGGAGTTCCTCGAACTCAAAGACTGTATAGCGGACCTGACGCCCATAGGCTGTCCGGGGCGTGCGCAGACTGGGGTGTTCTTTGATCTCGTTGGCGGCGTTGGCTACCACATCCATTGTTGTCGACGGTGAGCCATCGTTGAATGTTGGTACGCGTGCCATGCACTTCTCCTGGAAGCCGCGTGCTGGGATGAACCCTGCTGGCGAGGGTTGCATGCAGATGGTGCCTCCCGTCATGATAATCAAGACGCGGGATTCTTGCACGGTCTCTTCGGGTTTTGCCTCGCCCATCTCTGGGATTGATGGCACGCTCATCTTGTTGATGCCCGCGGAGAGCATGGTTGTCTTTGTATTGTTTGAACTAAGTAGCTCGATGGTTGGGTATTATTTTCCAACGTTCAACCTTCCGTACATGTATTTGCATCCAATCAGGTCAATCACATAAATCTTGTAAAAATCAATGGGTCTGATCCACGATAATTCTGCGGATCGCGGGGCAGATGACGTTAAATAGCAACAGAGATTTTTCAGCCCCGAGAGGTAAAATCGACGTTTGATGATTGACTCTTTTGGCCGAAGTGTGGGAAACCCCAAGTGACCCCGATTGTATTACGTAGGCGAGATCTGATTGGTCGGTGCGGCATTAAGGATGGCTCCACTATCGGAGTCCTGAAAAGCCTCCGGTGGCAATTGAAACAGACAGAACAGAACAGTACAGTAGGAAGTTGCATTCAGGGAAGGGGTTGAGCAGTAGGTTGTGTTGCTCGCTTCACGGCAGTCGACTACTGCCATCCGCAAAGGTGGTTTTCTTTTTTTTCCCCTGTTCTATCAACGTTGGGGCATAGGGTTCTATACTGATCGGGTGAAATCCATGATAACCCCAAGAATCAGATACGATTCATGACTAACCAGTATTGAACTGTGACAAATCCTCTTCCAAAAGGCCCATCATATACTGATTTCCCCAGAACCAGTTCCCCAACTGAGCGGCCTGTACCATCTCCGCCGAAGCAGGCTCATTGCCTGGACCTTGTGTTGGGGCCTGGATCTGATTCTGATATAAGAGCCCAGACGACTGTCCCTGCTGTAACGGTTGTGGTACTTCAGCGGAAGTGACATGAACAGAAGGGAGATCCGCCTGGAAATATCCCTGTGCGTTTGGAGTCCCCGCGTGAACATTCCCCGTGCCCCCTGTAGTGCCAATCATAGAGGTAGCAGGTGCAAGACCCAGCGCACTCAGATAAACATCAAACTCCTGCCCGACTTCTGCAAGGCTCGGGTCTTCGTTGGTGGGGCGGGTGTTCGCTTCAAAGTAAAGGCGGGCTACGGTGCCCAGCACCGAGCAGAGGGTGTGTAGTCTGTCAATGGATTGCGAGTATGCGCAGAGAGGGCGTAGGGAGCCGATGAAATCTTCCAAATGGGCAAGGTCGGTTTCGCTGGAGGTTACTATCACGTTGCAGAATATGACTATGAACGGGACGAAGGGGGACATCAGAACGGCCCTGTTAGTTTTGTGATTAGCCGATATCTGGTCATAGTTGGGTTAAGGTGTAGGGTGGAGAATCCTCTTATGAGGTCGCCAATGGAGTGTTGAGATAGTTACCAGTGCATGTAGGAGATCTTTATATACTCGAATGTTTCGCTGAGAGCGGCGACACATTGTCGATGGACTTCTAGTGCTTCCCGGGCTGCCTTGATACATTCTGGGATGAATGTAGTGGTGGGTCCTGAGCCTTCGGATGCAGGAATTGCTCGGTATATCAAAGTCATGATAGACAGGCGGCTGATTTTGTCCGTTTGGAGGTATAAAACATCAATATCGGCCAGTTTGAGGCCAGATGACATGAATGTCTAGTTTTCCCGTTAAAACTCCGCAACTTGATCCAGCTCATCAACACAAGGTGTACTTACTTCGAAGGGTTCCATAACAGTCTCTTCCATCTCAGCAGCTAGTCTACGTGCATGTGCGACTCGATCGGATTCTGGTTGTTGCAGTGCCTCGGGGCTATACAGGAGTCGATAGACATTGCTCTGGATGATGGCCGACCTGGTCCACCATAAGCACACACCTCCCCACGGGCTGGGGATATCGGGGTCAAGAAATGGTGCTGGGAGGCTGATGTCATAGTTTTGAATAGAACAGGCGCGTCCCAAGCGCAGAGACATCATGTTAAGTACGACATAGACGGACCAAAATACCCTTTGTTTTTCTCTTTGAACTGGTGGAGTATCGTGCTCCATTGACGAGAAGCGGTGATATCCTAACGTCTGGCATAGATTCATGGCCGTTGACGCTAGAGTCCAGCCGACGGATGGTTTAGAAATCTCCAGTGCATGCATAGCCTGGTTTAATAAGTATGGAGATGATACGAATGATCGCAGGGATGTGTGGGTGACTTACTCCCACAATTAATGCCTTGATTGACTCCTGTGTTGCCGGCATCAGGATATTCAGATTGGCAAGTGCTGTCTCCAAATTGTTGCGGCACATCTCGATGTGGCTCAGGTACTCATCTCGCGCATTTGGGTCCGGATCTGTGTATCCAAACTCGTAGAAGATGCTGTAGATTCCAAAGTTCGATATAACAAATGCCGCATCCGAATATTCATCTGTACAAAAGTACACTTCGCGGCACTTTTCCGTAAAATATCCCACGCTGAGAAAAGGGACATAGCCCCCAAAGCAGGAAGGCGGATTCGCTACTCATAGTGAGACAAGAATTCAGATCGCTGATCACAACGATGAAATAACACACCTTTGATCTGCCGTAACATTCCTAGCACCAATTGCAAAGGCGGCATTTGCAGTTCGCGAATATCGCACCTCACACCTAGCCTCGCTTTATTGGCTGAACCTTGGTCTCCCTGCAAATCCCCCTCTCGGCGCTGGTTTTGAACTTGCACGATTTTCTTCAATGAAGATAGAGCAGCGTTGATTTTTGGACTGGACAGAACCTGGTGCGAGCTTTTAGATACAGCCGTTTCAAGGAAAGCACTCGCATAAGCCCCATGTGCAGCAAGCGATGAGCTACCCTCAAACCCAGAGCTAGTATCATGCTGCTCGATGGTAAGGTTGGTTTGATACACAGGAATTTTGGTCTTGCCAGAGCTTCGCGGGGTAGAACTCTGAGGCGAAGGAGTATAGCACGGTTCCCGTTGTTGTGGTGCAGCAAGATTCTGTGGTTGAGTTGTATTTCTTACTAACTCTTGGAGAGATCTCTCGATTTTGCCCAGGCGTTCTTCGATCAAGTCAATCTTTTTCTCGCTGGACCTCTGTGAATAATAGGCCCACATTGGGATTAGAGCGTATACATACTACTGATTCGAGATCAGCACACGACGTCTGGGTTCTGCTGGCTTTTGGCCTTCGCCCGTTGATCGACATGCAATGCTGGAGCTACGGCAATTCGAACAAGGCGTTCGCTTATCACATCGGATCTGTGCAAGGTGAGATTGAAGCATGCGTGTCTGGTCATTTTATCTGTACCTTTCGGAGTCGGCATTGGTCACACTTGCATTTCAAAATCTCGGTTAGCGTGTTTTTGATTCTTCTGTTGAATGCATGCCTGAGATCTCTATATCAGGAGGTGATTTGTGGAGCACATACTGCACGTCGGACCACGGCGTTTGACGCTACGTGTCTATCCTGATCGGACTCTTCATGCTCCATGTGTACCAAATGCACCTCTGCTGTGGCGACCAAAATTTCGAACCAAGCGCGATAAAAGTGAAAATATAGGCGTTGAACGTGGTTCTCGGCTCCCTTTGACTGGTGCCTATGTGATCACGTGGTATGATTCAACGATACGATTTTGTCGAAAGGGAACTCATCTCGATATGGTCAGGAATATTGCGAATTAAATGACATAAGGAACCAAAATCTAGGAATCATTGGAATATCTTCATTGAGCCCTTGATGAACGAGTGATCCTGCAAACGCCGTGCCTTTCTAGCACTCAAGTGGGCACAGCGTGTCCAGCACACAGATACCAAGAATGTATTGGTCTATATTTGTAAGGGAAAGTCAAAAAGAAAAGTAACAAAGTCGGTTATCGTGTATACAAAGAAAAAAAAAACAAATCTACTCCTTCGGGGGTGAAGGAGGATACCATGTGCCGTCGCTCAGCCAGACTCCTGTCGGGCCGTATGTACCAGCCTCGGCACCTCTCAAAAATGCGAATCGGAAGAAAATGTCTTCGGGTTCATCGTCAGGATCGCTATCGACGAGTAAGACTGATTGGGGTTTGGTATCGGCGTTGACATCGCGATTCACGAGGCGGGGATTGGTCTGTAGCTCAAGGCCATCATGGCCGTGACGGTGCCAGGTGAATTCTCCTGTTTTGTCTTCGTCGAGATATCCACGCCAGCGCTCCACGTCGTTCAGGAGAACTGAGACACCGTCGACCGCTAGATCGGTCATCCGTTCATGCTCCCATAGAGAGAAGGTGATGTTCCCGTTGCCGCGGTGAGTGTGAACAGAATCTAACCCTGGAAGCGAGATGTTGACGGACGATTCCGTGATGTTGGGGTATGTAGATCCCCACCAGCCATGAATTCCATCACCAAGTGCTGCATGCTCACCCAAAGCGGCGGGAGTCTCAATGATTGAAGCGAAGCCCCATCGAGCGACTCCATTGATGAAGAGACCCAACAACAGACCCTGGTATATTAGTGACGGACGGGTAGGGAAAGCAGTTCCCGGCATGAGTAGAATGGCCAGGATATAATGATGGATCCGAAGTCGAAGACCAGGAAGGGGGAGTAAAATCAAGATGATCAGCAACATAGTGCAGTAGATCTTCAAATACCGCGGAAGCAAACCTCCCTGGCGAATCTGCCATGCCTGACTCAAAACAATCGCGAGGACAGTTGGAATGACAAGAGCCAATGCGAACTTAGCTCCTGGTTGCTTCTGAATGTCCATCGGGGTCAGGCGCTGCAGTGGGATTAACCGCGCGAAGGTGTAGTTGTTCAATGCACCAATGAAGAGCGGAGGCAAATAGAGCAGCAGCTTGGAGAACTGATAAATGGGAGAGGAGATAGGCTGTAGAAGCGGTGCCGCACAGAATTTATACAAGACATAGACGACAAAAGAAGCCGGCAGTAGTCGTGATAGAAGACTGGAGACAAGGTCGGCCAAGGTGGGATATGAGGGCGGGTCGGCAACCAGTCCTGTATGACAAAACACCATAAAGAATGTACTGAAAAACAGAATAGGTGGTGACGTGCAGAAAAGCCACAAAACGCCAACAGCAGCAGCGGTGACTCCAAGCAAAGTCCAACGGGGGTCTGATGGGCAGCTAGCTTGTGGTGAAGACAGCTCAAGGAAACTGAAAGCCTTGGGGAATGTTGATGGAAAAGCGGCAGAGAGAATGCCATTCTGCTTAACTGAAGGGAAAGAGTGCGCCGCGCCCTCAAGCTTCACAACGCCGCAACCACCATCGTTGGAAATGGCGCCCACGTGGATTGCAGCTTGGCACACAAAACTATCCGCACGGTAAAGTGCCGGGTCGGAGGAATCGGGCTGAGGGCCTCCAACAACTAGTCCCTGGTAGTTGTATGTATGGTTCCCCACAATGTGAGGCTCCAATAATTTAGTGTCACGGCAATTCGCGGGACACCGGAAAGCAATGGTCGAGGAAGAAAACGGACGGCAATCGTTTCCATTTATCCCACATCCATTATCAAATTCCCTAGATCATGTGAAACTTGGTCAGAAAATTCAAGGACAAATATTTTTCATCCAACATACCAAAAGTTCGTCGAACACGAGAGAGTCTGCGGCCGACCATATCCTTCAATATACCCAGAAGAGCGCGAGTGTAGCAGAACAAGGAACCATGGCAAAAACCAAGACACATATAGCAGCATCAAAAGCAAAGTTTTGTATTTGCGTTTGGGCAACAGACGGTCAAGGTATTGAACGGGCAGTTCTTGGACTCGCGGGAACAGCGGCTTCAACAGAAGCATATGCGGTGGATCAGGGCCTTTCACCCAATGGGCGACAGAGCGACCGACCTTTCTCAACGGCAATGGAACCCATCCCCAGCGAAACGATTTGGATGATTCCCGTAGCCAGACGGGAAGTGCATGGCCTGCTTCAACGTCGGGTGGTGGTAGGTCTTCGGAAGTGTCGGGATCAACGATGCGATCGTCATCCTCGAGGAGAGGTGGTACATAGAGCCTGGTGGCCTCCTCGCGACCATCTCCTAACATGGCGGAGGTTTATATCGGAGGTAAAGAGTGCTGTGGTCCGGAGAACTGGAACGAACGGTGGGTAATATGTATGATGTCGCAGGTCGGTGGCTTTGGGCACTAGGGTGATGGACAGTGGAGACCTCCGTGATTGGTATGTAGGGCGGAGGATCACCAGGGACAAAACCCTGAAGCGAACACAGCGAAAGATCCGTGCTAGACCTAAATCATGAAGATAAGAAAAAGTTGTAAGATAAAAGAGAAAGAATATGGGAGATACTGAAGAGAAGAGGCAGAAGAATTGAGATCTGGGGAAGTGGGTGTGGTCAGGCAACCAGGCCAATCACGAGACCCACGGTCACGAGTCAGTGGCGATGCATCTTCACTATTCATCCATTGTAGATCCCATGGGACCTACGGGGTGAAACACTCGCGCTAATGCAGGGAAATAAATGCAAATCTCAAAGCCCTCATCTGTAGTATCTCGGTTGTCCTACATTGTGTGACCAGTACAGGGATCTTGAGTCCGGAAACTAGATGGGAAAAAAGTCTTGATTGGTGGCGTTATAATGACATTCTAGGTTCTATACCAGACCATTAACCTCGATCAGCACCCGGTCCCTAGAAAGTTGACCCCTGGTCCTAATCGGAGAGCCTCCATGGCCATCTCGGCCTCTTCATCGCCACTTAGGCCGTCGAGGTTCTTCAACTGCCAGAACGACCGAAGACCATCTACCAATCTATGGGTGAAAGGCGCCACCGCGTCAATATCCATGGGGGCAAAAGCCACCCGAATGAATCGGTATGCCTTGGCAGCTGATGTAGGAGTTGCAGCGAACATACTTCCCGGTCCAACAAGACACAAATACGGCTTCTTGGTCAGATGGATCCAAAAAGCCTTGGATAGCCGCTCTCCGCTGAACTGAGAACGCAGGGGGTGAGCATCAAAGAATATTTCCACCCAAGCGAACATGCCGCCCATCGGCCAGACAAAGTCATACAGTTGCACTGGGTCGACCACCTCCCAGTCGTCGACATGATCAACTTTTGATCCCTCGTTGAACAGGTACTTGTTCTCTTCCAGGACCGTGCACATGGCTTGCATGCGCTTTTCATAGCTCCCGCGTAGACCCTCCAACCAGCGGACCCAGCCGTCCATGTGCCAGCCTGAAGATACTTGTTTGGACCGAGTGTTGCTGTCCTCTTCGGACTTTCCAAAGATCATCTCTGCCACTAAGGACTGGACAAATCCAGATGGTTGTTGTGTGGTGACTTCTGTGATCCGAGCGAAGCGCTCAATAAATGCTGGCTGTGCTGTGATCCAACCCAGTCGACTGCCAGGTGCGATGGTCTTGGAGAATGTGTCGAGTCTCACCACTCGTCCCTCGGTATCGATAGATAGATAGGAGGGAACCAGTGAGTCCAAGAACTCATAACCTGACGACTTGCCCTCTGCATTGTAGTTCTTAGTATACAGATTCGGCTCAGAAGATGCGCCGCGATAATGAACGGTCTTTTCATAGGCAGACGGAAACTGCAAGTTCCAATACGGTTCATCTTCGACGATAATCACATCGTATGTTTGGCAGAGAGCGTAGATCTGCTTTCTTCGCTCGACTGAAAGTGTACCTCCAGTAGGATTCTGGCCGGTTCTGTGACGGTTTAGTATGACCCATCCATGCATGACCCCTTTCACGCAGGAGAGGCAGTATAACTTACGCTACAGTATACATCAAATGAGGCCTGCGACCGCGTCGAAAGTCCCAGTTCTCCAATACATCTTTCAATCCACCTTTGCCGGTAGCAAGCATGCCTTGACCATCCATTGCAACGCTGGCAATGTTCAGTCCGCGAGGCCGCACCGTCTGAATGGCATTCATATACGCCCACTCCTCGCACAAGACACCTTCCCGCTGCTGGATCCAGTCGCGGTCGGGGTTCCAGATATTCGTGAATGCCTCCACTGCTTTGTGGAAGCCATCCGTCGACCCGCAGGTCATGATGATATCGGGACCACCTGCATACGGGATATTCGGGTGAAGATGCTCGCGTGTGAATTGTCGCAGGAATGCGGATAAAGGTTCGATGCCTTCCGCGGTGCCATATTGTAGCGCTGTGGCTAGGTCGATTTTTCGTGAAGCATCTTTCGTCTGGCTCTCTTTAGGGACTGTTACTCGCACTGATGATTTGGCGTCTTCCTTGCTGGTTGGTAGGAAGCGTTGGGGTAGCGCGACTTTGGCTTCGAGGGTATCATACGGGAAGTAGGATGGATGTGGCAACCCTACTGGATTGTCAGTCTCAGGGGATCTCAGATATAGGATATTCTCAGGGGTAGTTGACCTCCAGCGAAATTGGCGATTCCGGGAATTAGGAAGTATTTATAGAAGTCTTTGACACTGCTGGGTTTCTTGTTCTTGGTCGCGTAGGATAAATGGTGCGACAAGTCCAGCGGGAGTGGAGCTGTGGCTTGAGCTGTCATGACGATCGCTTCAACGGCCTTGCATATAACGATTGAACGGTGCAAATTGGACGATCAACAAATAGGGCATGAAGTGGTAAGCCAAAATCAAGAAATATCAACTGTAGCTTGGAGCAAGTTTATAAAACCAACGGAATCCCCGGCCCACCCCCCGCAATGCTTGATAAGCACGCTGGTTTTGGGTCTCGATCTAACCGGAAGAACAGGCTTCATTGGCCAAGGTCAATCTTATCTCATACCAGTAGCACTATGGCGATAGAGCAAAGCAGTCCCGGCTTCCATGGTCCCGATTGGTTGGTGCATGTGGTGATACTTGGGCGATTATGGCGAGCTTACTGTACAATGGGGCACGCGTCCCAAGAAGCTAGATTAGGATCTAGACATGAATGCTCTAGAGAATGAGAGTATCTCAGGTTCAGTCTTCTTTGTGATCGAATGAATGCTAAGCTTCAGAAGCTTCAGAAACTTCATCCGAGTGAAAGGCTTATTAACAAGAGGCAATGTAGTCTAGCGAAGCCCAGATTTGACCTGGTTCCAGTTCAAAGCAAATTCTCATGCTAAGTCTGTTTGATTCCACCAGTATTTGTTATTGGTCTACCACATAAATCTCACGAGTGAAGCATGATCCATCTCACATTCAAGTCATTCCGAAAAAGGCGATTGGCCTCTTTTCCTAGCAGAGCTTCTACCCAATCATATCTTATAATTTCTGTATAAAGAATATATCAGTGATTGGGTATGTCTTCAATGATCAAATATCTTGGGTTGGTTTCCTTCACAGCACGGCCTTGGCGCTGGCACTTGAGCAGTAAGATATCACTACCATTACCTTAATCAAGCTTGCTGAGGTGAGACTATATATTATAGTTCATTGGCATTCTCTCGGTATTTCAAATTTATCTAGATAAATAGAGCTTCGTCGTCACATTACAAAAGTCTGACTGACACTAAGTTTTTGCCAACACAGAGTTGCTATATATAATTCACATACACCACCAACATCACCCTAAATAACAATATTCACAATCATAATGGCTGCATCTTTGGATATAGTCAACCAAACCTTCGCGAATGAACTTTCCAAAGGACCTCCTTTATATGAGAAGACACCGGTCGAAGCGCGCCAAATCCTCGAGAGTGTACAGCAACACACCCCAGCACCTGATATCACCCAAGAGGAACTTGATGTCCCCTATGAATCCTACAATGTGAAGACAATTATCTTCAGGCCGAAAAGTGCCAATGGCCATCTGTCTACTATCTTCTATACGCACGGGGGCGGTTGGATTCTGGGAAGGTATGGCACTAATCATGACCCTATTCTGGACAACAGGAATACTCATCAAATCCAGCCCCACTGTTCACGGCTCTTTGATGGAAGACCTGGCACGACAGACCGGTGCAGCTATAGTGTTCCCATACTATACCCCCGCGCCGGAGAAGCAGTATCCTACTCAATTTGAGGAGTCATTTGCTGTGTTGAAGTATATTGTTGAAAATGGAGAAAAGTATCATTTGAAGACAGAGACACTTGCTTTGGCTGGTGATAGTGTTGGCGGTAAGACTATATCTGGTGATAACTAGGAACAGCCCATCATTGATAACTTTTACTCTTAGGGCACATGGCCATCGCCATGGTCCAGCTAATCCACACCCGCAACCTACCCGTCAAGCTGTGTCAACTCATTCTCTTTTACCCAGTTACCGACACAGCAGAGAAAAGTGAAACGTACAAGATATACAAAGATGGGCCATACCTCACTGAAAAAACGATGGACTGGATGATCAGTGCCTTTTTGCCAAATGAAGAGCAGAGGTGCAATGCTCTTACTTCGCCGTTGAAGTATGCAACCGACGAAGAACTATCCAGATTTCCGTCCACTGCTGTCTTCCTATCTGGCGCTGACCCGCTTATTGGAGAGGGTCGGGCATTTGGGTTGAGGCTGCAAGCCGCTGGTGTCGAGACTGCAATTTTGACGGCTGATGGGCAGATTCATGATTATGTTATGCTTGAGCCTATTCGAGGAACGGAAACCGCCAAAGCTGTGATTAAGCTGGCTTCCCTATACTTGAAAAACGGATTGGGACTGTGAGTTGTAGTGTTTGTTACAACTTCCTCTTAATGAATGCGTTTGAATGCGTGTGTAGTGCCTTAAGCTTGATGTGAAACACCCAAGAGTCAGAAATATGCATAGTTCTCATATACTGTAGACTCAAAGAGCCAGATCCCAAACAATGCTCTAGATGACAGCAATGTCGCATCATATAAAAAGAAGCGCAGGGATTCCGAGCCAGTTGATGCCTGAATGCCTGACCGCCTTAATCTCCGACACAAACCCGCAATCTTCACCCCGCGCGAGCTCAAGCTCCCAACAATGTCGGCCCCTGAAAACCAAGACCTTGTTGAAGAAATTGAAGCAGTAAACGCCATCTATGAACCGGACACAGTAACAATTACGCGCGCCTCCGGCATATCCAAGAACACTCTCGACCTAGGCAGTTCCGCGCAATCCACCGACAATGCACACACTACAGTGAACCTCCAAATCCCCGGCCAACCCCATCTTTCCTTTCGAATCGGGTTCGAGGCATCATACCCAGAATCCAGACCTACAGTGCTAGGAACTGCATCAACCGCCGCGCGCGGAGAGGGCAAGATCGCAATTGATGTTTTGGAAGATATCGTCCAGCGAACATGGCAGCCCGGTGCGGTATGTCTGTTCGATGTGATCAGTGAAGCTATGGAGGTGTTTCCTGAATTGAGTATTGGCGGAGGGGGTAAGGACGAGGCTGGTGAACCAGATGATACGTCAACACAAGCGCAAGCCCAAAATGGCGCGTCGACAACTGATGACATGACGGCGGAATGCTTTGAGGCTTTGTCGCTGCGCGATGCGTTTGGTCTTGATAGCCCGCCTGACTGGATCCTTTCGGATATTGTTACGGAGAAGAAGTCTGTGTTCGTGGGCCGTGTGGCGCGGGTTCAGAGTCTGGCGCAGGCGCAAGCTTACCTTGATCATCTTACTGCTACTGATCGGAAGGTCGCTGCTGCGACGCATAACATCAGTGCGTGGCGGATCCGTCAGAAGAAGACTGAAGGAAATGGAGAGGAGGGAGAGACGATTGTTCAGGATTATGACGATGATGGGGAGACAGCTGCTGGAGGGCGGTTATTGCATGTAATGCAATTAATGGATGTATGGAATGTGGTCGTTGTTGTTACGCGATGGTATGGTGGAATTCATCTTGGCCCGGCGCGGTTCCGGCTCATCAATGATGTTGGTCGTGATGCGTTGGTCAAGGGCGGGTTCACGAAGGAGGAAGGAAATGCTCCTGAGAAAGGAAAGAAGAAGGGCAGGAAATGAAGACAAGAAATGGGAGAGCGTTCTCTTTCCTTGATTGCTCCAATCGTTGGATTTCATCTTGTCATGTCTTTTCACATGGAACATCTCTCGCCCCATAAAGGGCAGGGATGATGAAACAACCGTGCCTGTTAGATGGGATGCTTGATGGAACCTCAGCAGGGCATCGATGAGTCTAGTGTTTTCGGATACGACCTTCCTGAAAGTGATCGGGAGACACTCGACATCTATCCACGACCGAGCTTGACCAGAGAGGGAAATTGCGGCATGCTTGGCTCATCACACCACCTTGAGACAATATCGGCGCTTCACTTGCCCGCGTTTTCAGGTCTGCACCGCAGTTATGCGTCGAACGGGGGCCTCCCGCTCGCGTGAAACAGTTGGTGGGACCTCTCGTTCATCCAGATTCAATGTGACAGGTGTCTGGCATGGCCTCTACGCAAAAGCCGAAAAGCCCAAGGGTAGCAAATCTTAGCACCGACGAGTGCACACATCGACCAGCCTTCAAACTGATTTAGTACATATTCTAAATCGAGTTAACGCGGTCCAGCATGACACACTGGGTCCCGCACGTCGACCGTCAAATTTTCACCTCTAGTATATCTCCCCACGATCCGACATCCTCGGATAGCCATCATGTACGGAGTAGAAGCAGCAGAAACCGTTTTGTGAGAGAAATCAGCGTATGCGAACGGTCTGCAGCCACGATGCACGGTTTTTCGACATTCTTCATCCTCACACCGAGATCCCACGGATCCAATATTTGACGGCTCAATTTTGAGGTTATATCCACAGCACTTGACGAAATAGTCATGCCTATGCGAGAGGAGCTCTGAAAGAGCCAACGTTGTACGAAGGTTAAGAGTAAGTATAGTTAGATGGCGATCAACATTTAGTTCGCGCGGAGGCAACCTTGGTACAGTGCCGTGCAGCGGACGAGTCACAGCGGCTGTAGATATGAAATGCGATCTCTGTTTCGGAAATTGGCAAATAGATCGGGGTAGTCGTTCTAGGTTGGGATAGCCGAGAATATGTGATCTGTTGAAATTGCAGGATTTGACCCGGGATCAACTTCAATGCCGACATTTTGTATATCTGAAACAGGCCTAGAAGGGAGTTCTGGGGTTCGCTTGGAACTGTGGGCATAGATGATGGATTTGACATCCGCTATGTGCATTTTTTCCATTTTTCGTTCTCCAGAGGTGGATCTGTCAGTTCCTGGTCCATGTTTGAAGAGATTGGAGCTTGCTAGCTAGAATCACACGCTAGAACCGTACCACTCGTACACCTACGGATATCCGAATAGGTAGATGGATCGTCTTGGCAGAGAAGTATAAGTGTTTCCACTATGAATATGCGAGATTGGATGGGGGTTGTAGCGCGATGAGTACCCCATACAACAGTCCCGTGATCTCTCAATGGTCAGGACTGATCTGAATCACACTTCTATTGAAGCTGCGTCATCGATATTTTGGGTTGATACAAGGGGGACATGAGACCAATGCTTATGACACCTTATGGAGATGCAGACATTCAAGCCCTGTAGGCCTCAGGGATAGGGGTGACCTGTCAGCGTCCAAGTGCCGAGTGATTTGTCCTCGACCCGCTGGCACAGAATCAGGGCGGTTACAGCCACAGCCAATCCTCAGAAACATCGTGTGCCAGCGGTTGATGGTGCGACAAGTCAGGGGGTAGTGGAGGGGTGCCTTGCACCGCGGAACATCGTGGTTGGTCCATCCTCCAGCCGCCCAGCCTCAGACCGGCAGATCGCAGGGTCTGGGGGTTAATACCGAGGTTCCTACTGGCTGGGAACCTAGAGTTTATGTTCGATGTTCTCTCTGCGATCGAGTGGTTTTCTCTTGTGAGTGGAGGTGAACATGAAACATCCCAGCTTGCCTGCACGGCAGCGAAAGTTCAGATCGACCAAGCGGATGGGCGACCTTGGCTCTGAAGAGGAGTTCAAACTTGGCGGATGTGTCTAATTGATTGCTATGCAGTGTAGCATCGTCTCCATGTTCCCAGGACTTTGGTCTCCATAGTCGCTTAGAGGGCTCGAGAGTTCTCCATCTATGAATATAAAACCCCTGCCAATGCTACAGGGTTGTTCTTCTTTCCTGTGTACATTCTACTCTCTTCTTTTCTGACTTTGCTCGACTACCAGGCTAGCCCTGTGTTTCATTCTCTCTTTATTCTTGGTGGTTTTGCCTGTGGCAGACTCCGACAGTCCCTTCTGATTCACAAAGAAAATACGCACATTCATCTTCAAAGACGCTAGAATCAAAAAGCTTAGCTTATTGTTTCTAAGACATTGCGTCACTTGCCACAAAGGTATTGTTTGTTTCCAGTCTCTTTCATCTGTTTTGTTCTATTGTTTGGGGGCTGGTGAATACTATCTATGAACACATTTTGTTTCGTCTCATATCAGAATCCTTTTTAACAGGTGTCATTGGGGTATTTGCTATATCTACTGCTTTTTATATTCAGACCCTCTGTCTTTCTCGTTTCTGCTTTCAGTATGATATCTTCGCATCAAGCCCTAACAATCTCCAGCTCTCCATTCTTTCCAACCAAACCACCAAGGCACAATCCTTTTGACAACTTTTGATTCCTTTCGTCTGGCACGAATCGAATCCACTTGCAAATCCATTTCTCAGTCGAACCAGAATTGAAAACAAAAAAGTCTGTTTTACCTTCATCATGATGTTCATCAAGTCCAACATCCTGGCTGCTATGCTCGGCGCCTCTGCCGCCAGCGCCCATATGATCATGTCTTCACCCACTCCTTACAGCAAGGACAGTCTCAACAACTCCCCTCTGGCAGCGGATGGCAGCGACTTCCCCTGCAAGCTGCGCGACAATGCCTTCGAGGCTCCTGCAACCGAGACCGTCATCGGCATTGGCGAGTCCCACCCCTTGACTTTCGTCGGCAGCGCTACCCACGGTGGTGGCTCCTGCCAGATTAGTTTGACCACCGATCTGCAGCCCTCCAAGGACTCCGAGTGGAAGGTGATCAAGTCCTTCGAAGGCGGCTGCCCTGCCAACGTTGATGGCAACCTGTCTGGTGGCGCCGAGGCCGCCGATCCCGATACCTTCAGCTTCAAGATCCCCGAGGGTATCGCCGCAGGCAAGTACACTCTGGCCTGGACCTGGTTTAACCGCATCGGCAACCGCGAGATGTACATGAACTGCGCCCCCATCACCGTCTCCGGCAGCTCTTCTAAGCGTTCCGTCGACGAGGACAACGAACTGTACTCCAACAACACCCAGGTCTTCGACAAGCGCTCTTCCAGCTTCCCTCCGTTGTTCGTTGCCAACGTCAACGGTTGCACCACCAAGGAGGGTGTTGATATCCGTTTCCCTCAACCAGGTGATTACGTCGAGTTCCTCGGTGAAGCCGCCAACCTCGCTGCCGAAGGCTCTGAGGCATGCACCGGCACTGCTACCTTTGGAGGTGCTGGCGATACCAGCTCGGGATCATCTTCCGATTCCGGCTCCTCCGGCTCCTCTTCTTCTGTTGTCGCCAGCGCTCCCAGCGCAACTGCCTCTGTCTCCGTGGCCCCAGCTCCTGTTGCTACCCCCTCAAGCGTCCCTGAGGTTCCCGCTGCTGGTTCTTCTGGCTCTGGCTCTGGTTCTGGCTCTGGTGCTGGTTCCTCTGCCACTCAGGCTGCCCCTGCTTCTCCAACACCTTCCACTGGCGGTTCCACCACAAGCTCTGGCACTTTGACAGGTGCCTGCAGTGCCGAGGGCCAGTGGAATTGTATTGCAGGCTCCTCCTTCCAGCGCTGTGCGAATGGAAGCTGGTCCGCCTCGCAGCAAATGGCTGCAGGGACTCAATGTGGCGCTGGTCTGAGCTCTGATCTTTCCATCACTGCTACCATGCAGGCTCGTCATATCTCGGCTATGCGTTTCCGTAAGCGTCACGTTGGCGGTCACCACGCATGAATATGAGACAACTTGATCCGCTGGTGTCGGATGTTGTCCTTATCCGCCTTTGCACTGAACATTCTTCTCTTCTCTTCTTCTCTTCCTACATTTTTTTTCATTTCCACTGCCGGTTTTTTGACCTGGAGGGACCTCATTTGATTTTGGTGAACATGTCACTTCTTTTCATCCTGTATATTTAGGAGATGCGACTCAAGAGTTTTTCTCGAGTTTCAATGAACAATCATTTTGATATAAACGTGTGTGGTGTATCCTGAGTTAGAAGGCCAGTAGCTCGTAAGTTAATCAAACCAGTTGAAGCTTCGTCAGTAGCAGCGATATCATGGACTTGACAGTTGTTGTTAGTATTTTATGCCTTTTCTGTCACAGTGTACAGAGACAGGTCTTGTTTATTAGTAAAAAATATTGTATGGTGACTTCAAACGTGTCAATGTGAATCAAAGTCGATACCAGGCAATAAGTATAACTGCAAGGCCAGTCCTATAGACAGGGCGTAAACATTGGATCGAGCACGTGCCTTGATAGAAGATATGTCACGTGATAGAGACAGCATGCCAAGCCAGCTAGCCCTTACTAGGAAGTCAGGGCTTAGGGTTGGTCGCCCCACCACAGTTTCTCACTAAGCGAAAAAATCCACATCCAGGTGAAGCCCCCAGAAGTGCAGAGATTGGATCTTCAACCTCACCTCGACACCGACCAGCAACAATGGCCTCCCGCCCTACTGTCTCGATCGCCACGGCTGAGGGCAAGCCCTCCGGGGCCTCTCACCCCTTGCCCACCGTGTTCTCTGCTCCTATCCGTCCGGATATCGTCCAGTATGGCTCGCCAAAATGAAGGAATTGATCGTTGCAAGTACTAACGGTCGAACTACAGGCAGGTTCACGTCGGTATGGCCAAGAACAAGCGCCAGCCTTACGCCGTCAGCGAGAAGGCTGGTGAGCAGACCTCTGCTGAGTCCTGGGGTACCGGTACGTTTGCACACTTTTCGACATTGAAAGAATCGAGTTCGAACAGCGAAGAAATTTGCGGGAAATCGATTTTTCATCATCTGGGTATCAAATAACTGACTGGATTTGCTTGGAATGAATAGGTCGTGCTGTTGCCCGTATTCCTCGTGTCTCTGGTGGTGGTACTCACCGTGCTGGTCAGGCTGCCTTCGGTAACCAGTGCCGTTCCGGTCGTATGTTCGCCCCTACCAAGGTCTGGCGCAAGTGGCACCAGAAGGTCAACGTTGGCCAGCGGTATGAACACCCTTTTCGAAATCGGCGCATTGAGTTACAGTGGACTAATGAGTTTGCAGTCGTTTCGCTACCGCCTCCGCTCTGGCTGCTTCTGCCTCCCCCGCTCTCCTCTTCGCCCGCGGTCACCGTGTCGCCAACGTCGCTGAGGTTCCCCTCGTTATCGAGTCCAAGACCTTCACCACCTTGAACAAGACCAAGGCCGCCATTGCCCTTCTCCAGGCTGTTGGTGCCGGTGCCGAGCTCGTCAAGGTCCAGAAGTCCCGCAAGCTCCGTGCTGGTAAGGGTAAGCTCCGTAACCGCCGCTTCCGCCAGCGCCGCGGTCCTCTCGTTGTCTACAACCCCGAGACCGACGGCAAGGACCTCGTCAAGGCCTTCCGCAACATCCCCGGTGTTGAGACCTCCCCCGTCTTCTCCCTCAACCTCCTCCAGCTCGCCCCCGGTGGTCACCTCGGCCGCTTCGTCGTCTGGACCTCCTCCGCCTTCGAGGCCCTCGACCAGGTCTACGGCACCACCACCACCCCCTCGGCTCTCAAGCGCGACTACCTCTTGCCCTCCAACATTGTTGCCAACGCCGACTTGACCCGCCTTATCAACTCTTCCGAAATCCAGTCCGTTCTCAAGGCCCCCAAGGGAGAGGCCCGCACCAAGCGTGTCAACGTCCAGAAGAAGAACCCTCTCCGCAACAAGCAGGTCATGCTCCGCCTCAACCCCTACGCCGCTGCCTACTCCAAGCAGAAGCTTGGCCAGCAGTCCGTCGAGGGTGGCAAGCCTACTGCTCCCGCCGAGGCTTTCCTCAACACTCTCTACGAGAACTAAGCGGTTTTCGCTCCTGCTATTTACTTGTTAACGCAAGTTGACAATTTGTAGTCAGCAAAAATGAATCAATGCCTTTTTTGCAATACCCATGGGTTCTATTCGGAGTAGTAATGTGATCGGTTCTGTTCTTACTCAATGACCCTTGAAATCTTCGTATACTTGCGGTAAGTCACCTAGCAGCGTAGACAGATTGGGGTCTCTAGGTTTGTATTCTGCCTTTACTGCCTCTGTTCAATCCTCTTTTTGCTTGTTGCATTGCCCATTGCTCTTCAGTGCTCCGTGGCACGTGCTACCATGCATGATTGCATGATATACTGCTTTGCAGGACCGATTGGTGTTGACAGACCAATATGGCTATACCTACACAGTGCCTGTTCCAAGATGCGCATTTCAATGCTTCTTCCGTTATGATTGCGCGCCTGGTCCCATTCACATCCATTGTTGGCGAGTGCATATTTTTACCATTATGCATTTTCTTTCCAAGCCGACCATAAACAGAGAACCTGTCGCCAGATGCTCATATATCAACATTTGCATTCTTCCCTGTCAGTCCCGTTCAAAGCGAGGGACTTTTGATTTTTACCCCCTCCAAATAATGTATTGGTCCAATGCAAACCCCTCAGTCCAAGCATATGTTATTCCCATCCAACTCAATCGTCACATGCTGCCTTCTCCCGTACCTAGGCACGACCAGCACCAGGGAACGTTACTAATGACAAAGAATTTGAAAATTGCATAACGTGAACGTTCCGGGTGAAACACGTAGCATCGCTTATGGAATTAGCGCAAAGCAATTTACACGATGTGACGGCTACGCCAGAAACTGTAGGTCGACCCGCAAGCCCGACAACCCTCGAGGATCATATATTGCGCTAAAGCTGCACCGCGAAAGGCACGGTAATTTGCTCTCTCTCCCTCTCCCGCTCATGCACCTCCCCGCTGGAACAGGTGAAGCGCAATCACGAAGACAGAAGAAGCACGGCACTCGTGCTTCACGTGCGACGTTGGACCCGATCTTCATCTAATATACTTTGCGCTTGGCTTGCCTCCCGCTTGCGGTTCTTAATGCAGAGTCTATCTTTGTTAGTATTCCGTGTAGCCAAGCTCGACGGTAATAAGGTTTGGTCCGTATTCCCCGTTCCAGGCCGGGCGTCGATGGGGAAAGCTGTAACGCTATCCCGGATTGGGGGAGGGATTTCCAGTGCAATTGGACTCGACGGGCGCACAAGGCAGTAACCGAGAACCCTTTCTGAATCTCGATCGAGGACGTGCGACTGAGATTGCCAAGAACACCGTCAGGGTCCGCGGCTGATAGTCTCAGGCACTTGCGTGCCCGAGTGGGGGAAATGGGACAGTGTGTACGTCAGTTCGCGGTGGATATCCTTTCTCGTTCTTCGGTTTCTTCAGCAGAGAGTATCATCCGACTGGCTGATCAAATTGGACTATACTCGTTAGGGAGATATGGTGAGAGGTGGACACAGCTCCAAATACTGTATTGTTTACTGGACGTGCCCTTTTTTTTTTTTTCTTTTTCTTTTCTTTCTCACGGAGTCGAGTGACGTCGGAGGGTTGGAATTCTTCCAGACTTGTTCCAAAAAGGGGGAATTTGTCTTGGGAAGAACTCTCCAGTGTTTAAATTCTCCCTTCTCCATTCTAATGCAACATCACCACAATAGCCGAGAGATATCGGAGGAGAGAAAATCTCCGATCCGAGCGTCTCGTATAGGACGCAGAACCACAAAAAAAAAAAATCAAAACCAGACTCTAAAAAATGACCTATGAAACGTGCCAAAGAGCGGTCTCGGTAAGATCTGCCGAATGCGTGGGAGCTGCATATACTCTTGTAACCGCGCTCCCTGGGAAAAAGTCTTGGACTCTATTCGCAGATCACAATGCTATCTATAGGCATGTCTCACCCAACACGAATTGGTTCAGGGGTGCGGACCAAAGCGCCTTGCGCTATCGGGTGTTGGACCGACACTAGACTGTCGCAGGATGCAAAACATGGTGCAGTTGCAGAGTTGCAGCACAGTAGTGGGAGTAGTGGGAGTAGTGTGTAAACAAGGTATCAGATCCATTCCGGAATTATGGTTATTTCCTAGAAAGCAATTCTACAATATTCTCCGCGCTATAGCTTCGGGTCTAGACCCCAAGGAGACAAAAGACACCATACGTTGATCTTGGTACGGAGAAAAAACCCTGCCCTAACAGGACGATGAAACTTAGTCACCTCACTGTGGGTGCGGATTGCTCTTTATATGAATGTCTCAACTCTCCCCTTCTCAACGGATTCCATTCCCCCCTCGGTATTTATTCGGAGAATTGGGTCGTTCTGACCTCGGGTGGAAATACCAGATGGAAATTGGCTCGAGAATGCCGAGTTGGAGTAACGGCCAAGTCCCGAGAAAACCGGGTACGAAAAAATCTGGGGCGAATAAAAGCATAAGGGAAGCGAAAAATTTAAAAGCTTCTCGCGTCATTTCGTCTCAGGCGTTCCCTAGAAGAGAAAACGCACACTCTAAAGAAGGGGCTGAGTCCCAATGGGATGACGATCCCGAGTGACGGCTTGCAGATCAGATCGCCAGGACTTTTGAGACATGATACGTGGTCTCCGGAGTGCATCGCCGTTGAAGGACGGTAAGAAAGCCCAAGTGGGGGGAAGACAATGCCAGCAAGGTATTGGTCCTGGCTTGTTCCCAGGCAAACTAGAAGACCAGGGTTCCCTGTCGTGCATCCTCGACCTTCCTGTGTGTACATGCGCAGAAGCCAGAAGTCCGAAGCCCGAAGCCCGTTTTGCATTGGTATGAATCAGGATGTGAAGGCCAGCTCCATGGCTTTTGATTCAAGAGTAATACCGCAGTGTACCCAAGTGTATTCAAGTGTATCAAAGGGTGAGAATCTCCACTAGGTGCCTGTCTCCGAACTCAATCCCACTGACCCAAATATTCAGTGTACACAGAATCCAGATGGTCTCGGCTTTGACTCTCCATAGAGTATAAAGCAGTTCGGAACTAGGAAATATGGAGATCCGAGGGCCTCAACCGAGGGTCCTACACCTCCCCCCCTCCCAAAAAAACAGAAAAAAAAAAAAAAAAAGGAAGTCATCTCCACCTGTGGACCACACAGTCGATCTTCACCAGAGCCTATCCAAAAGTGAGATAAGCCCTGCGGCCCCGACGCTGGAAGGAGGATTTGCCCGTCCAGGCATCTAGTCGCCCGCGCCACTGCCCGGCCGAAGGGCACTCAAGAGACCCACCGTGAGGGTATTCGCGGCCAGGATTCCGAGTCCAAAACAAGCTCACCTGTTATAAATATTAATAAGTTATTTATTGTCGAGAGGTTCTCCCACATGAACTCCGAAATTTCACCTTCGGGAACGGTTACATGTTCACGTGGATAACCTCGATTGCTCGTACACGCTTCTTGTTTCCTGTTCATCCTGCATCCCCTTGATGTCGTCTCGCTCTCGCTTTTTGTGACCTTCACTTGCAAATCCCGAACTGACTCTATTGGCGCACCCTCTCTCCAGGAAATGAGATTGGTCATGCTGCAGAAGTACTGCAGAGTGGGTATACCATCCAGGCCTTGCGCCCAGCCCAAAAAAATCCCCCCAAGAAGAGGCCAGAGTGTACAAATGTTGTACAGCTTTGATCCCTGTGGGCCATTCGTGATTCATATAAGAATGCAGTAGACTGGGGGAAGGCAACCATGGAAGCGTGGAGGAACCACCGAGGGCCCGGTTGACATTTTATACTCCCGATTTACCTTGTGAAGGTGTCCATGGAACTCCATCTCCCCCACTCGGGATAACAGCGGTAAAATGCAATTGCCGTTAGATTAGGTCCTTGATTACGCCATTTGCTTCTGTTTAGGATTGGATATGGCGCCAAGTCTGTGGGCTGAATGCCGATATCATTAGGAACTGTAGTATCCACATCGGATGGGCATGGCTTCCAAGTGTGTTTTTTTTTTCCCTGGCTGAAACCTTGTATAGATCACTCTCGGGGGGCCATTTTCCGATGTCAACGGACGTGCATCAATCAGAAGAGAAAAGAAAAAGAAAGAAAAAGAAAAGCCTCCTGGGGCTCTGTTAGAATTTTCCATGGGCGTTTCGAAGCACATCAGGATTCCCAGAACAGTATAGATTCCACCGTCGATCCGACTCATAAATAGCTAAAATAAAACCAAAAATTAAATTAAAAAAAAGATTAGAAAAGCCAGAGGAAAAAAAATAAAATAGACCTACTGTAAAACGGCAGTGTAATTACAACAGTGTAAGTCGAATACATACTGCTTTGGCCCTGGTTACGAAGCTTCTCATTCCCCTCCTTTCTCCTCGTCGGCTTCGATTTGGCTTCTTTTGTTCTTTTGTTCCTTCAGTGTCTTTGGTTACTTTAGTGTTTCCCCCTTTCCCCTCTCTTATCTCTCCGATCTCCGAAATCTTACTCTCTTGCAGGGGAGCTAAGGCTTGAAACATCGTCAGGGGAGACACCTGGAGAAGAACCGCCCCTCCGTTACCTTAGTCTCTGGAATCTATCGCGCTACTGTTAGCCGTTTTTTTCTTTTACCTTTTTATTGTGGTAGGCGGCGCTTCTTGGGAGGCTAATTTTGTCTATAATCAAGTGTGCCACCGGCTCCTATATCGGGTTGCTATCAGGATTTTGGGTCTTTTGTCTCCCTGGGACTTAGGAGCGGTCCTCCGAGACTCCGAAATTGAGGCCCTACGTACATGGTGGACGCCACTGCTCGCACTGTGCCCTTTCTCGATATTTCGGACCGAAGATCTCTCAGCCGTTTGATCATCCGTGTTACTTCCGACCTCGAAAGCCCGTGATCCTTGGACTGGGGCTTCAAGCGCGGGGCTCTCTCGACAGCATCGACGGCCCGGTTTCCGTGACTCCCTGGGCTGGTGCATTCCTGCAGCATCCTGAACTCTAGGCTTCATTCTGGCAAACCGGTGCACTTTGGATGCGAACTACTAGGATCGTGCAGCCACTCCCGGGTACGCAGACTATGCACCGGAGACCGTGATTGCTTAGGAATATTGCCAGATGGTGGCCTCTTAAGCCAATTCCAGTCCCTTTCTCTTTCAGTTCCACCAGCAAGATATGCACACTGGCACGAGCTGCGTGTTTTGAGTGCGTAAAATCAGATACCCAACACCCGTTGTCAACGCCTGTACGACTCCCTTCACTTCGTGAGTGCTCATTCGAGCTTCGAACCCGTCCACGACCGACCTATTCGTCGATTCCAGAATTTCCTCTGAGTTTCAAATCAACCACACAGTCCTACTACTGTTCTTTGGGTATCAAAGAGTGGATTGGGTACGTACAGAGCGTTGGATTCAGAGAGAGACTGGGAGAGCTTGTTGCTAAGTCCGGTTCTCTTCAATAGAACTTTAGTCTTTGCATGATCTCTTGAGAATTGGGACATCCAACTGGCTCCGCCATCGATACCCAAGAGAAAACATCGCCAAACGACCCCCTGGCCACGGCCCCATTTCGTTCCAGGACACCCATTGAAGGACAGGCCATTGAAGCCATAAGACTCGTCACACCGTTTGCCTGGGTCTATTATGTAGACAGTCAGATCCGTGGATCACCCTTTCGCTCATATCACCAACCGTCATGTCAGGCTACTATGTTGGACCCTTCGGTCGTATGTTACCCACCACCGGCCCATCCTCGGAGCAGCAATCCGAGCGTCCAGCTAATTTACAAGAATCCGGGGATCCCCCATACCAGCTTCCACCCCCGCGTACACCGGCCAGTTTACAATTTGGATCGGATCCCTTCTTGCGCCAGCGTCAGCAGGAAAACCCCGAGAGACCTTCCGACCTTGGACGCCAAAGGACAGAGCAACTTCCCTCAGTAAGGCAACTTCTTACACCAGTGACCAGCTCCAATTCTCCTCCTACATATCCTCAAGCCTATACTTCATCTAGCACGGAGCGTCGTGACTCCTCGTACCCATACCGGCACCACGAGTCAACCTTGTCTTCGCAGCTCTCCCCAACTGCCGTACATGACAGAGCAAAAGGCCGCTCAGAGTCTCTTCCACATTCACAGAGTGGAAATCTACCTCCATTGTCACATGTGGCACCCTTGCATAGTCCAGAAGATATAAGACATCATACACCAACGAGAAGCGACTCGTCGGCAATCGGCTACCCGCACGGCCAATTGCCATTTCACAGCACAGCATATCACGAAAAATTACCCAGCGGGGAACTATCTTCACCAGAGGCTTCCGGTAGACATGAAAAAACAGTGAGACCACACGTGGTTGACGAGCGATACATTGAAGGGGAAGGGATCTGCTACGTTTACGCCGATGGATCTCACTGCCCCAAGGCCATTGACGGGATCCCCGTGAATGCAAACTGGGGTGTCACCAAGGCTGGAAAGCCGAGAAAACGCCTTGCCCAAGCATGTTTGATCTGCCGTGAAAAGAAGATCAAGTGTCAACCAAACTTGCCCAAGTGTGACCAGTGTCAAAAGTCGGGACGGGAATGCAGGTTTGAAAATGCGTAAGTGATATGTATTGAAAGATCATAGAGCGAGAGACTTGATCTGAATCATTGCTAATTTCTGGCAGTCCTCGTGGGAACCGGGCTTCTGCCTCCATGCGAGGTTCTCAATCAGCAGGGCCATCTAGCAAACCCGATGGGAGAGATCCCTACGCACCCTCCAGTCATTCCACTTCGGACAATTCCCCATCACTCTATAACCTTACTCGAGCCTCCGATAGCGGTACTTCGCTTCCGGGGACAAGCGGCCACTCACCAACATCAGAGGGCTCAATGCTCACCCCATCAGGCACGGAAACAACATACGAGACCATGGCCGACGCGGACAGAGCCTATAGATCGCGCGCGAGCCGGTTCCCACCACCTTTCTCAGGCGCGGATGATACTCTCGGACGATCGGCATATATTGAGAGCAGCCGCCAACCGGAATACTCTGACATCCTCGGGGAACTCAAGGACAACAACCCAGATGACCCATTGGTGGGCTCCTGGCATCTCGACCCCCACGAAAGCGATTCCGAAACGACGATGCATTACATTGAATGTTATTTCATGCACGTGAATGATGGGCTGTACCACATGTTCCCACATACGCGATTCGTCCTTTGGTTGAAATCATACCCCAACAAGTCTGCAGAGGATAAGATGTTACTCTATTCTATGATGGCATTGGGGGCTGTATTCTCGGACAGGTCGGACAAAGTGGTAGCCATGAGACGTTATGCTCGCATAGCACGCTTTGCCATCAACCGAAGTCAGCATGCTCTGTCTTTGCAGCTGGTCCAGAGTCATATCATAATGAGTCTCTGGTACTACGCCACAGGATCGCTGGTCGGGTCTTGGGATTCGATCGGTGCAGCAGGGCGAGCAGTTTTCGGACTTCGTTATAATTTGGAATCTGGAGGGGTCGTGGTGGATCAGAACCAAGCCTGTGATTATGGACTCCATCCACAGGCGTTGATTGAGTGCCGTCGTCGAACATTTTGGATTGCTTTTGTGCTGGATGTAAGATGCAAGCCAGGAACAACTACAGCTGGGTACTTTCAAGACTGACACACAAGCAGCGCTTTTCTAGTCTCTATTCGGCATCGTCCACATTCATCTCGTCAGATGCGGCATTGCTACGACTTCCCTGTCGCGAGGAAATCTATGAAACGCAACAATATGCGACGGCACCTTACTTCCAATCCTTCCTGAACCAACCCACCTCCTCCGATGACGATCGTCCGACCCTCAGTCCAATGGCCTTTTTGATCGAACTCATGGCGATCTGGGGAGACGTTTCCCTCCACGTCATACGTCTACCACACATGCCTCCCGAAGCGTACGGCCGACTCGCCGAAGAATTCCATACGACCATCGTCCACAAAACCAACACCAGGATGACCCGACTCCCCGAACATCTTCAATTCTCATCTGTAAATCTGGAACAAAGCATACGGGCTCGGAAAGCGGACACCTTTATTTCAATCCACCTGTTTTACCATGCCACTTTGATGAAACTATACAGACACGCCCGGTACCAAAGCCTTCGAGCTGAGATCCTCACCCAATACATCCACCGAGCTCGATACCACGCCGTCGAAATCCTCCGTATCGCTCCTACCTTCGACCAATTCGCCAAGGAGATCATGTCAGCTCGCTCCAGCACAGATGTCGCCCTTCCACAAATGACCCTCCTCAACCCATTCCTCGGATATGTCATTTTATCTGCCGTGGACGTTCTCAGTGCCGCTGGATTGGCGTCGCAGCTACAAGAATGCATTTCCTACATCCGAGGTGCCCTGATCACCGTCCAAGAACTGAGCCGTTACTGGGACAGTTCTCTGCAGCTCGTCTCCGCCCTCCAGAGACGCCTGGGAGTAATGATTGACTGTCTGAACGAGCGCAGCGTCATCGAAGAAAAAACAGGGCTTTGCTCTAGATGGACCTTCTCTCGAGACGAAAGTCCACGCTGGAGCTTTACCTTCCCACCCACCTGGCAGCCTAAGCGAGGATCTCTTCACCGGCTCGATGCCTCGCGCAGTCTTGTTGAACGCCCTACGAGTCGACGATAGCCTCCTCTCAGAGAGCAGTATTGCCTGGATCAAGGATCCCTGAGACAACCCCCCCCCCCCCATTTTCCCTCTGACTATGACCATGATCTTGATTCTGATTTCTCTTTCTTCTTCTGTTTTACTGTCACGTCTCGAAGCGAAAACCTTTCAAAAATTTGCATGGCGAAATGATTTGATTTGAAGGCAATACATAATGTCTCTACATGATATGCATCAGCGGATAGCCCGTGTTTTACCTACTTCTTATCTCTACTCTCCTTTGGCATATTCCCTGCTAGCTCTATTCTTCTTTGATCTGAACTTGTTTCTGGCGCTGTTCTACGCCATAGACCCTGATGCCGAAGGCGAGGGCGATCTTGTTTCGACTTCGATGTTTTGTTCCTTGCATGGATGGGTTCGCTTTTTGGTAGAGCGATTGCCTCTGTATAACAGTAGTTACGAGTTACCCTGTCTTCAATCTTATCGCGTCCTTTGGCGCCGAATTTTGAATACATTTCGACCAGTGGAGTCTCGCTGGAAGCACAGGCTATGCGTTCATATGTTTCCTGTTGTTATGCCATCTATCGCTTTGCACTCTTGTGCAATCCTGGAGGCGACCAGCAACCAGGAGCAAATCACCAAATTGGGAGACTTGTCGCGTTTTGAGACACTTGAAGAACTACTGACTCTATGGATTTCTGGGTACAGGATGGATCGAAATCAGTTTCACGAGTTACACTCGGAGATTCTCCTTCGGTTGGGATTTTAGCCCTTTGTCAAAGCACAGATCGCGCCTTTGGTAGAGGCCTAAGATGGCGGTGTTGTCCTAATTAACTTGAATATAGTTCGATCAACGCGACCAGGTGAACGGTTTGGTAAACATCGACCTAAAAAGCTTGCTTTTACCAAGAATGCAAGCCTTTGAGTTGTGGTGTCATGTCCTCACTTCGAAATCAGGGGGCCTGAAACATGGCTGAAGTTGAACTTCTAGGGTCCTTTCATTCGTACATGTGAGCCACGGCGTTCAATGTGGCGGACAAAGACAGTCCGCATTAGGACCAAGCGGGTTCGAAATAGGCGAAAGCGAGGCGGAAACCGACCAAGAAATTCCCAATCGGGCGATAATTGGGGAGTGTCAAAGCTTAGCCTCGAAGCTAGTAGAGTCTCAAAACTATCTTTTGCCGATGGGCCAAAGAGATGGTTAGCTTTGCTGGGTGTTGTACAATCTTGAACTGTTTACTTTCCTACCCTCCTTCAACAACATCAACACATCTTATACACCCCTCAAAATGTACACCAAGGCCATCGCTGCTCTTCTTCTCCTCACTCCGGCTCTAGCCATACCCCAAGCTACGTCTGTAGCTACATCGGAAGGCTCCTCCGACTCCAACGACTCGATATCGATATCCCCTGAAGCGTCGTCAATCGCCAGCGACTATATGAGCGTGATGGAGACTGCCGTTCCAGCCTCTTGGGAGTACATGAACTCCGCCGAAATAGCTTCAGTCGCCAGCGCCGCTGCGGCTGGCACCTACCCAGCCTGGTACAACGCCCTCCCAGCTAGCATCAAAGCTGTAGTTACCGAGCTCGGTGGCTTTAACGAAGAGTTGCTCGGTGTTGGCTCTTCGACGGCTGTTGCTGCGGACAACGCTGCCTCCGAACATACCACCAAACCTACTTCCGAAACCGCCGTGGCTACTACTGCTGCTGGCTCATCTGACTTGGCTTCCACTTCAACTCAGACTTCAACTCAGACTGCAACTCATGCTTCTGCGACATCGGGTGCTGCTTCCAGCTCTGAGTCCACTACCCCTTCGTCTGCGAGCTCAACTGGTGGTGCCCCTGCTGCTACTGGCAGTGTCGCTTTGGGCGTTGCTGGAGCGGTTGGCTTTTTGGGTCTTGCTCTTGCGCTTTAGGGCTTTCATTGTTGATTTTGATCTGAAGTGTCAGGACTCTGGATTTAACAGACTGAATGGCCACTTGCTTGACTTCCCACTCGATATTCTGCCAACTAGTCTGTTCGGTTGTTTGTAAGTGAGTATTTCTAGACAGAGCGTAGCATATGCAAGACTACCGTATAAAACAATTCCTGGATTTTCTCAGTATACTATTGGTGTAGGATGTAGTCAAATAATCCAAGGTATTTCGCCGTCCCCTTCTGGAAGCACTGGAAACAACCCAGCGTAGATAAAGCTACCTTCTACTGGATCCATAAGCACAGAATAATGAGTGTCTTCATTGACAATCGGATATGACCAAAGCCACCGGAGTGCTGTGTCCTGTGTGATGGCAATCTCGGGCTCAGAGATTGGGTCCCCGCCAGTCGCTATGACCTGCCTTTGTCTCAGGTTCATTGAATGCGCGCTTCGAGGCTGAAAGGCCGCCTTTTTGCCTTTGTTTCTAAGTCCTGGTTGAATAGCTTCATGCTTCTGGACCCGCCGGTCCCATTTCTTTTGCATGCAGGCTTGTCGCGTTTTGCTTTCGTCGATGAAATCTCCTAGGGTTTGCTCAGCACCAGCCAGTCGCAACCCTGTGTGACTCCCTTCATCTTCCATGGCTTCAGCGGTGGCAGAGTTGGAATTTTGATCATGATTTGTTGTGATGACGAAAGAATTAGAGGAGCGAATCACTGCCGAGCAAAGGTCTTTTTCCAACGTCGAAGTCTTAAGCCCATCGCAGAAGATGAGATAAGCTGCTGTAGTGGGAATACCTGGGACCTTCTCGATAATTTCATCAATTGTTGAGACATTCGAGAGTCGATCGTGAGGGATATCCGACCCCGGTAGAATGATCTGTCTGAGTAACGATGAAATTGACTGCCGAATCCCCACCAACACTAGGAAATGATTGAAGTAGAAGGCTGCATTCCGCCGAGAATCATGCACAGCTCTCATGTTTAGTGAAGCGCTCAGATCCCTTCGAACACCGGTGAGTATCCCCACAAAGCCAACATATGTGATACTCGTTGCAAGGACCTTGTCAGGGGCGTCATCTTTGACAAATTCCAGCTGCACCACCAGATCTCGTAGGGGGTCCATTCCCCAATCCAGAGTCCGGAAATGCACCATCTTAATTTCTGCTCCATCTCCCACTCTGACACCGCCACTGGTGCATCCCATTAACAGATCCAGAACAACATTCAGAGAGACCAGTAGGTAAAGAGCGATTCCGGTCTCGCGACTGATTCCTCGAATTTCAGCCGTCTCTTCGCTTGTGTATAACCTGCGCAAGAAAAGCCACGCGAGCCAGTGAACTAGCTTTGTGGGAATCCTTGGGGATACTTCATGGATCACCTTGTCAAAGATGCCTGTCACTGATTGCGCCTTGTCCTTGTAGAGTCTTGCGAGTGATACATAGCGCTCTTCTGGAGGAAGCGATAGGTTGATTCTGAACACCGGAATTGACTGGCCCCTAGGTGGATCATGCAGGAAGCTCATGGAGTCAAGCAAAGAGAGAAGAGAAAGGAGAGAAAAGAGAAGAGCACGTGTGGGGTAAATGAGGCTCTGCGGTTTTTAGTGGAGCAGTGATGGATGCGAACTGTCTTGATCTCTTTGCATAAGTGACAGGTTTTAGGGACATACAAGTTAGAAGTAAACAATCTGGGGTTGTTGCCTAAACTCTTTTACGGGGATCATGCCTGAGGCTTCGATTTGGGTTGAAGGAGGATCAATTCTTGCTCATTTGTTGACTTATAAGTTACTTGTCATAGAGAGGAAGCTTCACTCTATCAAGATAGGGACTGATATCAAACAACTATGTATGAACAGTCACATATTCTCATCAGCTCCATTGGATTTCACTCAACATGTGTGCAGCATGTGAAAGTGATATCGTTTTCAAGCCCCACGTTCGAAAGTGTGGCTAAACCTGTAGAGTGAAGAGGACGCATGCATCGAATGAAGCTACAGTGAGCTGATATCACCTTCAATGACTTAAAAAGCACTGTTCGGGTCAGATTGACACGAGAATAGGACCAAGAGACCGCAATTTGACACATCGTAGATCATTCGAGGGATACAGGCAATGTCTCAGCAATTGCAAAACAAACCAAGTCCGGGTATTGACATGAGCCTCGACCACGCTCAATAACAATGCGATTCTTCTCGGGGAATTCAACATCACACATTAGTGCCAAACAGAAGACCGGGGCAGACCAGCCTCGGCCGCAATGCGGGAATTCGGAGGCCACGGAAGGTTTCTCCGATGGAATTTCGACTCTCCACCTTGCTTCATTGTCCTCAGTTCGACCACCTCAAAATGAGGACGGTGTATATATAATCTCCACCCGAAAAAGAGCGCGAATAACGCTCTCATGTCCTCTCAATTTGACCAGCTCTCGAGCGGGGAGTTCCGCACAACGGTCGAAGATGACGGACTCGACGCCGACTACAGCATGATCGCAGAATACCCCGAAGAAGTCGATTACTACGTCCTGCTAGGCCTCGCAAAAACGCCACCTCCATCCGATGCTGATATCCGATCCGCCTACCGGAATTTGACTCTCAGCTTTCATCCGGACAAGCAGCCGCCGCACCTCCGCGATGCCGCCGAGAGCCACTTCAGACATATCCAGGAGGCCTATGAGACGCTGATTGATCCCAAAAAGCGAACCGTATATGATATAGCTGGCGCCGAGGGCGTGCGACAGGAATGGGGTCAATTTGGGGCCATGGGGATCGCGGGAGAGGCACAAAGGCAAGAAGTCGGAGTTAAGGCGATGTCGCCGGATGAATTCCGACGGTGGTTCTTGAAATCGATGAAGAAGCGTGAGCGGAAAGCTGTCGAAAGCTTAGTTTCGAGTCGGGTATGTATCTTCCATTGCTCCCAGATGATTACGTTGGCTGTCATTTTCTAACGTGGGCTGTTTGCGCACTGTCAGGGCGGTATCACCTTAGGAATTAATGCCTCCTCAATGATCTCCGTGGATGAGGATGAAGATGTAACGTTCCATATACCTTCGCCAAAGGTGACCACGTATGGTGTTACGTATAACTTCAAGACCCCAGTGTCATTACCGCAACTTTGGACGACAGAGAACGATGAAGACACCTCAAATGACAAAGAAGCCGAAGAAGTGCAAGACGAGGAACTTGAACCTTTATATGTCACTTTGAAGGCTGGTATAACCGGTGGCTTGGCTCGGCCTAGAAAGATGGTGGCAATCGAGTACGAGAATGGAACAGAGGGAGAGGAATCGGTACGTGGCACTGTTGCTCCAGCTTCGATTATTAGCTTACAGTGTTCTAGATACAAATGCCGCCGCTTGTCGCCTCTCAAAACTTCCAATTCGGAGCCACCGTGAGTCCCAATTTCAAGAACTTGGTGGGAAATAAGGGTATCTGGGCCAAACATCCTTTCTCGATTCTCAGAGATTCCTCGGTTACCGTAGATGCTCTCCTTCTTCCCACACCATCTATGAAAGTGAACTTTGCGAGAGCCTTCCAGCCGCTCCCTGGTATCAAGCCGTTCCAGGTCAGCGCAACCAGTGTTTACTCGCGCTCACTGTGGGAAACACCGCCTTCCCTGGAAGTTCAAGTCTCAAAAGAGATTGCAAAGAGGAAGATTGGAGTCCTCACATGGAACAGTGGCTTGATTGACTGGCCCGATCTTCTTCAAGAGCGGTTCTCTTCACTCGGGATGTCAGCTCAGAGTGCCGTGACTTCTATGAACGAGGTCAGCAACCTACAACTTGGCTTAATATCACTGCCACCGCAAAACGCCATAGAGTTTGACGATGATGACGAGGAGAGCGAAGAGCTGGACGAGGACACTCGACATCTCCTTAAGAAGAAACGCAATATCGACCAATCCGCTGAATCATGGCAGACCCATCTTCAGGTGTCTCCAGGAGGAGGAGGCCTTGTACTGACATATTCGCGGAACATCTTCTCCGGAAAGCCCGCTGATGACCCAGTAAAGACTGAATGGAGCTCCGAAGGCTATTTCCCAATGCCATCTATGGACCAGGCGCGAGCCGTCCGACTCGAGATTTCAAGTGTTCTTGGGCTAGATATGTCTTTGAACTGGACCATCAAGGGCGTTCGCCGAGTTGGCGAATATACTCGCGTTGGCCTCGGCATTGGCATCGCGGACAAGGGTATCATGATGACAGTTTCATGGAGCCGACTTGGTCAAAACATCAACTTGCCAATCAATGTCTGTCCGGCTAACGAGGCAACAAGCGGTGCTACAGCGTTGGCTGCCATCTTTCCCTGGCTGGCGTACTGTGCGGTTGAATTTGGTTATATTCGTCCGCGTGATAGAAAGAAGCGTCGACAGGCAGCCGCCAAGCGCCACCGCGAATTGAAGAAGCTCATTCCCAAGAAATGTGAGGAGAGCCTTAAGGCCATCGAACTCATGTCAGACCAAGTACAGAGACGGCAAGCTCGCGAGGAATCACAAGATGGTCTCATTATCTTGAAGGCTGAGTATGGGTACATACCGCCAGCGAACAAGAAACCCAAGAATGGGTTCACCGAGCCTCGGGTGATTGATGTTACTATCCCTGTAGCTGCACTTGTTAACAAGAGTCAATTGGTGATTCCCGGAAAGTCGATCAAGGTAAGTCAAAGCCATCCATTTCAACATCAATTCGATTCTATGATCAGATCACTAATAAGACTGAGTAGTTCCAAATTTTGGGCTTCCATGACCCTGCACCATTGTTGCCCAAGCGGTTGAAGATCTGGTATAGATTCCAAGGGCGTGATCACTATATCGAGACGGGCGATAAAGAGGACATTGCCTGCCCCATGCGTACGCATTTGATGTCTGATTAGACAAGCCCAAGCCCATTGTATACCTGTAATCATAGCATCTGGTTGTTAGCGACTATTCTAAGGTCCATTTTCACTTCTTTATTCACTTTGCATATGCATATACCGTATAAAATGCTTAATTTCACGCACTGAAATAACCGAACATTCAATACGAAAGAAACTTAAGATACCCCAGTATCTTTTCATGCCTTCAATGTGATGAAAGAGGCCTTCTATTCAGTTGTGGCAGAACTGTACGGCGGTGACAGAGACCAACCACGCAGTCGATCCCGAAAAGAGCGAATCAAGCGTCACCGTCCTCTTTTCTCATCAACCCGAGTGCAAGGCTCTTGAGTTGCCAACCCTCGCAATGTCGACCTCTATTGCATCTGGACTATTTAAGTCGTTACCCAAGCCGAAGTACACCGGCGAGGAGGAAGAGTTGCCACAGCATGCGCAGCCCCGTGGCCCGCGCGTGGTGGGCGCCGACCAGCTTGATGAGACCCAGGTCGTTTTACGGGTAAGTTTTGCAATGTCTACTCACATAGCTTGAGCAGGGCTAATAGAGCTATTGCCAGAGGACCGGCCCTCCGCCATATGGAAACCGTGCCGGATGGCGACCTCGTGCCCCCGAAGATTTCGGTGACGGTGGCGCGTTCCCCGAGATTCTAGTCGCACAGTACCCCCTTGATCTAGGCCGAAAGGGAACAGCCTCGACATCCAATGCGCTTGCTGTTCAGGTCGATGCTGAAGGCAAGGTCAAGTACGACGCGATCGCCCGCCGCGGACACGGCGACGACCGCACTGTCCATGCCTCGTTCAAGGATTTAATCCCACTCCGACAACGGGTGGATATGGGAGAGCTGTCCCTGGAAAGGCCTTCGGAGGAGGAAGTTGAAGCTCAAATGGCAAAGACCAAGGCCGCTTTAGCAACCTTGGTGGAAGGAGCTTCGTCTGCCCAGAAGCCAAAGAACGTCAAGGGTGGACAAAGAGCTGAGCCTACTTTTGTTCGCTATACCCCAGCAAACCAGATGGGCAACAATGGCCGCCAAAATGACCGCATTATGAAGATTGTGGAAAGACAGCAGGATCCCATGGAGCCGCCCAAGTTCAAGCACAAGAAGATTCCCCGTGGCCCTCCATCTCCCCCACCCCCCGTCATGCACTCGCCGCCTCGCAAGCTTACTGCCGAAGATCAAGAAGCTTGGAAAATTCCCCCACCTGTGTCGAACTGGAAGAATCCCAAGGGTTACACTGTACCCTTGGACAAGCGTTTGGCTGCCGATGGTCGCGGACTGCAAGATGTTTCAATTAACGACAAATTCGCCCAATTTGCGGAAGCCCTGTTCACCGCAGATCGTCACGCCCGCGAGGAGGTGCAGCTCCGAGCCTCCATGCAGCAGAAGCTAGCGGAGAAGGAAAAGGCACAGAAGGAAGAGCACCTTCGGCAATTGGCACAGAAAGCTCGCGAGGACCGCGCTGGTCCCAGCCGCCGCGAAGAGCGGACTCGGTCTCGAAGCGCCAGTCGCAGTGCTTCTCCATACTCTTCGAGGTCTGGTACCCCTAGCGAGGACGGCGAGGCGGCCCGGGATCGTGAGGAGCAGCGTCGTGAGCGACGGCAGGATGCCGAACGACAGCTACGCCAGTCCCGTATGGGTACGGAGCGCCGTATTCAAACCATGGCCCGCGAACAGAACCGTGATATTTCCGAGAAAGTGGCACTCGGTCTGGCTAAGCCTACGCAGAGCTCCGAGTCTATGTGGGATTCGCGTCTGTTTAACCAAACCAGTGGTATGCAATCTGGTTTCAACGAAGACAACCATTACGACAAGCCGCTGTTCGCCGCGCAGGACGCCATCAACAGCATTTACCGTCCACGTGCCCAAGCCGATGCCGACGATGAAGAAGCCGGTGAAGGCGAGATGAACAAACTTGAGAAGACCAACCGATTCGAGGTCTTGGGTCGCGCCAAGGAAGGGTTCCGAGGCGCCGCTGACGCTGAGGTAAGTAATGATACAATCTAAAATCATACAAGCAGTGCTAATGAGTTCTCTTTATGTAGGAGCGTCAAGGTCCTGTTCAATTTGAAAAGGATACCGCCGATCCATTCGGCATTGACAACATGATTGCGGATGTGACTTCCGGTCAGAAGCGTTATGGAATCCAGGAAGCCGAAGGCGAAGACCGAGGATCCAAGCGCGCTCGGGTCGACGACGACTGAACTTTTCTATGTTAATTTCTTTTCAATATGTGACTCTATGTTCTTTCTTTGTGATTTCCCCGGGGATCGGAAAAATAACCTCCATGCATTGCGGGCGTTTTCTTGCGGTCTGGTCTATGTCATCACCACCTTGTACTCAACGTCAATCCATATCAATATCAGAGCGAGTCAATTTAACTCGCTTGTCTCAAAATTCGGTGTTCACATCTACGACGGGTACCACTAGACTGCCACCCCAAATTAAGTATTTCATCGTTTGTACGGGCAGCAAAGCGCGGGAATAGTTTTCAGATGAAAAACATCCCTTCATCACTTGATATGACTATTACGAAAAAAGACTACAGTACCATATACAACATTCCCACCAAACCCACTCAGTTCTTCACTTGGGTCATGTTGGGAGACAACACACTCTCCAGCCACTTGTAAGCCACAGGTAGACTGTGAGGGTATCCCATATGAACCAGGTTCTCGAAGAACCGGCCCTCCTTAGGACCACCATGGTTCATAAGAGTCAAACAGTCTTCGATGGGGACGACTCCATCGTTCACGCCCTAAAACAAAAAGGTCAGCACTCATATCTTGTGTTGGATCGGGATTCAGAGAGGTAGGTCATACATTCAGCAGGAGGAGACGGCAATTTTCTTGGTCCATGATGCCCGTCTCAATCAGCGAGAACTTCTTCTGCGCATTCTTCACGAACTCAGGCTCGCTGGCGTAGCCGTACTTCTCAGCCATGCAGGACGTGAGCCTATAAGCAAGTCAGCCTTCCAATCGCACACTTCAAGTTCTACAAACGGCTTTCGAAAACTTACTCAAACGGATACTCATGGTCGTTAGCATGGGCCAACCAATCCTGGTCAAAGACATGGTGCGCCCCAGGTCCATGGGCAACACAGCCGGCCAGACGATCCCGGTGCACGACAGACGCACGAATGGCATAGAACCCACCGGCACTCAGGCCCCAAGCTGCCACGCGAGACATGTCAAATTCAGGTCTCAGAGACATGTAGTCCAGCACACTCGACCACAGCCTGTCGGGCGACTCGGGATCAGCAGGGTCGGCGGGACAATCCGCCGTGCCGGGGATCTCAACGATGACAGTCGCCCAGCCCCGGTTGATAATCTCATGGCTGCGCTGGCTGTTGTCAGGACGGTATCCGTCCAGACCGGTCATGAGCAGCACGACCGGTACGCGGTTCTGCGCACTGGCTTCCTCCGGCACGCGGATTAGGGCTGGGATTTCCCAGCCGCGGTCTCCGGGGGCGCGGTGCTTGTGTGGAATCATCACCTCTTTGATGACTGGGTTCCACAGGGACGCTGCCTGGAGGTAGAGTTTCTTCTGGTAGTCGAAGGCCCGACGCTTGATGGAGGTCTCTGGGCGGGTGTTTGGGCTCACGTATGGGAACCGTGAGATCCGCAGGACTACGGCTGCGCGACGGTAGAGATCTGCTGCGCGGTCTCGGTGGCCGTTCTTTAGGGCTTCATCTGCTTCTTTCTCTAGAGCTGATGCTGTGGGCAGAAAGGCCTCGGTATACGCATCATCGTTGGCATCATTGATGTCCTCCTAATCGGTTTCGTTAATCGTTGGTATTGATCAAATATAAGGGCAAAAACGTACGGCAATCAGCTTCTCAAAAATAGGCTCGAAATCTTCAAGGGATCCATCGTGGAATGGATAGATAGATTTCGTGCACTGGAGCGTTATCAGTATGAGCATGTCAGAGTTTGGTACCTTGCAGGGTCGAGACATACGGGGAATTTCCACTTCATCTCCCACAGGGCCTTCATGGAGCCCTGATGGGGATAAACAGTATCGAACTTGTCTCCTAGAATCCACGGCGCCATTTTGATGATGAAGCAGTGAGACAAAGTGATGGACGGTGTTGTCTAGACAAGAAGTTTTATTATATTATGAGATGGAGGCTCTGGGCTCTTTCAATTCGCTCTATGTTATCAGGTTTTGCTGTTAACAGAAGCTGTCCAATGCGACCAAGCCATAGGCTGCGGTATTACGATGATGATCCCGATGCAAACAGCAGGTGGGTATTGCCACGAGCCTAGCTAAGCCTTGATCGGCACTTGAGCGCAGTCGATACGATGACCTTGCATAAAGGTTGCTTCATGGATGTCCGGATGCGGACGTGATATGATGTACTTTTAATCAGGAAAATGCCGATCGGCTCTTGCAGGATTCCGAGTTACGCAGTACGTCTTTGTTTCTCGTGGCTGTGATGGCGATCTCGTGATCCGCTTGCCCTAACTCACCTTTTCTTTAATGGGAATCGTGAGAAATACTGTTTTCGGGAGGTCAAATCGGATTTATTGCAATCTAGCAGATAAATTTCATTTCAACAGTAAGGCAACATAGAGAAAGTACTATTCAGTCTTAAGAGTCATCCCTAATAAGAGGTTCCATGGACAACTAATCCCGGACAACTCCAAACACCAATATTTTCCCAGCTCCTTAGATGTTAGCACCACCATTCAGGGGAAGGATTTGACCTGCAAATGATTAGTCAATTTTGACAAAAGTTTTTAAAAAAAAGGATATATCCGAGCATTCCAATACATACCGTTGATCCATTCTCCAGCGGGGCTGGCCAGGAATGCGACGACACGACCAATGTCTGCGGGCACACCACAGCGCTTGAGAGGGCTACCATTGGCCAGAGCCTGCTCGATATCCTCGAGAGACGAGTTCTGATCACAACCAGGGGCATAGCGCCACGAGTTGCTCAACCACATGTCACTCTTGATACCAGCAGGGGCGATGGCATTGACAGTGCAGCGCTTCTTACCGAAGTCGGCAGCGAAGCAGCGGGTGAAGCCCTCGACAGCACTCTTGCTGCCTGCGTACAGAGAATGTCCGGGGACACCAACACCGGCAGCGATAGAGGACATCAGGACAACACGTCCACCGGGCTGGATGTGATCGTAGGCGTTCTTAGCGACGAAGAACTGTGCCCGTGTGTTGAGGTCAAACACATCGTTGAAGTCTTGCAAGGTGGTGTCGGCTAGAGAAACGAACTTCTCCGTTCCGGCGTTGGACACCACGATGTCGAGCTGGCCGAAGTGAGCAACGACCTGGCGGAAGAGGTTTCCAATAGAGTCGACATTGGTCAGGTCGGCCTGGAAGGCTGCGCCCTTTACACCCTGTGCCTGGATCTCTTGCACAACCTTATCGGCGGTTTGGGAGCTGCTGGCATAATTGATTGCCACGGATGCACCCTTCTTCGCCAGCTCCAATGCGATACCGGAGCCGATGCCACGACCACCTCCAGTGACAAGGGCGACCTTGCCGGCGAGCTCAAGTTGAGAGGGGCTAGAGTTGATAGCGACCATTTTGGCGGGAGTTTGATGTCAGTAGAGGTAAGGAGTGAAAATTGGATGGAAATGACGAAAGGGTCGCGACTGGAGTGGGAGAGGTAGTCTATCTAATATTGATTACGATCTTTTCTGGAGACATAGCAGAGAAGTCTGGCCGGTAAAAGTTGCATGGCCTGGTTCCATCCATAGTACCCCCATTGCAGCAACGTTGTCTATACTTCCGATTTGAGAAAGGATCAAGTTCACAATGGAACTGTTCAAGACCCACACTCAACCTTGCCCGCCATTGAGCTCAAATTGACCGGTCAAATAGCCGCTTGCGAACAATGAGTCAACGGGCGTGGCCTGGCCTACTTCCGCATGCGGAAAGCTGTCACTTCGGCTGAACAATCCGCCCTCACAAAATATCACGCTAGAAGCTTGGGGTTACATTCCATTCCTATGCAGGGGAAATTAGCGGGACGGGGCCTGATCCGGGGAATGTGAGCTTCAGTGTGAACAAGCCGGTAGATATACTCGAGCTCCACACCTTGAGAAGTCCGAAGTGTCGACAATTCTCGAACTGCTATACCATCATGTCTCCTGCCGTCAAGAATACTGAGCCTAACTTGGACATTAGTTTCCAAGGTATTTGAACACGTACCTGATCCAAATCACATACTAACATCAGCAGACTACCTCATCCTCTCGAAGCTTGTTTTCGACTGGGCTGACAGCTATGATGCCAAGGTAAAATTTGCATCTTTCAAAGATCCAGTAGCCCAATATTCTAACGTCGTTTAGGACTGGGACCGCCTGCGCGGTATCATTGCCCCAACCCTGACAGTCGACTACACCGAGGTCGGTCTGAAGAGATGGGACGACATGTCCGCATCGGACTACATGGCAATGGTCACCCACCCTGGGTTCTTGGGAGACATGACCATCAAGACTCAGCATCTGCTTGGCCAAACCTGGTGGGAGAAGGTCTCCGACACCGAGGTCATCGGCCACCACCAGCTGCGCGCTGCCCACCAGGTTTATGAGACTCCCGAGCTCAAGACTGTCAAGCTGCGTGGCCATGGACATGCCACTAACGAGCACTACTATCGTAAAGTCGATGGTGTGTGGAAGTTCGCCGGACTCAAGCCGACTGTTCGCTGGAACGAGAAGCGCTTCGATGACGTTTTCAAGGGTCTTAGCTAGATATTTGCATATCTAGATGCTTACAGCAAAGAAATTAGACTCTCGTTTGTTCAAACTCAGGCTCGGATCTTAGACTACCCAACTAAAGCAAGCGACATAGCAATCAGCCCAAGTCGGATTTCTCAAGCGTAGCTCTCATGGTCCTCCCAATCCTTAGAAGCCATCACATCCACCCATTCCTTATCATCGTACTCGGCATAAGTATGAGAGATCAGCCGTGGGTAGTAATACTCAAAGTCCTCCTCTTCTAACTTGCACACGTTCTCAGTCTCGGCTTCGGGCGTACGTTCGGGCTGCTCTGAGGGGACGTAGAAGATATCATCCGGACTTGGAGTATCATTTGGTGCAGGATCACTCCCTGCATCAACATCAGGATTGTCCACACTAGTAGCTAGATCTGCTACAGCTCGAGTCACGGTGGGATCAGTGGATGACGAAGAATGTGCAGCTTGCACATCTGCAATCTTCAGTCTTTTAATTGCATCCTCGATGACACCTGCAGGAATCGTGGCCACTTCCAACCTAGCTGGACTGATGCCTTCTTTTTCAGGGATGGTGGAACTCCGGCTGGGTTTCTTGTCACTGGGCTGCGAAGCGGTTGGCTTCTCGGTCCAATCAGCATCTTGAATCTTTTCCGCAACAGTAGAAGACGTGATGGCTTTCGAGTTCCCGGAAGAAAAGGTCGGTGGGTAGGCATACTGGTAATTTCTCTTTCTGATGACATTGACAGATGGAATGACTTTTTGTTCATAGTTCGGTGTTTCAAGGTTGGACGAAGTTGATTTTTCCGACTGAACCCGATAAGTATGCTTCATTTTCGCTTTGAAGGGGGTGGTGTCATAAGAGAAAGGTTTCACAGGGGGGAAGGGGTAAAAATATCTCGGTTCAGACGGCAGAGAGTCTTCCTGCTGCTCGTGACGCTTATCTTCGACAAAAGTCGAGGACGGGCCAAGTCCAATCTCGACAGGAGGCAAGGTGGATGGCTCCAGGGAGCATAAATCATTATCTGCCTTTTCAACCGCTGATGGCGAAGAAGGTTTGTCCTCTTGGGTGACCGAGGTCTGGATTTGGGCTCCGCCTTTAGACGCGAGGTGTGGTCGCTTTCTTCTTTTGTACATGTTGATCGTTCTGCAAGCCCGGTGTTTGCTACATGTATAGTGTGGAGATCTACATACGGATTAAGATATCAGTTCTGCCTGAAAGGCAAGCAGACTAAAGTGACTCACGAAACGACCATCTTGTACCCAGGCTCCAATTCCGATTCTTGCGCAACCTCTTGGTATGGCGTATCGCTATCAGGCTTTGGTATAAACGTCTGAGTACGGATATAAAGCGAAGATTGAGTTCCGCGAGGAGGGAAAGTTATGACCCGCAAGTAATAGTTGGCGTTGGATACACCTTTCGGCAAGCAGTCAATGTTCTCATCATGAGATCTGATAGTTTTCGGAGTATTTTGTGCCCAAAGTCGAAAGTGTTCGAGATCACAGTTGAAGGAATCACCAGGTGCTGAGATTTGCAAATCCGGGCAGCAAATGACGTTACGTGACATTTTTGCCGCTTGCTGTAGCTCAAGAACAAAAGTGAGTGAAAAGGAGTTATCTCTCTTTATACTGCAGCAGCATCTTCAAGTCGGATGAGCTCGTCAGAAGTTGGTAATAGACCCGATTAGGGGTCGGAGAATTACTTGATACTATCTCCCGCCTTCTAAGGTTTCTATATTACCTTCTTTTCACCTTTTAGGGAAAGGATCATTTACATCAATGAGAGAACGGGGAGAAGTGAGAGAGGACTGAGAGAGAGAGCTGAGAGAGATTTAAGAGAGAGTTGGGAGAGTGCTACTCTTTGTTATATCTTGAAGTTGAAGACATGTAAAGAACCCATATATCAATATCACGTTATCCTATCTTCTAAGCAATAGTAAATATTAAAAACTACACAAGCCGTACAGTACAGCATATGAAATTAGAATCATCGAGTCATGTTACAGCGCCAGTACACTTAACATACAGTTTAGAAATACAGCATTAATAAACAATTTGACGACAGAAATAGGGACACGGGCCTTTTGAGCTGACGGCGACTGCACACTGCCATGCCATCAGACATCTCAACCATGGATCTATTGAAACAGAAAAGAAGAATCGAAAGAGGATGTATTGAACTAATCGAAAACATCAACCCATTAGAATAGAAGAAAAGTATAAAAATTAATATACAAGCCGATCCAAATCCCCAATTAGTCTACTGAGTATGCTCATACTGCTCCCAACCCTTGAAACCCTCAGGAAGATCATCAGGCCTAGAAGAAAGAAAGTTAGCGATGCGCACATTTGAGTCAATTTTCCCAGCGAAAGACTTACCCAGAATCATGCGTGTGAATGGTGTGGCCGCCCTCAGTGACATATCCGTCATTGTTATACGGAGTAGGCCAGAGACCCTTGCTGTCCTCGTTGTGAGCGACGATCGGGTCAGTCGAGGGGTCGTTAGGGTTGCCGATTTGGGCGTGGGACTTGTCGTTGTGGGGGTTAGGCCATGGGCCCTTGGTATCCTGGGAATCGGCGATGACGGGCTCGCCTTCATGGTGGGAGTCTGTCTCGCCCTCTTGGACGTGGCTGTGGTCTGCGTGAGGCTCTGGCCAAGGTCCGTTGTCCTCTTGCGAGGTGACGTGTACGGGCTCGTCGTCGGATTCGGGGTAGTAGTAGTCCTCGGGGTAATACTCGGGCTGAGGAGCTGCCACCGGGACAGGCTGGGGAGCTTGAGCCACGGGTTCTTGAGGAGCAGGTGCTTCAGGCGCAGGCACAGGCGCCGGCACCTCAGCGACTGGCTTGGGGCCTGCGGGGTGAGGGGCAGGGGCAGCGGGCTTGGGAGGGGGTGCCTGTTGGTGGGGGGCCTGGGGAGCGGCTGGCTGAGGGGCAGGAGCCTGCTGGGGAGCCGGTGCCTTGGTGTAGGCTGGCTTGGGAGCGGGAGCGGCAGCCTGAGGAGGAGGAGCCTGGGCAGTAGCTGGCTTGGGAGCGGGAGCAGCGGCCTGAGGAGGAGGAGCCTGTGGGGCAGCTGGCTTGGGCGCAGGAGCCTGTGCAGTGGTAGGCTGAGGGGCAGGAGCAGCTGCGGAAGAAGGAGCGGGAGCGGCCTTTGCCACGCCGTGATAGAGAGCACCCTTGCTTCCAGGGGAGACAGTAGTGTCAAGGCCACTCAGGTCAGTGCCATCATTGCCAGCGGCGTTTCCGCTGCTGGGAGAGGGATAGGCAGCGCAGACCTGATAGTGGCTGTTTGGGGGAGCCTTCTCGGAACCAGGGAAAGTCTCGGGTGCCTCGATAATGGTGGCCATCAGGCCGGCCTCGACGTGCCACTCGACGTGGCAGTGGAGAAGCCAGACACCGGGGTTGTCGGCGCGGAAACGAAGGACGGCGTGGCCGTTGTTCTGAACCATGATTGTGTCGCGTCGGACGGGGGTCTGGGAGACGTTGGGGCCCAGGCTGGTGTAATCGCCGGCATCAGGGGGAGAGCGCTGCAGCACTTGGAACTGGTGACCGTGCAAATGCCAGGGGTGCAGGTTGTTGTGGTGGTTGTTGATGACGATCTCAACGATATCGCCATACTTCACCACGAAGGGGTTCACTTGACCGTACACCTCGGGGTTGGAGGCAAGATCGGGGCCGACGGTGTTGGCTGTGTACAATGTTGGTACCTTGGGGGGCATGTAGGTCTCGTTGTTCACGGTGAAGCGCTGAACGCCGTTGATCTCTCGGCTACCGGTATTGAGAACAATCTGATGGTTCACGGGACCGAGGATGGGCTCACGGTCTCGGGGGATGAAATCGACATCGTCCACGAAGTTGAAGTCGGTGCCAAAGACTGGCGGGGCAGGCAGGGGCTTGGCCTCATCGTAGACCAACCAGGCAGTGGCGTTGGGGTTGTATCCCGGAGGAATGGGCCGTCCTTCAAAGACGAACATCATGTTGATGTCCATGGTGTCCCAGATGGCAAAGTTCTTGCTGGTGTCAGGCTTGGTATGAATCAGGACACTCATGCGCTGTCCGTTTCCAATGCGCAGGAACTTGTCTCCAGCCGCGTACGGCTCAACGTAGACACCATCCACTTCGACCACAGTCATCTCGTGGCCATCGAAGACCCAGGTGTGACCAGGCCAGTTTCCAAGAGCGATGATGTGCACCAGGTAGGTCTTGTTGGGGAGGACCTTGATCTTGGTGTTGCTCGAATCATTGATCAGGGCAGAGTCAGGGAGAGGCTCGTTGCCATGGAAAGCCTGCATGTTGGACTCGGACTCATATCCATTGAGAAGATCCGGCATCTGCTGGTGGTACCAGTCGGACAGCGTGATGGTGAACTCATCGTCGTATGCAAAGGGAACCTTGGGGTCATGGACAATCAGAGCACCCCGGAATCCATCAGGGTACTGGGCCATGTTGTGCGAGTGATACCAGTAAGTTCCCGTTTGGTTGACCTATCCCATCGTCAGTCGGAGTTCACTATGCAGGTTCCAAGCCAGACTTACATCAAAGTGATACTGCATGTGAGAGCCAGGAGCAATAGGACATTGTGTCACTCCACTGGCTCCATCCATTACCCCCGTCGCATACTGGCGGAATCCGTGCCAGTGAATGCCAGTGCTCTCGTTTCCAAGACCGTTGTAGACATCCACGACGAGGCGGTCCCCCACGTTGACATCGATCTGGGGGCACGGCCATTGGCCATTGATTCCAATGACGGGACGCTCATAGCCATCCGGAGAGGCATTGACCCAGGTCACGTTCCAGTCCAGGTACACTTCCTTGGCCGCGGCGAGGCCGAGCCATGAGGCCAGCGCCAGCAACCCAAATCGGGCCATTTGGGGGATTGTTCAAATGAGTGACAATCGACCGGAATTCGAAGGATAGTGAAATCCTCCAAGCGAATGTATTCGGGTCAGATAGGAATGAACGACAAACTAATTAAGAAAAGAAATATCACAAAAACACGCTGGTCGAAAGAAATGCGCGCGGGTTAGTCGGAGTGCTGCTTGACTCTCGAAAGCTGGATGTCGCGTCTTTTTTAACCTACTGCGATGCCCAAACAAAGATGCATTCAGATCTGCGCTAGGGGTCAGAGTATGCTTGGTGTTCCATATTCAGTGTACAGGGCTGTTATTGGCAGTGCCTTGATTCCATACAAACACGACGCATCTGGGGGAGGTTCTCAGTGGTTTTGGAATACCATGTTGAGCGAAGAATGCCCTAAGTGGAACCGGTCGAAGGAATGTGGATGGGTTGGGAGATCCTTGTCTCCCACGCAAGGGGTGGCATATTTGATCAACCGTCTGCAAACAACTTCATCGTCTCGAGATCGGAGATGTATTGGATCCGGTGTAGATGGTAAGGGGAATTGATTGATGTCGTTGGTTCCTGAATAGCCCTGATTCTAGACTGGGGGATTGGAGTTGAGGGACTCTCTGCCGGATACTCGACCATCATGTCTGACGATAACGGACATGTATATAAGAAATATGTATATATGTATATACATCTACATATATAATATACATACAACTTATATCGTATAGTTTGTATCGATCATTCCCCCTCTGGGCAAATAAGAAATCCCCATACGATGAGCAGTTCCTTATCGAGTGGCAAACCCCCAGTCGGAGTCCGTGGCCACGAGGACACGATGATATGCAAAGAAAACCGAAAAGCACAGAAAAAGCGGGGGGGGGGGGGGGGGGGGGGATGTAGAAGAACATCAAAGTCGAAGCAAACCAGCAGACCAGCAGACCAGCAGACCAACCGACCAACCTGGAGCAGATAGGAAAAACGGAAAAGCCCCCACCGAGCGTAGCCGCTGCGCCTAGCGCGGGGAGGCTGATAAGCGGAGATTTAGTCAGGGAGCGATAAATCTCAACGATTAACAGAGATGAGGGGCTTAAGTCGGGGATGGGCTGCTTTCGTCATCTCTCCACGGGCTTCTTTCGTGCTCGCATCTGCCACTGACGCAAGAACCTTCATTCCAAGGTTGGGACTCCCGTGACACATCCTGAATGAGCAATCCTCGACCATCTTGCACAATCCACCGCGGTGAATAGGGCCATGGATCAATCCATGACCCTCATCGATGCCCAGGTGCACTTCCTGGTGAGTCAGACCGCAGCGCGCAATCCCGAAGACGACTAACCAGGCCAGGACGAACGCGTGGTGCTGGTGCACATCCCGCTGGAGCTGTACCCGTATTTCATCAAGGCAGTTCTGCGGCTGATTTTTGATGAAATCCCTCCCCTGGAAGAGGAGGAGGGAAAGGGGAACGAATCCGATGACGGGGATCAGGCCTCAGAATATGGCTTCAAACCGCCAGCCTTGATGAACATCTCCATTACACCGGTCGAGGTCTCGGTCATGTGTCCCAGGCGTCTAGTCGACAAGTACTTTGTGCCGGTGATGGACCAGCTCGACCAACTGGATGCGTCACTCCGGTCTCGCTTGGTCGTCAGCGAGAACGACTTCATCGCCATGCAAGTCCTCGGCGAAGGCCTCGAGGCCGGCAGGCGGGTTCTCGACTTAACCACTCCACTCGCGCTGGCGGGCATGTATGTATATTGCGGGCCCTCGGAGAAATGCTAGACTAACACCACGCAGCTCCATCTTTTTCATCTCCACCTATTTCTCCGACTACATAGTAGTCCCAAGCCAAAGCAAGGCAAGCGTCATGTCAGCTCTCGAAGCCCGCGGCTTCCAATTCGACAACGCAAACGCTGCCTTCATCAGCAATCCCCTCAGTCCAACCACAGAAAGGCGCCTCAGCGACTTGATCCCGCCAAACACCCCGCCACCCTCAACGCTATCAGAACTCCAAACCCGCACCTTTGACAGTCTCCGCAAACGCCAGATTTCTCCTTATGTGGACAAGACCCTCCGTCTCGTCCAGTGTGCGGCCCACCACCAATATCACAGCGAAGACAGCTCAATGTCCATCCTTCGCGATGCCCTCACAACAGTCCTTCTCGTCGACGAACCCCGCTTCCTCTCCCTAACCCTAGCAGCCCTCGACCCAGCAGCCTCGCTCCTGCTAGAGAAGCGCCTGCTCCCCCGCTTCGCCCTCCGCTCGTCTTCCCACGGGACCTATGAAGACGGCTCGGGCCTTCTCCTCGGCTCAAAAGAGGACTGCCTCATCCCCATCACCCTAGACTTACGAGACCTCCCCCTGGAAGCCTCGGGAATAGTCTGCGGCGTAGCCGGCCGTCTCGCAGAAGCCGCGCAAAGTCCCCGCGCTTCCATCTCCAGCACCATCGGCAGCCACGCCAGCAGCGTCATCGGCTCCGTCCCTAGACTCTTCGATACATTCGGAACCCGTCTAGCCTCGCTGTCCATGTCCGATCGAAAGTCTCCCCCGCATTGCGCGGCGCCCTCGCATAATCTGTACCCCCTTCCGATGTCGACCCATCATCTCCAGCCAGATCTGGACTCGGCGGCTGATGCTGTCGAGATTAGTTTCTTGTCGACTGCGCGCGCTGGTACGATCATTGTCGGCGAAGACGAGCTTAAGCGTGCCATTGATGCCCTGGAGGCGGAGAAAGAGCCGAAGTTGTTGGATTTGCAGGCTGACTCGCAGACTCCGCCTGATAGTCCGCTGCAGTCGCAGGTGTGAGGCGCTGGCTTCGATGGGGATTGGGAATGGTTTGGTGAGGGATTCTTGGCTGTATGCCTTGGATGTCAAGTTACGAGTTACGTGTTTCATGTGGATCTGAACTAAAAGTCGTCTGTTTGTTTACTTTCTTTTAGCTTTTCGTGCTTCTCTTCTAATCTGTATGAATAATACCTGTGTGTTTTTATTTGTCATATAACCAATTTTCAACGTGCATCGCATTTACCAGAATCTACTGTAGACATCGCTTACTAGAACCTCGGGATCTAATCAAGGGTCCGGGGGGCTTCGAAGATGATCTAATATCAGCATATTATCTAGGTAGACGCACTTGGTAGCCTACCAAAAGGGACCATGCAAGCCTTATAGTCTCCGATATCACGTGAACATAGTTAGCGGCTCTGGAGCTTAGCTCCCGAGGTTCCACTCCGGTCAATAAGTGAACTCTCACTGGCCAACATAGTGACTCAATGTTATTCTTCTGTTGATTTGATCATTGCTGGTTTTTATTCATCAACTCATGACTGCCGATGAGATCAAAGACATCATGACACAATTCGCAGATATGGAACATAGTCGAACTTCTCGTTTCTTGGGTAAGTTAAAAAAAACTTATAAGTTATCAAAAGAAGGATCTTGATAGAGAAACCACGATACCAATCGCGAAAGATTTCTATATTGGCCCTACTCTATGTCTATTCTGCAACTTTGGCATGGCGAATGATGCAAGGTGGAAGTTGAGCGTGGACCCTGTACATTCCTCCCTTTCTACTTTTCTTCCAGGGGAATATCCCCCTATGACCGGGACTGATCATTATTAGGGTTTTCATTACTCCGTATAAGACTGTACTACAGCCGCGGCTCGTCGAGGCTTAGTCTCGCTAGATATTTCTTTTACTCTTAATTTCGGTGAATTACTTCTTTCTCAACGTTGGAGTTACGTAAAGGCGTATTCTATGCGGGTTGGAAAGGGGTTTATATTGTAATATATACTTTGATCTGATGGCACTGACATACTGTTCAATGCATGCCACTGACTGAAAAATCTACTGTATGCCCCTGAGACCTACAGTACACTCAACAGCCCATGTGATACATCCATGGTAAATAGCACACCGCTAGTTATACTGTACGTTTTCTTTTTTTATTTATTGAGAGAGAATGAAGGGGGCAAGAGGAAAGCCATCCGGCCTGGGATAGGATAACTTTTAACTTAAGCTATCTGGGTGATAACTAACTGTTAGTGTAGGATTACAGAGCTGACTTAACACTCAATTAAATCACGAGTTTAAAGGTAGCAAAAAGCCTCGATCATAATGCAGTTGATTTCATATCTCATAACAGTTCACTGTGGGATGTTTTCATATCCAGTCCTTGTAATGGCAGGGATTATTTGTCCTGTAGTGCCTTTCAGCTATATTCAGGCCCACACCTGCCATACAGTAGGTAGTGTTGATCCATGTAGATCATAAATCCCAACAGCCTTGGGAGGATCAACGGAGCGACTTGGGCCTGGAGCCAGTTGCCAAGTTAACTATTATTTCAAGTTGAATGACGATGACAGAGCGGTATCATGCCACAGTGGATGTTTCCAAAGCCTGTTCACGATAGGCTAGACTTTCCAATAACATGATCTACTGACCATGAGCCCATTCAGCCATAGACTCGAACAGTACCTATAGAAAGTCAGTAAGCAAACTAAATCCGGTAAAAAAGCGAAGGCGAGGACCATACCATCAGAACACCCAGCAGCCCAATCCCCACCCTTCTCATTCCACGCCACACAACTGACAGCCTTGACCTTCTCCCCCATGGGAACAGCAGCAATGCACTCCCCACTAATAACATCCCACGCAAATGCCGCTGCCCCATCTCCACTCCCAGTTTCACCACCACTCAACACAACAGCATCACTCTGCGCAAAGACAGACCTCACCCTCAGCTCTGTATTCCGATACTTAGACCCCCTCCCAACTTCCTTCTCCTCCTTATTCCCATCCCCAAATGCCTTCAATAACCCCCCATCAACGCGATCCATCATTCGGATAAACCCGTCAAGCGTGGAAACAAGCAAAGCATTCCCGTCGGCGGAACAGCGCACACTAGTAACAGGGTGCGCAAGGACATCCACACTCGTCTTGCCAGTGCGCACATCATAAATCCGCGCGTGGCCATCATAACTGCCGCTCGCGATGGAATATGATCCCATATGTACATGCAGACTAGAGACCGTGTCTGTTGCTTCCGCGAGAGTCTGGATTGGTTTGTGGCTGTTGGCGCGTGTATCCCAGAGGTTGATGGTTGTATCTGCGCTGCCTGTTACATCGGAGTTGTTAGTGGGTGGTCTGGGTTGCAGGTCTGGGTGTGTAGAGGGGTATCTTGGATCCGTACCAGTCACTACAACCCCATCTCCCTCCCCCGCAAACTGCACGGCTTCAATGCGACTGTTATGACCTGACCATCGTCTTGTGGTGATTCCCTGTTCAACATCCCAGAGAAAGACCTGGCGGTCACCGCCTACGCTGGCGAAGCGGGCATTATCGGCTGCGACGGCGATGTCTAAGACTGAGTAGCCGTGTGCTTCGTATTTTTGGATTGGGGAGGTTGTTTCGATTGGCTCGTTTGTTTTGGTGCTTGGGATTGCACGCGTTAAGTGGACGGTTCGGTCGGAGGATCCTGTTAGGATGTAGGTGCCTGGGTAGCTGGAGAAGGTTACTGCGTTTACCGGGCCTGGAATGAGGGGGTTAGTGTTCAATTTTGGGTTGGATTGGGCTTAGGCGCTAGGGATGAGTACCATTATGTGTTTTCAAGGTGTGAACAGGCCTGGTTGGGAAGACTGTTCTCATGGCGAGTTGAGTTGGAGTGAATTGGAGAAGTTGAAATGGATGGAGCTCGGAGCTTCACCTACAGCCCTATGTCATTAAGTTATAGCTCGGGAACACTACGGGTGCACTCTGAACAGCTCACAAAAATTAATCTGTATTTCCACGCTACAGAATACAGAAGATATTATCACGGTTGTAGACACACCATCGCTAGCTACCAGCGGTAAATGGATATAACAAAGAAAACGAAACCCGAGAAGGTCCCAAGCAAGACAAGTCCTTGAAGAGAAGAAAAAACATGGTTCTGCTACTCCCCTTTTTCCGGGATGCCCGGTACAAATGCATCCTAACGACGTCCGTGGCTGCGGGTGCTGGATCCCTGCAGACCCTCGATCTCCTGTTCGAGGGATTTGATCCTGTGATCGGTCAGTACTTGTCGACGCGTGAGAGCTAATCAAAACATACGCAGCATGGGTGGCCTCGAGGTCCTTGTTGAGACGATCGCGCTCGGAAATGAGCTTCTGCTCCCACTGGCGGAAACGCTGCTCCTCGACCTTGACCTGCTCGGTGAAGCGCTTGCGCAGGGTCTCCTCTTCCTCCTTGAACTTGGGGTTGTCGAGCTTGCGTGGTCGTGCCTCGCCGAACTTGCGGGTCTCCATCTGCTGGGCGCGGTAGGCCTCGTAGTGCGATTCTTCGGTGGTGTGAATAAGGTCGAGCATGTGGGTGCGGATCAGAATTGAGCGAAGCTTCTTGAAGTCACAGTGGTCCTCGTTCTCAACCTCAGCAACACCCCAGGCGTATTGTCGACCCTTGACAACGCGGCCATCGTTGGCCTTGACGTCCTTCTCGGAACCGATAACGGCGAAAGGCATGGCAGCCATGAGGCTGCGGGCGTGGGAGGCGGCGTGCTCGTCGTCCTCTTCGACGGGGGAGAGTAGATCTTGATGCCCTGGGCCTCAATGACAGCGCGAATCTGACAATTGTTAACCAAGTCCCCAATTCCATCCTTGTGCGGTCCAACTCACTCTCTCCTTGTAACGAGCCAGATCACCGTGGCTCAAGGTATCGGCCTTGGCAACAACGGGGATCAGGTTGACGCGGGAACTGAGGCGCTTCATGACCTCAATGTCGAGAGGCTTCAGAGTGTGACCAGTGGGGCGGATGAAGTACAAACAAGCGTGCACACGCATGTCAATCTTGTCGGATCGGCGGGGCTGCTGCTCCTGGAGCATGTACGACTCGTGCTGGTCATCCAGGAACTCGATAATGGGCTGCCACGAATCGCGGTTGTTCACGTAGTCTCCGAAGCCGGGGGTATCAATAACGGTGAGGCGGACTAGAAATCGCCTATCAGCCAACAGCACGCGGACTCGACCTGAATGCATCTCCTACCCTTGAAGAACTTCTCCTCGAGCTCTGCCTTGGTAATCTCAATCTCCACGGTGCGGTCAACCTGCTTCTGGTGGCGGCGCTTGTGATCGGCATAGTTCTTGATGGTGGTAGAGAAAAGGGTGTTAATGAAGGTTGTCTTTCCCAGTCCCGACTCTCCAGCAACCTGACGAGTAAATATTAGCCTCGGGCACGCGACACCATAGTGACGGCGTCATCCTGTGTCAAACACACCATAATAGTAAAAGCCGCACCCCGCTTCGCGACAATCTTGTGTCTATACCGCTTGATTAGAACCGTGTCCCCTCTCCCACAATCGCCAATTTATCGTTCAATTCCATACCGCTGGTTAGGGAGCTACATCAAGAATGACATGTTAGCTATCATTCGGCAAATAGGGGGTTGCGGGCACTCACGTTGGCAATGCCAATAGGCGTAGCGGTCTCTGTTGTGGACATTGTGTAGGGAATTAAAAACAATTCAGAATGTGGAAAAGAAGAAGAGAACAGAGAGAACCCCGGGGTGAGAGAGGGAAGAATATGGCTCCTGGGGGGAAAAAAGGAGGAGTCAAGTTGAAATCGGATTGCTCGAACTGCCCGTCGCTGCTTCCCCCTGAATCTCCTTTCGTTTTCTGGAGTATACCTCGCCTTGCCTATCTGGGCCTAGCGTGACACGCTAGACTGTGTTGGGTTCGGCGCCGGGGCTTGGATGATCCGGCCTTATCACCTAGAATATCTCTAATTTTTTGATCTTTGGGATCGCCGCAACAGTCAAAATGAAGACCGATTTTAAGGTGTGTATGCTCTTGATTCTATATGAAAATGCTGAGAAAGACTCCGCGATCATGATCTTGTTACTGACAATACTCTAGTTCTCCAATCTCTTGGGAACGGTCTATCGCAAGGGAAATCTTCTCTTTACTCCCGATGGAACATGCTTGCTGTCGCCAGTAGGTAACAGAGTCTCTGTCTTTGACCTTGTGCAGTATGTGTCTTTCGAATCCATTCAACAAGCTTCAGAACCAGTCAGCTAACCGTTAGCCGTATAGAAACACTTCATACACTTTGCCCTTTTCGCACCGTACAAACATCGACCGTCTCGATCTCTCGCCGCGAGGTAACCTTCTCTTGACCGTCGATGAAAATGGCCGCGCCATTCTGACCAACTTCCAACGGCGCATCGCCATTCACCATTTCTCTTTCAAAGGCCGAGTTTCTGCGCTCAAATTCTCTCCCTCTGGACGACACTTCGCCGTTGGTGTGGGAAGACGCCTGCAGATCTGGCAGACCCCTTCTACTCCGGGTACCGAGAACAATGGCGAGATTGAATTTGCTCCTTTCGTTCTCCACCGAGACCTCGCCGCCCACTTCGACGACATTCAGAGCGTAGAGTGGTCCAGCGATTCGCGCTTCTTGCTCACTGCTGCCAAGGACTTGACAGCACGAGTATGGAGTATGGACCCCGAGGAAGGATTCGAGCCAACTACCCTGGCAGGACACAGGCAGGGTGTTGTGGCTGCCTATTTCAATGCGTCCCAGGAATCTGTACGTTTCACTGAGCAGTAAACTGAAATCAACACTAACTGGATTATAGATCTACACTGTCAGCCAAGATGGTGCGCTATTCCGTTGGGAATATGTCTCAAAAAAGGACGAGGAGACAATGGAGGACATTTCCGAAGCCCGGTGGAGAATTGTCAAGAAGGATTTCTTCATGCAGAACGATGCCAAGGTCAACTGTGCGGCATTCCACGCACCGTCCAACCTCCTGGTTGTGGGCTTCTCCAGTGGCTTATTCGGTCTTTATGATCTGCCCGAGTTCAACATGATTCACCTCCTAAGGTACGTCAACATGGAAACCGCTTTGCGATTCATAGTTGCTGATGAACTTTTAGTGTTTCCCAAAGCAACATTGATGTTGTGACTATCAACAAGTCAGGCGAGTGGCTCGCATTTGGATCTTCCAAGCACGGTCAACTACTGGTGTGGGAATGGCAGTCCGAATCCTACATTCTCAAACAACAAGGGCATCTCGACTCTATGAATGCCCTTACATACTCTCCAGACGGCACAAAGATTGTTACGACTGCAGATGACGGTAAAATTAAGGTGTGGGATGTCAAGTCAGGCTTCTGCATTGTCACATTCACCGAACACACTAGTGGAGTGACAGCGTGCCAGTTTGCCAAAAAGGGAAGTGTTCTGTTTACGGCATCATTGGACGGTTCCATTCGTGCGTGGGATCTTATTCGTTACCGTAATTTCCGAACATTCACTGCTCCATCCCGACTTTCATTTGGCTCGCTCGCTGTTGACCCTAGTGGCGAAGTTGTCTGTGCTGGTTCCCCAGACTCGTTCGATATCCATGTATGGTCTGTGCAGACTGGTCAATTGCTTGACCAGCTCTCTGGCCACGAGGGTCCTGTTTCCAGTCTTGCTTTCGCTTCCGATGGCAACCACCTTGTCAGTGGAAGTTGGGATCACACAGTCCGTATCTGGAGCATCTTTGGACGCTCCCAGACCAGTGAGCCTCTCAAGCTCATGTCTGACATTCTCAGTGTGGCTTTCCGCCCAGATGGAAAGCAAGTCGCTGCGTCTACTCTGGATGGCCAGCTCTCCTTCTGGTCTGTCGAAGATGCTATCCAGCAAGGTGGAGTTGACGGCCGCCGTGACGTCTCTGGAGGTAGAAAAATTGCGGATCGCCGCACTGCTGCTAATGCTGCAGGCACAAAATCATTCAACAGAATCACATACAGTGCCGATGGTAGCTGCATTCTGGCCGGTGGAAACAGCAAGTACATCTGCTTGTATGATGTCGGCACAGGATCACTGATCAAGAAGTTCACGGTCTCCGTCAATACCTCTCTTGATGGAACCCAAGAATTCCTCAACAGTCGTGACCTGACTGAGGCTGGTCCCCGTGCTCTCATTGATGAGACCGGTGAAGCCTCCGACCACGAAGAGCGCGTGGATCGCACCCTTCCCGGTGCAAAGCGCGGAGATGCTGGCTCACGAACCACTCGCCCCGAAGTGCGGGTCACATCTGTTGACTTTGCGCCGACTGGACGGTCGTTCTGTGCCGCTTCCACCGAAGGTCTGCTCGTCTACAGCCTGGACACAGACTTCATCTTTGATCCGTTTGATTTGGATATTACTATCACACCTTCCAGCATTCTTGCCACGCTAGATGCTGCCAAGCAAGCGGCCGCTTCCGATACCGTCGACGAGGACAACACTTTCCTCAAGGCTCTTATCATGGCTTTCCGATTGAACGAGCAAAAGCTTCTTCGCGCCGTCTACGAGTCAATTCCTCCGTCAGATATTCCCCATGTGGTTCGATCCGTGCCCTCCGTTTACCTCCCTCGTCTTCTCCGATTTGTTGCACATGCCGCCGAAGAGACCCCCCACTTGGAATTCAACCTGATGTGGATTGAGTCCATGTTCAGCAGCCATGGTCGCTACTTCAAGGACAACACAGGTGTATTTGCACCCGAGCTTCGCGCCGTCCAGCGTGCTGTCGATGATATTCGCGAGAACCTGAAGCGTCTGACTGAAAAGAACCTCTATGATCTCAACTACCTGCTTTCCAAGCCTGTTCTTGAATCTAAGAAGACCAGCAGTGCTCTTTTGGCCATGGATACCACCGAAACCGACGGTGCTGATGATCAGATGGTTGACGCTGACGATGGAGAGTGGGAAGGTCTTGAATGATTTCTATGGGAATTCTAGTGTATGTCTACTTGCATCTGAGCCAGGCGTTTTGTATATAGCAGCAAAGACTCAAAAGGGGAAATAGACAGGGACTCCCTGGTTTAGTGTGTGATTAATATCTTAAAAGAACCGCCCTGAGACCTCAAACGGGCGTCTCTTTGTTATTTCGCCTATAGCAAACGCCTCCCAATAAAAAGCCTTCCCCCATTACTATCCGAATGTGTTCTGTGCCACCCTTCTCTCTGTCCTTCCTATCACCATGCCCACTTCTTTAAATCTTCCTTCTTGAGACAGCCGGGTCTACCTTTATCAGAATCCCGTTTCTCCTCTATTGCAAGCCCGGCTTCCCTCCCCGATGAGCTTGCAGATGGCCGGGTCAGCTTCATGGCCTCTTGTCGGGGTCCTCGTGGCCGTGTTATTCATCTGGCGACGGGGTCAGCCCTCCACTCTGAAGCATATCCCAACGGTGAGGTACAATCGTTACCTCCCTGACTTGATCAACAGAGTCATGTACTATCCAAAGGCCGCTTCGATGATCAAAATGGGCTATGACAAGGTACGTGCTCCCAAGCAGGATTGAACTGAGCCCGACTGACACCCATCCAGTTCAAGGAGACCCCATTTCGCATGCTCACAGCCGACGGAGAAGTCATTGTCCTGCCTATCAAATATCAAGAAGAGTTGAGGAAATTGGGTCCGTTGAAACTCAGTTCTCTACATGCACAATACGAAGTAAGTCCTTAGGCAGTGACACGTTACACTGCGGACTCGGACTAACTGATATAGAATGCGCTGGGCCAATACACCAACATCATCATCGATAGTTACATACCAGCAACAACCGTTCGGAAGAAGTTGACTCCAGCTCTAGGTAAGAAACCTCCCTTATTGAACACTCCAGTCCAAGAAAGCTAAACATCCCCAGCCCGCATCGTGCCTCATGTTATCGACGAACTACGCGACGCTTTCAATGCAGTCCTCCCCGACTGCGAAGGTACAAGATATACCAATGCCACACACGATTGGAAAAGAGAATTGCATTACTAACAAGCACCTTCCCAGACACATGGTTCAAAATCGATCCAAACGAACTCTTCACCCGCCTGATTGCCCTAGCCACCTCACGCGTAATGGCGGGCGAAGTCCTCCGCCGCAACGAAGAATGGCTCAATCTCGCAAGCAGCTATCCAAGAAACGTCGGGTTAGCCGTGATCCTCCTGCGCCCCTTCCCAGCTTGGCTCCGACCCCTGGTAGCGATCTTCCTACCACCAGTTCGTCAAATGAAACAGCAACTACGCTTCGCAAAGGATCTGTTTGTGCCTATGATTCACGAACGCAAACAAGCAGCGACGGATCCGGCTTATACAAGCCCAGATGACTTTTTGCAGTGGATGATAGATCTAGGTGATGAAAAAGGCGAAACACTTGATCCAGAGATCTTGGCACATCATATGCTCCTCCTCGTCACGCTGGCTGTTGTCCATACCAGCTCTATGGCTTTGCATCATATTCTTCACGATTTAATTGCTATGCCGGAGTACTTGGAGCCGTTGCGCGAGGAAATCAAGAGGACTCTGCCGGATGGTTGGTACAAGGGGACCAAGACTGCGCTGTCGGAGCAGCATCGGTTAGACAGCTTTATGCGAGAGTCGCAGCGGCTCAATCCGCCTGGTGAATGTGAGTTATGCTGACTTTAGTTGCACGGGGAGTTATGAGAATGTTGTGCAAGCCCTAATCACTCACTCTAGTGTCCGTCCATCGCATCGTTCGAGAAGAGATTCTCCTCCACGACGGTCTTGTGCTACCCGTTGGGACACATGTTTGTTTTGCTGCTGGTCCAATCAGCAAGGATATCAATTTTCTTCCAGACCACCCAGAAGCCTTTGACGGATTCCGATGGTGTCGAGAGTCACAGGACCGTTACGCATTGTCTCCTGAGTTGGCTGCGTCCCATACTGTTTCGAACGGCGACGAAAAAGAGAAGAAAGCTACCGAGAATATGTTGGCTACCCCTGCCAGTTTCGTTACAATCAGTCCGACGAACATGCATTTCGGATTTGGGGTCCAGGCTTGTCCCGGACGATTCTTCGCGGCGAATACACTGAAGGCCATTCTGAGTCGTATTATTCTCGACTTTGACTTCAAGGTGGCTGGAAATGGGAGACCCGCGAACATTCATGTTGGAGAGCATATCTTGCCGAGTATCAATTCGCAGGTGCTGTTTCGAAAGAGGGCCATCGACATTTAGAAGGTGGAATCGAGAGTTTGGGGGTTTTTTCCATGTGTCATTGAGATTAACTTGGCTTTAATCATGAAGAGATCGTCAGGGATCGATACAATGTGATCATTACAACGCAATGAGAGAAATATGGCACTGGCTGTTGACTTGTAGAGTGAGCGATCTGGCACTTCATATAAATCCAAGATTTCAAGAGTTTGTAGCAAGCTCATGTCATACACGAAGAGCTCATTGGCCTTGCAGTGAGCTTATTCAAAGAGTAAAGGGGAAACCCTAATTGGGAAGTTCGCATTCGTGTTCTAACTTGGCAGCTCTAATTTGACAGCCAATGGAACAAGACAAAGGCCTAATAGTGGATATTTCTAGCTTCTGGGAAACATTGTCTATATTCGCTCCACTTGCTGATCCGGCAATCATACAGATTTTTGTTGCGCCTTCCATGTACATGTCTAGCATCCTGGAGGAACTTCGGAGATTTGAGACATCGGTCTCATAGAATTTTCTCTAGATAAAGCAGCAACCTTCAACATATACTTTTTTCCTCTGTAGCCTAATTCACTTCAGTCAAGCGCGCTGCATAACTACCATTCCAGTGACACAGTGAAGTGGAAAGCAAATCTAGTCTGATGGCTTGTGCAATACTTGAATTCAAAGAAAAAGTTTATACACAAGTTGAACATGTCCTGAGTGGAAATGGGTCCACCGAAGAGAATCAAGCCATCCTGACCTGATTCATGGGCCAAACAATAAACGGCTGGTAGCGCAGCCCTGAAATTACGAGAAACTCCCTCCACAATATGCAGAGGCCACCCTCGAATAAACCAAACCGAGTCAAGCTCATTCAACAGTACCGCAAAATAGGAAAATATCAAAAGTGCAACCGGGTGCTTTTGTTGCATGTCCTTTGCGAAACTATCCGGTAGTAAATATAACCAACTGAATATCTGCGGCCACAGTTCTGGGCTAGCAATAGGAACAGAGCCACCAAGTATGTGGTTATAGCGTGATAGGAGCAACTCGAATATAGCACAGTAGGTTGAATGGCTGGGGTCACTTGAGGAGAATGCATTCAGTACCAGACCTTTCAACTTGTTGAGTGGCTCCAAGAATGGACATGAGGATTGGTCAACTTTGTAGTTGATAGCTTCGCTTGATGAGATGCCATGGCTTGGCTCTGTTTCTCGTTCTTGTTCTCGTTCTGGGGATACCCCTTGCCTCTGCTTGGGATGCACCTCTGAAATACTCTCGGAAACCCCAAGTTGGGTACTGGCCTCCAGGATTGATCGCATACCAGTGAAAAGACAAAACCCTGGGATATCCCTGTCATCACGGAAAGCCAGATACTCCCCAGGCTGAGGACCTCGGGCAAGCGAACAAATGAAGATGAATAGGGACGCGATATAGAGTGAGTGGCTATTCTCTTGGTGTATCTGAGGGTCTGCAGTTGCAACCTCAGCAGCTGCACTTTTCAGATGACGTTCAACCTCAACATAAAAATCGATATCTGGCGGCCCATACTGGTGCCTCGGGTCATTTGTTGATGTTCGCTTCATATGAAAGCCCGAGATTGCTAGTAGCAAATGCAGCACATAATGGACGGACAAGCCCAGCCGGATGAGCTGGTCTGGGATGTGGACTTTGAGGTCAGTTGCTGAGAGGCAATGATGAAATAGAATCATATCAGTCCCCGTGAATTGAAACGGGCTTTTGGCTACAGTGCTCTCCGAATCGGTGGATGAAGATTGCCGCATCGCCGAGTCTTCAGTCTCACGGCGGGATCTCTTTGGCACGACAAAGCCAGAGGCGGATGAAGAAATGAACGTGTATTCCTTTCTCGGCTGTTCACTGGTACTCGGTGTCATGGTCCTTTCGTCTGCCACTATGGGCCTGTCACGCTGCCAGGCTTGCCCATAATTGCATTCAATAGAATGTCGGATGCAATTCATACATTCTGGCGCAGCCTCATCGCACTGCAAGGACCAATCAGTTGAAGTTGTGGTCATGTACATGATCACTCACCTTGATTCGCCGTCTTTTGCAATTTCCACATCCGATGCGAGATTTAGTGTGAGATCGACGAGACCTGCTTCTCGCGTAGGAGCTTGTGCTGAACTTCATATCTTCAAGTGATGCACATGCATCCAAGTATCGACGGGAATCCCCCAAGAAAAGGGCTCAGGAAGGACCATGAGCGGTAGAACCGCTTGACCTGATTGGGGCGATGGAGGTTCATGGTATTTCCGAGATATCCCCGAGCCCTAACTGAGTAAGTGACTGACTAGTGTTGCAGAAAGTGGCCCAGACGCCGGAACTGGTCTTTAGCAGGTCGAAGTGAGAGCATTTATAATCCCCTTGTTTGAGACTTCTCCACTACAACCGCTGAAGTTTCCTAATGAAGAAGTTCGAGTTCGCATTACGATGGAGAATATCTCAACCAGGATGAAAAGCCATGTTATAACCAGATCCCTTCCAGGGACCTTTTCGAATTGATTCTCAAATCATTCCGTTCAATATGACACACAAAGGGCGGATTGCTTGCATTTTCATCCCGTATGTGCTGACCCTGGCAAGCTTGGTATGCATCATCATCGTGGGCCTGGGCTGCATTAAACCCACCTCCGGCGCATTGAGCGAAGTATACTTCCTCCGGGTGAGTATTTTGCAATTGAAATATTGCACTCGGTCCAACCGAAATGGCCATTGACACTGATGCGACGACTAGGTCAACCTGCAGAATGTCAGCAACGGGACACAGTCAATCAGCAAAATCGAGAACATCCTCCATGACCGCAATATCACCAGTATCGACTCGGAAGGGATATCGGAGATCGTCTCGAGAATTCAAAGCAACAGCACAGGGAAAGACTTCTACCAGATCGGACTTTGGGGATACTGTGATGGAGAGATCTCGAGCGGAAACTACGAATTGACGAATTGTTCGCAGCCAAAGAGCGTTTTCTATTTCGATCCTTTGTCTGTTTGGAGACTCAAGAATGATTCGGTGGTGAACGGCTTGCCCAAAGGGTATCATCGGTTTTCGAATACCTACAAAGCGCTCCTCCGATGGATGTCCATCGCCTACATTCTGGCCTTTGTCACAACGATTCTCGAGATTGCAATCGGTGCGTTGGCAATCTTAAGCCGCTGGGGAAGCTGTGTCACGACTATCGTTGCCGTCGTCGCTCTTTTGTTCACTGCGGCGGCCTCTGCAACGTCCACCACCATCTTCGTCCTGATCCGATCTACTGCTGGCCCCATTCTCGCTGCTTATGGGATTCATCTTTCCATAGGCAAGCACATCCTAGCGGCGACCTGGATGGCGACCTTCTTCTCAATGATCGGTCTGATGTACTGGACTTGCAGTGTCTGTTGTTGTTCTGGCCGCGATTCTCATGCTAGACATCCGAAGATTGACGTCACCAACAACATCCCTCATATCTATGAGCCACTGGGTGCCGGTACGACATCACACAGTCCTCCACAGGCGAATTGGCCTTCTTATCAGACTTCCCCAGTGACTAGTTCGCACCCAATGTATGCCCTCGACAGACGTGCTAATGCCCAGGAGCCCTTCCGACACTATTAGGCTTAGGAGGATTCGCTCATGCGTTGGATTACTATCACTGCTCTATCTGGCCCACGAGCATTGTCTAGGAGGAGCTCTAGCTGTATGACAGCGGCAGGGATCCATTCTATATCTTTTGTTTTGTGTCTTCATGGCGGGTAGTTAAATCATACGCTACATGTGATTGTGTTAAAAGTTGGGGTAGGTTCAGGAAGGCAAGGAAGCAATAAATTGGAAATAGAAAGGAGAAAATGGCCAGAAATGATCGTTCATATGCATAATTTCATATGATACATAATACCAATTTTGGTCAATTTACATTTCTTTTTCAATAAATAATATAACATCGATTCCTTACTGGGCAGCAGCTGCAGGAGCACCTGCAGGGGCACCTCGTCCACCACGGCCTCTACCACGGTTGCCATTGCCATTGCCACGGCCACGGCCACGACCACGTCCACGGTCTATTCCTTGCGGTGGGGGAACCTGGCTGTAGTTCTGGGGGCGGAAGTTGGGGTTGTTCTGGACAACGCCCTCGCTAGGGTCGGTGTTGTCCACAGAGGTGTATCCGCCTCGTTTGCCGCCAAAGCCACCACGGCCACGGGGACCGCGGGGAGGACCCCCGTTGGCTTGAGGGCGGAAAGGAAGGTTGAATTGCTGGCCATTGTTCAGTCCACCACGGCCGCCACGGCCGCCTCCATTGCCCTGTCCGGAGACAGCACCACGGAAAGAGCCCCTCAGGGGAGGAGGGGTCGCTGCATTCTGCAACTGTCCTTGACCACCGGCAGCCAAGGGCGCACCGTAGCCGGCAACAGTAAGAGGGGTTGCAGTCTGTTGGGGTTGCTGGCTGCTTGCAGCACGGGAGCTGGCGATCAGCTGGCGGTAGGAGATATTGAGAGCGGACGAGGCCAAGATGGTCTGGCCGCGGAACGGCGAGCATCGGCCACCTAGAGTGGTACCGCTCATAAACGAGACATCAAACAAAACATCCAACAGAAGGGTGCGTGGGGTTCTGGTGAGACCGACAACAGTGCCGCGAGTAGCGATTGGCACCTTACCAGAATCCTGCGCATAGACGATACGGTCGCCAAGCTTGAAATTCTGGTTTCCAAGACGGTGCTCAACATCGGCAGGACGAAGAAGAGCACTGCGAGGGACACCGCGGACCTTCTTGGGCTGCATCTGGGGGTGAGCCAGGCCGAGGTCATCGGCATCCTTTTCGATCAATTCCACAATGTCCGAGTCAAGCTGCTCAGCGTCAAGAGGAACCCTCTCAAAGTTCTTGGCTTCAACAGACTTCAGCCAATCCTTGATTTCCTTGATCTTCAGAAGAGCAGTCTCCTCTGGATAGAAATCAGTTGGCGAATAACGATCACCCTGGGGGTTACGCTGGATACCAGCAATAAAATCTGGGAAGTTGATCATGTACTGCTGGATGAGGTCGATTGCCTTTTGGCTGAACTCCCAGCCAGTCTCTCCACGACGGGAGTATCCAAGGACCTTCTGTTGCTTGGCCTGGAATTTCAAGTTAAGACCGAGGTTTGCACGTGTGCCTTCAACGTCAACGGTGAAAGAAGAGGTAATCTTGGCCAGAACCAAGGGGTTGAGACGAAGGCTGCGGGCAATGGCGTACGAAGGCATGTAAGGGCAAAGTTGCTCAGCCTGTTTGACACGCTCACGTCCAAACTCGGGTTCCCGTCCCTTTACAGCCGCGATCAAGCCGTTGACCTTTCCATCCTCGTGTCCACCAATATGGACAGGTCTTCCGTAGTTGAAGTCACCCAGGAAGAATGCACGGGAACCCTCGGGGAATTCCTCTTCAATGGGAATCGCCTCACGCTCAATGAAACGCGCATCGGGGTTAATCACATCGTCCACAACAACTTGCAAAGCATAGTCGGTTTCCTGGCCGGGAATATCGGCAAATTCCTTGATGGTGGCGCCTGCGTCTGTCTTGGACATACCCTTGAGAAGTTGAATGTGGACCAGGGACTCGACCTCTCCAATAATGATTGCCAGGCGTTTGCTATAAGTATTCTCAATCTTGATCGCCTTCTTCTTCCACTGCTCAATCTGCTGAGGGGTGTGAGGAATCTGAGCGGGGTGTTGTTCGCCGGGAGGAAGAACATAATCGAACAGCTCGTCCGAAACACGAACCACAAGAGCTTCTTGCAAGAATGGGTATCCCACGTGAACACGTTTTCCTAGTTTCGTTTTCGCCAGTTCGACGCTTGACCGACTTCCTGGGTCAAGAAGAGTGACAACCTGGCTTTCATTCCGACTGTCTTGTTGGAATACGCAGACTCCGTGGAAGCCCAACTGCCCATGGTGCGGTAGCGTTTTGATGGTAGGGAAGCCAGCCAGGGCGGCTTCGCCGAGGTGCACACCGTCCATCAAGCCGGCATAGGGCTCCAAGCCATCCATGACAGGAAGGTCGAAGATGTTCTCAATGCAGCGGCAATTTGGAAGATCAGGGAACACACCAGGCATTGAAGAAGGGTAGACGAAGTTCACATCCGGGGAGTAGGTGAACTTCAGGCTGGCGCCAAAGTCGTTTCTTCCCTTCTCATCCGCAGAAAGCAGGTTCTCCTTTGTTTTGAGCGCTGACAAAAGCCGCTTTTCGTCGATGAATGGAATTTTGACCACTGCCTCCCACTCCATCTTTTTGCCGTTCATGTCGAGATCGAAATCACGGGGGTAGAAATCATAAATGGGAGATTCGGGCGAGGTCATCAAGTCCCAATAGGCAGTGGGAACGATCTTCTTACTGCGGTCTGGCAAGACACCCATAAGCTGGTCAAACGGCCGGAAAGGCTGTCCCAGCTGGAACTCCATGTCTGCATCCAGGCCAAATTGCACATCTATTCGACTGTTAGCAACAAATTCAAGCTGAGAGGTCAGTGCAACAAACCGGAGATCATAGGAGCATAGTGATATTGGAAGAACCAAGGCCATGATGCGATTCCACGGTAATAGTAGAACAAGACCCACTGCAATCCTTGCACATAGTTCTGTGCAAGCTTCCTCATCTCCTCCTTGTTGTCAAGGCCCCAACCGAACTTGGAGCGGTAATAGTTATCCTTCCACTCTTGGAACTTGGCGTCATATTGCTTCTCCGCCGCCTCCTGGGCCTCCTCGGGAGTCTTGTCTTGAACCTTAGCCTTTTCGTATTTCCGAATAATTCGCTGGACAGCCATGGATGCTTCTTCGTCCTCATCATCATCGTCATCTCCATCGCTTTGGGACTGAGGTAGCTGAAGTCTCATGAATCGATCGCCATTCTCATTATCGATAGTAGACCAAGACAAACGAAGCTCATCCGCAAGCTGTTCAACGAAGGTGCGGTCACGAGCGGGAAGTGTGGGAGGAAGATCCAGAGGTTCGGAGGCCTTTTCAGACCTGTTCAAAACGTACTTCTTGACCGTCTTAAGAATGTCCTTCTGGACCGGAGTGAGCGTGAGCTCCTTCGGCTTCTGTTGCGTCTCGATAGATCCATTGTTTTTCTTGGATTTGATCCATTGAGCATCGGAGTTTTCGGCCTCGAAAAACCGATGTTCAACGCCACTCAATGCCTGCACAAGCATACCTAGGCGTTTGACGTTGATGACACCTTGCTCGTTGATGTAGCCGCCCATCTTGGGCAGTACCTCCTTGTAGAGCTTAAACATGAGAGCAAGAGCGCCTTCATTAATGTGTAAGTTCGGCAAATTGGGTAGGAAATCGTTTCCAACAAAGAACGCCATGAGGATGAAATCATCAATGACACGCTCCATATCGAAAGGGAAATCCAAAACACCTTCCTGCTCTAGCTCCTGGAATTCCAATTCCAGGTACTCTCGAACCACGCTGAGATGTAGCAAATAAAAGTTTTGATGTTCAAGTTCTTTTCGCTTTTTCGAGACTTGGCGACCAAAGGTCACTTCTTCGCGAAGAAGACAGAAATGAGGATCATGACTGAGAAGTCCCAGCATGATCAGGTCTGCATCGAGACCGTAAAGACAGTGGCGAACGTTGGACTCATAGTTGGGTTGCGCTTTCGAGCAACGAATGTATTCCATGATCTTGTGTTCACCTTCTCCAGGGACCTCATGGCCGGAGAGGACAATCTCCACACCTTGCCAATCAGTGTCCTCCGAGATCTTTTTGTTGATGAAGTACTTAAGTTGCTGTGTCAACTTCTGCATGAACTCCGTACCGGGTGTGATGCAGTTGCTGTCGAAGGCATCTTCCTTGGGCATTTCCAGCCCCTGCTGAATAGCCTTCTCCTTCGCATTCTCCGCATCTAATGCAGTTCGGAATCGACGAGCACGTTGCTGGTTCATCTTCGCACGCGGGGCAACACCATCGACGGCCATGTAGAAAAGTTTCTTGGGCTTAATCTTGCCAAACAAATGCTCAATGTAGTTGAAGATGGCAATGAACATCTGGTCCTCTGTCATTCGGAAGGTTGGGGAATCGCTGTCACTATGCGTACAGTTATGGATAATGCCGTTCATATCGAGGTATAAGCTGTCAAATTCGGGTATCCGGCTTTCTGCGATCAGCATCGAGATGGAGGGATACCGCTCGCTCAACCAGCGGAAGAATTTCGGAACACCCATGATGAAGGTTGAGTCAATTCAAATGATATTTCGTCAGAGGAAACGACCGAAGTCGAGGGTTCGTAAGAGTCGAGGTCGTAAAGGGGTACTCGAGAAGTATTGAAGCAGATATGCGACAAAAGGTGAGATCATCCAGTGACTCAGTAAATCTGGGGCTGGAAGTGCGCCGAGACTGCAGTCCTGAGAGAAAAAAAAAGGATTTGCAGCTGGCAGAAATAGCACGGAGGTAAGAAGGAGGAAAGGGAAAGTAACGCGAAACGGGACAGAATTGACGCTGTTCGAAATGTATGATGCGGCACCAAAAGCTGGCAAGCTGATCCCACGATGCTGTTTCTTGGCTTGACCGCCTCCCAAATAGGACTAGCCTTGGTGCCAAGACCTTTTACGCGGTTGCGCGTTGGGCTTGTTCTCCTTCGCATATCGCAACTCTCTACTCCATATTCTCTTTTTTTCTCGTTTTCGCTCTACACATTTGACAGTTATGGATCCCTATGAAGAGGAGAATGGTGAGCTTCAATACCCTTGCAGGCTATGTGAATTTCAAGTCTGATTAAAGCTCAGGTGCTGGTGACGAGCATGAGAAAGACCAGGATCATGACATGGAGCACACCGACGAGAAGATCATCAATGAAGGTAACTACTCTGGGCGTCACTGCGATCTACTCAATGGCGGCCAGCGCTAATTTTTTCAATGCGCGCAGAGTACAAGACATGGAAGAAGAATGCGCCATTCCTCTATGATATGATCTTGAGCACGGCACTAGAATGGCCAACACTTACAACGCAGTGGCTGCCAGATAAGCAAGAGTATGTTATAAGCTTTGCCTATTGTCGTTGTCAATCTAACAAAGTGCCTCTAGGGTCCCAGACAAGCCCTACTCGACCCATCGTCTTCTTATTGGCACACATACCACTGGCGAAGCCCAGAATTACCTTCAAATCGCACATGTTCAACTCCCTAACCCCAATGCCCCAAATCCCGACGACTACGATGAGGAAAAGGGAGAGATTGGCGGCTATGGTGGAAGTTCCAAGAAGCCTCAGATGGAAATCAAGTTCAACATCGTTCAAAAGATCGACCACAAGGGCGAGGTCAACAAGGCCCGATACCAACCTCAAAATCCCAATATCATTGCGACGATGTGCACAGATGGACGAGTGATGATCTGGGATCGATCGAAGCACCCGAGCTTGCCAACCGGCACTGTGAACCCTCAGATGGAGCTCCTAGGCCACGAAGCCGAAGGCTTTGGGCTAAGCTGGAACCCCCATGTAGCTGGTCATCTTGCGACAGGTAGCGAGGATAAAACTGTCCGACTTTGGTAAGCATTGACTGTGTCAAGGAACGATATTTGGAGCAGCGAACTGACCGAGCTGGACCGCAGGGATATTACCACTTACACCAAGGGTAACAAGGCAGTTCGACCAACCCGTACCTTCACTCACCACTCATCTATCGTCAACGACGTTCAGCACCACCCTCTTCATTCTTCTCTCATCGGAACCGTCTCCGATGACATCACGCTTCAGATCCTTGATACCCGTCAGGATGACTCTACCCGTGCGGCTGCTTCAGCCGTGGGCCAGCATCGCGATGCTATCAACTCCATCTCGTTCAACCCTGCTGCCGAGACCATTTTGGCCACCGGCTCTGCTGACAAGACCATCGGAATCTGGGATCTCCGCAACCTCAAGTCGAAGCTACACTCGCTAGAGGGTCACACCGATTCGGTTCAATCAATCTCGTGGCATCCATTCGAGGAGTCTGTTCTGGCTAGTTCCAGTTACGACCGCAAGATCATGTTCTGGGACCTCAGCCGAGCAGGCGAGGAGCAAACCCCAGAGGATGCCCAGGATGGGCCGCCAGAGCTGTATGTTACACTGTACCTTTATTTAGCTGAACAGTTTGAACCCATTGCTTACTCCATCTTAGGCTATTCATGCACGGTGGACACACCAACCGCATCTCAGACTTCAGCTGGAACCTTAGTGACCCCTGGGTTCTTTGTTCTGCTGCTGAGGACAACTTGCTGCAGGTGTGGAAGGTGGCTGATGCCATTGTGGGTAAGGATCTGGATGATGTCCCCACTGAGGAGCTGGAGGCATGAAATATCAATTAACAAGCAGATGCCGATTTCAACATTTGCCATGCTGGTGTTTCTTCGGTGCAGACGAGTCAAAAGGACAATAATGAGCAACTATTCAAAATACCAATCATTCCATATACAATCATGCTAGACGACAGTAGACTTATCAGTATGGATCATTCTTTTGATATCATAGTCTCTCCTGTATATTAAAATTATTGTTGGTGAGATATTCCTAAGCTGTTTACGTTTCTAACGAAGTGATATAGTTTGATTATGATCCTGCATGATTCCGGTTGATGAAAGAGATGATAGCCGACTGTATCATATTAAATATATAGATGGGCATATGTGGTCACATGATAATCGAGCAAGCGTCTTGACTCGATATATAACCGATTCAAGGATGATTATCGAGCTCAAATAAGTTAACCATACGGAGTATGTAATCTCACAACAAATAGAATAATTAAACAGTGGATAGGTCAAAAGTGATTAAGGAGTCTTATTGGACGCCGATAGGACTACTGTAAGTAGACTGCCCCGACATCTTGTCCGAATGACTCACCACATGTGATTGAAAGTATAACGTTATACATGAACAAAGTGGAGTTACCTATTAGTATAGTAGATCAATAGTAGACTTACACATCGGTGCTATAAAGAGTGAAAGACAACCAGGCTTATATAACTTCCATCAAGCGATCACGTTATGCAAGTGGGACGTGATCTGCATGGCAGATAACGATAGCACCCGGGCGGTGAACAAATTGGGGGGGCAGAGCGGGGGGTAAAAAAGAAAGGTTAGCGTCCCGTGAGGCAATAACTAAGCCAAATTTTCTTCTAGATCTTATTTTCTAATTCTCTGTTTTATCATCGAAGAAGTGATAGAGGATTTATATTTTACATCTTGTCAAACCATATTAACCTACACATCATGGGTTCTGGTTCCCCCCCCACCCTCGAAGCCGTCAGCTATTCCATCCCACATGTTGAACGGAAGCTCTCCTCTGCAGCATTCCACCGGTCACCGGGATGAGCGTGAACGTGAGAGCCTCAATTCTTCCATCCGATCCTCTTTTGAACCCCGAGTTCCCCTCCAATTTGAGGCTCAGACTGGAGCTGTTGCTGGAGCCGTCCCCACTGAGTCCACTTCCACTGGATCAGTGCCAATTCGCAGTGTGGTGCCAGTCCGGTACGTAACTGATGATATGATCTAATCGCCATCCATGGTCTCCAGGGCTATTTGTTGTCCCTTACTAACCAGTCGGACATAGACCTACCCTGAATGACCCTCCCCGTGACCCCCGGGATGAAGGTGGCCCATTGACCCCTCCAGCCACTGCCAGCCGCCCTGCCAGTCCCTATACAATGAACCCACCCATCGATTTCGATGGCCTTAGCTGGCCTTGTAAGTGATGCCAGCTACATGACTGAACATCATACCCGAGAAAATGTCCCTAATCGTTGCAATTAGGTCCCGGAACTAGACAGCGGCTGGAGTCGACCCCGGAGGAGACCGACCAAAGAATTGCGAAGTTGTCCGGAGCTATCCGGACCATTCTTGAATGCATTGGGGAGGACCCCGAGAGAGAAGGCCTTCGTGAGACACCAGAGAGATATGCCAAGGCTATGCTCTACTTCACCAAGGGTTACGAGGAGAACGTTCGGGATCTAGTCAACGGCGCTGTCTTCCACGAAGATCACGACGAGTTGGTCATTGTCAAGGACATCGATGTTTTCTCGCTTTGCGAGCACCACATGGTCCCCTTCACTGGAAAGGTAACAACTCTTATAAGATGTATTGAGTGGTCGTTTCTGACATTTTCTAGATGCACATTGGATACATCCCTGACCGTCGTGTCCTTGGTCTGTCGAAGCTTGCTCGCCTGGCGGAGATGTTCTCTCGCAGACTTCAGGTTCAAGAGCGTTTGACCAAGCAAGTCGCCCTTGCCATCTCGGAAGTCCTCAAGCCTCGTGGAGTTGGTGTCGTTATGGAATCTTCTCACCTTTGCATGGTCATGCGTGGTGTGCAGAAGGTCAGCAGTACCACGACCACCAGCTGTATGCTTGGGTGCATGCGGTCCAGCGCTAAGACCCGAGAGGAGTTCTTGACGCTGCTCAACCGCAGATAACGAACTATGTCCTCAACCCCGTACCTAAAACACGGGATGTTGATTTACGGATTCCGGAGTTTTGGTGATTACCTTTCAACAGGTTTGGGTGCTCTTGTTTTTTTCCTTTCCATGTAAAGCGTGAACTGGTGTTTTTGTCTTGTCTAATGTTTGCATATACTTCGGCACCATCGGCCCTGTTATGTCATGTTCCCTTGTTCTGTGAAATCCCGTTCTTGCAATCTGCTCGGCGATTTCAAGACATGATGGAACAATCTTCTTGATCAACAAAAGAGAGAGAAAAAGAAAATTTACTAACCAACCCTCAAGAGGCCTTTGCTACACAGCCCGTGAGTTTCGACATTGATCTCCATGATGCTGGCAAGGCTGTTTCAACACTTGATTCCTCAATTTTGTATGACTATTCCTACCTAGGAATCATCTTTCCCTTCGTTACCTTTGTATATGTGCTACGTATCAGAGTGAATGTACATTGTTCTTTCCATTGCGTCTTGTCTCGTTAGTTACTCTAGCGGAGGAGGTATTGTGCATCTCCAGAACTATCTCTACGTAACAAGCTAGGAACCAAGATGGAAGGCAACAGCTTCCTGAATGATTTATTGACTGCCTTAGAATGGCTGAGTGGTGCTTGCATGCTAGGGCTATTGTTATTCGCCCTATTATGATTTCAAATACGACAAAACAGCCCGGCCAGGTGCCAATAAGGGGCGACGAGTCAATACGGGCTTCTCGACAAGCCTTATACGTCCCTTCCATTTCGGATAACCAGGTAGAGATATGAAATGTTTACCCGTCTTGAATTTCACTCGTTACGCCTCTCTTCACCTTGCCCCGATCTTTCATCCTGCTTCACAACAATCTACATCATCTCTTCCTCTACAAGCGCATTTCGTTCTCCCAATTCTGCACCTCACAGCGCTTTGTCAACTTGCAGGTGCTGCTGGCCCTATCTGCGGTATCCTCGCCACTTTTCCACAGGGCTAGCCAGTCTGAGATTGCGTATGTCTATTCCTCAGGTCCGATCTTATATCCCTGCTCAATATGCACACGCGATATTTTCCAGCCACGAGACCGCAGTCTGGCGCAAGAATGAGTGACACAAAGTTCTTTGTTTACTATGTTCTTGCTGCTGCTTTGTCCTGCATTAAACAAGGAGCATCTCTGTTAGCCATTGTTGATCAGACTATCATTTGCTTTTTTGATCGAATACTCATACGTTAGTCTGATAGGTCGACCTGCCTGCCATATTTGCCAAAGCCTCCTCCCTCAGAAAAAGACAGCAACAAACAAGAAATTGATCATAATGAGTCGCCATCCAGAGCACTCGATCTTTCAACCCTCCTTGACTCGTTCTGACAGACTCGATGCGCCTAGTTCTGGACAAGAATCACCCGACCTTTCACCTGAATCTTCACTGGAAATCCAGGATACAATACCTTCTCTTCAAGCCCGTAGGCTACTCGAGCCAGGCGAAATTAGCGCTCGTGCAGAGATGGCAGCCATCCCATCCCATGCGAGTCTCGGCTTCAAGTCTGACACGGCTGCTACAGCTCAATCTGTGGAGCCTGAATCCTTTGAAGTCCCGATAATGCTTGACGATCCGACATACTGTGCAGTTCCTCGCCCTGTGACACCAACTGGCCCTAGGTTGATTCGTGTCCCCATGTCCACCAATCCGCTCTCTGTTCCACTTCCCGAGTCTCCTGATTCTGCATCTGTTCCCCTTCCCGAGTCTCTTGTGCCCACATATACCCTACCTGCTGCTACTTTCAACGCGAACCAAACGTCGCTTCCACGTGGAGCCTTGTTTGCGGCACAATTCGGTCGGCCAGATTTAGCATCAACGCAAGTTTCATGGCCTGAAGATGCTGTGCCATATTCTACAGAGCGCATGTTTGAAGCATGGCTCATCCGACAGCAGCTGCTTGTCGGCATTCCGATTGACCAACTCCAGCCAATGACCAATCCTACTCCAGACAGCACGTTCCGAACACCACCATGGATTATTATCACCCCCGATGGCGCTTATATTCGAGCCGTTCCACCTGCGAGATTTCGCGGTGTCATGCAGCCCATGCCTCGTGTTCCTTGGTTGACACCACTCTCCACCGAGTTGAACCAACCAGCTGATTTTCATTCTTCTGCTGCACGAAGTCCTGCTTCTCTGACTGTGATGGCCGATGACGTTTCGACCAATCCCACAACGTCAATTTTACTTGACGTGATCGATTCGGCTCTTGAGAGATCTCCAAATCTGATTCCACTTCTGGAGATGTCTCAGCAGTTGGCGACAGTGGACTTGGCCGATTCTGCTGTAACTGATGACATGAACCTACAAGAAACTCCAGTGCCTCTGGCTGCGCTCTCGACTCCCACTACTCACCCGCGTCTTGGTGCGACGGAAGGGGACGTTCGCTCACCCAACCCTAGTGCCCCATTAACTTCGAATCCGACTCTGGCAGCCCAGTCGATTCTATCTGGCTTATCAGCCGCGAGGAACTTACGTTCAGTACGATCACAAGCACCTTCGCCAGAACTGCCTGTCCCCTCAGTTCCTGGTGTAGTAGGACCACGTATGACATTGCGCACCACTCCGGTCTCGTCTAATGCCAGAGATTTACCACGCCCAGAAGGACTGCACGCCCCTGCACTTGTTCCAGTGGTGTCCTCGGTCCCCTTTTTTACGATCTTAGAACCACGACTGGCAGCAAGTCGGCCCCCGAGATTTCATCTAACTCCTTCGAGAGACCCACGCCCTGAAATGAACCGTTGTCGCTTAGCCAACGTAGCCATATTCTCGGGATCACTCTATGCATACCCCCCACGACCTAGGAGACCACGCCCTGTCCCCATGTATCGATGGCACAGACCATCGCGCAGACCAGTTGAAGGATCAGCTACGGATGGAGACATTCCTCTTCGGGTTACTCGAGTAGATCCCATCGATCCTGATACTCTAAATCGCGAGACTCCTTTCGGAGGTGGTGACGGATCATGTGCACGATTTTCCACATTTGATGCCCTGGACAACAAAATTGGCAAAGATGATGTACTACCTAATGCCGAGAATGCAAAGGCTGCTGAACAACAGAACACTTCTCAGATCAAGTGGCACCGACAGGAGCCGCTGCTCAACCGATTTTCCACCAATCTCTACCGCATGGTGACATGGAACATTGAACATGCTCCTATGGAGCCCCTTTTCCAGGGAGCGTTGCTTGACGATCTGGGTATCAAACTTAATTTTGTGAATGGCATTTTCTGTCGTCTTTGCGACTTCTTGACTCCGATGGTTCATAAAAGAACATGGCCAGAGAGAACAGTGAGAATGTTGTTCAAGCTGTGGGACCTCATGAAGCTTCCTGACAACTATTACCGGCTCTGGATCTTGCAAAACCGCAAACTGTGGCCTGACAAGGATCTTTCTTTGGACAAGGAGTGCATTCCTGAAATCGATATTGTCCTCAAGGACCTTCATTGCAACACTACGTTTGATAGCATTTTGACGACTGCCTGTTTCACAATGCATGACATGAGCATGGTCCTTTGGTTTTTGAATGGCAATGCTCCAGCAACCAGGCTTGAGATGCGAATATTTCTGTTTCAATTACAAGAGACAGACCGCAACCCTCGGGAAGATGAACTTTCTCCGCATCGCCTGGGTTGGTACCGTTGGGAAGAGTCAATCCCCGTTGCCGATCCCTGGACAGCCCAGGAAGCTCGAAGCCTCTTGAGTCGTCAGATTTATTTTGTGATGTATCCCATCTACTATCCTGCTAAATACGCGGACCTCAATCTCGGTTCTTCTCCCGCGAGTCCCGCTCAACGCTGGGGTTTGATCCCAGTTAATATTCTGGTTATGGATGAATTTTTGCGCCGCAAATTGAATGATTTGTCCACTATGGAGCAGTGTGGAGATCTTGAGGAAAATGATGATCTTTCCTGGACGGAGGAAATGCATGAATTTCTGAATGAGCAGCGCTCCTTACACATGCAGATGTCGAGGGATTGACGTTTCTCATGACAATGTGTGCATTGGTGAGAGAAGCCTGGGGGAGGATAGGGGTAATAGTACCTCTCTAACATAGAGAGAAAATACCGAAAAACCAAATAACATCGTGGTGAATGTAAGATTAGAACAATGAACTGAGTGATATTAAACCTCCTTGCCCTAACTTCTAATGTTGATTAGATAACATCACATGACCTTCATGTGACTCCACCTCCAGATCCACCACTTCGACCTCTCCCATGACATCAACCTCCAGCTTCGCTCTAGTTCTTCCATTCAACGTGGTATGCGCCCTAACTGATCATTTGAATTTCCCACATTTTGAAAAATCCCCTTTCTCGATTTGTGATGTGAGCTACTCCCCGGGTGAGGACGGTCGGGGGTTCTTATTCCAGCCCATCCCGCTTGATTGCGGCCCAAGTTCCAGACCACGGTTTTTCCTTTCAACGACCATACCATCCAGCGTTTCTTGCTCTTAGATTACACATTGTGGACTCTGGTCCTAATACTGGATGTCATGCGGTTGAATAAGATGAGGGGCAAGGTTGATTATGGCCAGACCTCTAGTCGGTCTAGCATTTCAACTGGGTGCCGCGTTGGGACTTATATTCCCGGAGTCTACGCGGATGGAAACTGCATTGAAATTTGCCTTGATCGCCTCGTACATTGATCCTCGCCTTTGATACACCTCTCACCGTTCTTGTCGAGTTCCCCTCCCTGGATCAGCATGTGTCAACATGAGAACCGCTTATCCCGCAGAAACGGACGAGATGTCAGATCAGCTCAGTTCACCCCAGGATCGAGATCATATTCGCCCATACTTATTACCTGGCAATTATTATGGTTTAGCCAACACCCAGTTTATCTGTAAATCACGACGACTTTGCATTTCGTTTGCACAACGACTGGAAGTTTGAAAGGCCTGCAACGTTAGGTCCGAGAACTTCACCTCGAGGTGATGTTGGGATCCAGTTTCAACAAAGAAGCGCGACCTTTGGAGTCGACTCTCACTGGTTGGCATCGGGATGACCCCCGGGGCGAATGATTCTACTCAAAGCGACCATTGATTTTGTGGTGTGACCCGCTCATCCAACGGGTTCAGCCAACGGCTCACAACAGCGTGTTTCTTGCAGTTGGCATACAATACGTAGATAGTTCTGTCGGGCAAGCTAGCTCGGTTCCAAGTGGCTTCGCCACGAGCAACTATACAGAGTGCAAATCGGACTTGAGAAAAGAGCTCTGATAGTTGAACTAACCCTGTCAGATCAGCAACTACCCCTTCAGATCACCCAGGGAGCCAGAGGTTGACTTGTTCAGAACCCATGGCAAGACTCCTGATCAGAGAACACCAAATGATGAGCTGCACATGCTACAACAGCTGCATGTCATTTTGTCGAATCAACCTGTAGAGCCACAACGGGACCCATTCCACCCCCGAGGCTATCCAACGCCCATTCAGTGCTCATGGCGAAGTAGTTGCTATGCATGAATGTATTAATAAATTTGCATAGGTGCGTATGCCCCATTCATCTTCTTTGCTCACGTTAATGTTCAGCAGCGCTTGACAACCCGGACTCTTCGGTGCCCGGAAAAACTAGGCTCCCGCTTTCCCCCAACCCCGAAAGACTTCCTGGTAACGCGAACACGGTTGGATCGTCTACGCATTTCATCTTTATCGACAGTTCGAGCCTAATCCCAAGCACCGCCGCTTGTTGCCTTTCTACACTCTCCTTGTTTGAACCAGATGCCGTTGGCGCAGTTCACATGGCTGGGTCCCGTAGGAGTCCGCTGAGAGACCAGTGGAGCGCTGACCAAGACCGCGATCCCCGTGACGGGGACCGGCGCAGAGGTCGAGGGTCAGGCCGTGATCGAGGAAGAGGTAGAGGGCGCGATAGAGGTCGTCCGTATCGGCCTAACAACCGCAATTTCGACCGACCCGGAAGGTCGCCACCGCGCGCGTCCCGCTTTGGCCCTGGCCCTTCTCACGGCCCTGGTGATTTTGCATCAGATCGATCTCCTCCTCGAGCTTCCCCTGGACCTCCCCCATTCAACAATAACCGCCGATCGGATTTGAACCGACCTTCATCAGCTGGTGACTGGAACGGCCCTCCTCCAGGTTCTTTCCACAGAGACCTCCCAAATACTCGACGAGACGAGTCACCTTCAGGACCTCCATCCAAGCGTCAACGAACTCGAAGTCCCTCTCCTCGTGGTCGCCGACCTCCACTTCCTCCACAGTCAAATTACGGCAAGCACAGTGAAGGACGGGACCGAAGTCCTCCATTCAAGAAACGCGGTGAACGTGGTGGGCGGTTCCAGGGCCGTGGTGGTCCCAGGCGAAGATCTCCTCGACGAGGCCGAGATCGTCGTGGGAAAGACCGTCACCGTCCTGATATTCCTCGCCCAGGAACATCCAGATCACCAATCCATGATCGGGGATTTCATCCTTCACCTGGCCGACGATCTAGATCGTTAAGTGGTGATAATTACAGCGACCACGGATCTTACTATCGCGCAAATTCGCGGCATTCAGCACGCTCACACTCCAGGGTCTCTGTAACGTCTCACGCATCAAGACATACCTCTGAAATGAATGCTATTCGCCCAATTCAATCCATTTTAGACGACAGACCTAGGTCTCCATCTCCACCGCGCCCGATCCCGAGTTTCGACCCTGATAACTTCGGTGATTCACGAGATGTATATTCGCATGGGCCGCGTGGTCAAGATACGAGACACAAGCCATATCGTCGACCGTCTCGACCACATCTCGATACGCGACCTTATGGCACATCTCCCCAACATCCAACAGCAGGTTCATACCATGCATCCCCACCACCAGGCTCACCTTACTCTGGACGAGGTGGATGGAACGGACCCCCAGGACATTCTGGATCGGGGTGAGTCAATAACACATGCCTCACGCATGCCCTAAACTCTTCTGACATTTATTCCAGCCAAGCCTCTCCCCATCGACAGGATACTTACTCACAGAATGGACACTCCGGGCATTACTCCCACAATCAAGGTCAATTTAATAGCCCCGGGAATCATCACCCTCAGTCTCCATATGGTGGATCTTATCGCGGTGGCCATCGAGGCAATTTTTCAAACCAAGGCCCCGACCGACGATTTTCAGGCCCTGGTACCCATCCCTATCAATCTGGACACCCACAGCGTGACGCAAAGGGTCACTTCAATAACCTTCAATGGACTGCCCCGGGGGCTAGAGGCCGTGGAGGACAGCATACCCCTCACCAGGCACACAGTCATGGATCACAGACGCCCAATCGACCACGTTCCATAAATGACCCTCAATCCCCCCGAGGCGAGAACGGGGATCATATCCGACCTTCCAGCAGAGATTACCATGGTGATAATCAGACACAGCCCGCACCGGAAAGCCAGAATGGCCCATCTATGCAACAGCCACTCGACGAACCCAATGATTCAACACCGAACAGAGGTGGGAAATTCAGTTTTGCTTTCAAATCCAAGGCTGCACCCTCACCGGCCCCGAAGCCTGTACCTGATCTTGCCCAACGCATGAAAGTTCGCGAGCCGGCTCCTCGTGCACCTGAGCCGCCACAGCCTCGCAACAGGCTGACCAATGGACCGCTACCTAGGTTCAAACCAGAACCAAGACATGATCGCCGTGACCGGGGTGGACGTGATCGCGGCCGGGATCGCAGAGACTTCCGTGAACACAGAGATTTCCGTGACCCGCGAGACCGAAGAGATGACCGCCGATTTGATCAGCGCCGTGACAGACGACCAGGAGACCGCGCTCCTGGACCAGATCGCCGTCGCGAGGCGTCTCCAGCGCCAGCAAGAGAGCCACCCAAGCAGAAGCGAATCCTCACTCGCCCCAAGCTTCCACCTACAATCCCCCAGGAGTTTGCCGAGTCTGATTCTGTTTACTTCCGAAAGCCGGGCAATGAGTCCGTCATTGGCGCTGGTACCTATGGCAAAGTTTTCAAGGGAATTCATGTCTATACCCAGCGGCAAGTCGCACTGAAAAAAATACGAATGGAAGGCGAAAAAGATGGTTTCCCTGTTACAGCGGTGCGAGAGATCAAGTTGCTACAACATCTCCGGAACCACAACGTTGTCAACCTCCTCGAGGTTATGGTCGAAAAGAACGAATGCTTCATGGTCTTTGAATATCTATCTCACGATCTGACTGGTCTGATCAACCACCCTACTTTCTCCCTCACCCACTCCCACAAGAAGGATCTGGCCAAACAGATGTTCGAAGGTCTAAACTACCTCCATCACCGTGGTGTCCTCCACCGAGATATCAAAGCAGCCAACATCCTGATCAGCAATCGGGGGTTGCTGAAGTTTGCCGACTTTGGTCTGGCCCGATTCTTCTCCAAAAGTCGCCAACTCGACTACACCAACCGCGTCATCACCATCTGGTACCGTCCTCCTGAACTTCTTCTTGGTGAGACCCGATACGGCCCAGCCGTCGATGTATGGAGTGCTGCATGCGTCTGCATGGAGATGTTCACCAAAAAGGCTGTGTTCCCTGGCGAAGGCGGCGAACTCAGCCAGATGGACAAACTCTACAACCTTTTGGGTACTCCCAGTAAGGCTGAATGGCCAGATCTCGTAGAGATGCCATGGTTCCACCTCATGCGGCCAGCCGAGCGCAAGAAGCGCATCTTCGAGAATGTCTACCGTGATGTACTGACATCCGGTGCGATGGACCTCATCTCTTCCGTCTTTCACTATGATCCCGCTAAGCGGCCAAGCGCCGAAGAAGTCCTCCAACATCCTTACTTCCTATCGGAGGAACCAACCCCTCACCCACCCATCGAGTATGTATTCCCAATCCCGGTCTTTTTGATATATTTCCTAATTTCGTTTCATAGATTGGAGCATGTCGAAGGAGACTGGCACGAGTTCGAATCCAAGGCTCTCCGCAAGGAAGCTCGCCGGATGGAAATGCAGAACCAAAAGGACCGCGACAAACGCAAGACTGAAGCCTCGGTGACGAGCAGTGATCGGGACCCCAAGCGCACGAAACAGGACACCAGTGGTCATGGTTCGTCGCACGGGTGATGAACAATATCTTTTTTAATGTTTTCTTATTTTTTTGCTTTTGAAATGCATCGGACCCGGCAGGTGGAATGGCTTGCATTTACGTTTATGGGATTCACTATTCGGGACATGGGCTTACTTGTTACTTATTGCCCATTGAGCATAAATCTTCCAATTTACAATTGACTTCCAACGGTCTTCATATTCAGTGCACGGGACGGTAGATGTATTGCCCCAATCCACTAGCATTACAGCCGAGGTGACCGCAAAGCTCCAGACTAACCGCTGACAGGGGTTGACTGTGGGGAAACCTAAGTAAGCTGCATGAAGTTAGTCTGGATTCTTCCAATCGACCATAGCTGCATGGGCATATTTCCGACAATCAGACTTTGCCTGTTTACCGCACGCTCAACCAGCCCAGGCCGTGAAGCCAGGTGTATAAAAGGCGGTTGAGACCTCGGATTACCAGAGAGCTCGAGATTTATCTTCATATAGAAAAGAGACATTGGATTGGACTATCTGCACGTACTGGAATAGAAGAAAACAAACAATCATAAGAGAAAACAGTCAAGTGTGCCGTCAATCAGGTCATCAACGTGTCATGGGTAGCTATAAAGCCCTCGTGATGATGGTTTTAGATGCGATCATTTAATCTCGACACACACATCGGAAACGCCAGAGCTGTAAAAGGATGAGTCAACAGCGTTGATTTGAGTTGGTGGTCTTGGAGAAGAAAAGAAGAAAAGAAGTTGTTCGCGCGAAGAAAAAGGGAAAAAAGGAAAAAAGACGGTGCGGGCGCAGGCGAAGTGGGCTGTGATTGGCCGGGAGCTGCCCAGGTCGAGTCTCCGATTCATCGACACTTTTCCCTCCTTGCACTCACAACTACACCTACTCACTCCCTCTACTTCTCTTTCTCTGTCTCTTTTTTAAACTCTCTTTCTGTATTTCCTATCTTTCCTCGATACCCCGACCTTTTACGCATTCTCACCCAAGCCTCTTTTTCCCGAATTCCTGCGCAGAATTATCCGAGATCCGAGCCTATACCATACCCTACGTCACTAGGATTATTAGCGCGGGCGTCTCATCTTGGTATAACGGTTATCTCGGGCTCTCTTCTCTCCGCCTGATGACCGCTCGTGGCTCGGGCAGTCTTCTCACCCGCCGCGATGGATAATGCAAACCTGTGGACACGTCGGGCAAAGTAAGTGCCCCTCCTCCGCCGGGCTGGAGGAAACATGGTCACTGACCCGAGCTTCTTTTCTTGCCCACTCTACAGTTCCTCCAAGTTGTCACTGTCAATGTCCGGTACGGAGGCCAAGGACGGAGGCGCTCGGGTTGAAATGCCCCGCGCATCGAAACGCTTCGGCCCCGACAGCTCGCATGGCCGCTCAAATCCCTTTAACGCAATATCCCCTCTATCCGGCGGCGTTTCCTCGCCATCTACCAATGCCTCCTCTGCATTTGGCCTCGGATCTGGCGCATTCGCCTCATTCGGTGCCCCCAAGACCCCCGGTACCGGCGAACGCCGTGAGATCTTGGATCATGACGAAGCTCTACGACAAAAGGTTTTCGACGCCTCTGTCTCTGCTCCTGGTGAGCACCCCTTGAAGTCGACATGGATTGTCTGGTACCGCCCTCCTACTCCCAAATACTCCGATTACGAGAAGTCCACTGTCCCGCTTGCTTCCATATCCTCGGTAGAAAGTTTCTGGGCTGTCTACTCTCACCTGAAGCGCCCATCACTTCTTCCGACCGTTTCCGACTACCATATCTTTAAGAAGGGTATCCGTCCTGTTTGGGAGGATGAGGCCAATAAGCGGGGTGGCAAGTGGATTGTGCGTTTTAAGAAGGGTGTTTCTGACCGCTACTGGGAGGATCTGCTCTTGGCTATGGTTGGTGATCAATTTGCAGAGGCCGGAGACGAAGTCTGTGGTGCTGTGCTGAGTGTTCGGGGCGGTGAGGATGTGCTAAGTGTCTGGACGAGAATCGACGGTGGGCGCAACATCAAGATCAGGTAAGACCCACTGAATCCGGTAATTCCAAGTGCAGATACCTAACTTATGACGCAGAGAAACGATCAAGCGCCTCCTAGCATTCCCCACAGACACCAACATCATCTGGAAGAGCCACGACGACAGCATTGCGCAGCGCTCCGCCATTGACCAAGCCCGCCAAGACAAGACCACTACCGGTCCTGTTCACCAAGAACGGCGGCGCGCCGGCACTGACGACTCTGACAAAGTCAAGGCTGTGGCCCTGTGAATGGATCTGAGATTCCAGCCTGGCCTTGGGCCCTGTATAGTAAACCCGAAAAAAAAACCTTCATTCACGAATCATTGGGACGCGTTTGGGTCTTAGGGCGGTGGGGCATCGAGGCGAACTCAGCGGTTTGATTTGATTTATGTCTTGAGTGAACTCATCTGATATATGCTTCTTCTTTTTGTTTTGCCGAGCTTATGCGTGATGTTTCCCTTTTTTGTATGCAACATGAATGCAGCGTCCGCTGCTAATTCTTTTCTCACCCGAGAGTAACTTGTGTTTTGTCTTGGATTCTTTGTAAACTGCATGGTGGGATCTTCTCTTGTTGCTTCTTTGGTCCAGCGCTGGCGAAGTTGGGGCACATTCCAATGAATAGTGCATTGTCGTGCCATATATCTCGTACACCTTTGAGTTCCTAAGTTGCCAAGTTCCTAGGTTCCTTAAGTTCGCTTCTATGTTGTATACTTCGTATACTTCGGGCTGTGCCAAGTCCGATATAAATGTGGCGCCTGAATCCTCAGGCGACAATAAACTTCTCACCGCCCTGGTCATGACGATGCGGCGTGCTTTGGTCCCAGGAATGAAAGAAGAAGAAAAAATTGATAACGGGATCACCTCAAGTAGTCTGGGACCTGCGCAATGCAGAGTGCCATGATCCGGTGGTTGTCTTGATGCCTTGGTTTGAAACCCTATCCGACATCGTTACTGCTCTGTCGCCGCGCCGACAGCCCCAAGACAAACGGTCTGCAGTCCAGCGTGCACCAACCACGACCCCTCCCCCTCGCTCTCGACGGGGTCAACCTTATCCCAACCCCTTCACCTTCGGCTCCGGTGACGACAACTCTCCTGGCGAAGTGGCCGCCGGTGGACACTTTGATTCCTCTACCCATCCAGAAGTGCGTATCCACCCGTCTCGCCAGTGTTTGCTTTTGCGGCAGGTTTCCCTTTTGAGATGCGAACAAGCGCCAAAGCACATCGTTGCACAGCGCCAGCTCCCATTTTTCCTTTCAGAGCGACATCTGTTGCTTATCATCCGTATCCTTGACCCGCTATGTGGAGCTTGAAACTAATATAATCTACGCAGTCGCCTCATAGTTATGTCGATACGTCCCCCTCTCAATCCCGATCCCCAAATTCACGCGAGGACCTTCGCGAACGGACCTCGCAGCCTTTTTTAGAGCTCGACCCCTGGTTAGATCATATTCCCCACATCGCATACCGCCGCCAGACAAAGACTTACAGACCTACCCTTTCCTAGGTCGGGCCTTTCGCCGCAGATGGTGAACAAGGATCGGCGGGCCGATTCCCAAGATCGCAAAGATGAGGCCCGCTTATTTGGAGGGAGATGGAATGGGTACGTCGTGCAATTGAGCGATGTGCGAGTTAGAATCTTGGACCTAACGGACCGTGCTTTATAGAGACCCCCAGAACGGAGTCAGGATCACGCCTGGGCACACAATACAGAAGAAACCAAAGCCGGGGGTGAGATTCTATTCGTCATATTCGTTTGACCTTTTTTGTCTGATGAGTTACTTGCAGGTTGGCTTAGGGTTCTCCCCAATGGACAATATCTCGGGCTCGCACATCGGACGAACGAGTGGACCTGTACGCGCTCAAGGCAAATCAGCTCCGAGGAAAGTAAACAAGCAGACTTCGGCCGCGAAGCAATTGTCTCATCTGGATGATGCGTTCGAGGAATCAAATCGGCCAAATAAGAGGCGACGACAAAGTGATCCGGCTGACAATGTCAATGATAATATGAGCGCAACCCACTCGATCAGAAATTGCTCACCTCGGACTTCGCCACTCGTTCCTTCCAAATCCAAGGACAAGTATCGTCTAACAGGCATTGGCGAGTTCCAAGATCTGGAGAATATGTTGTCGCCTTCTTCTCATCGCACTCGAGATGCTCGCGGCTCTTCTGGGGTATCTCAACTTGAGAAATTTACGGAAACCGCAGCTCAACAGCGTCGCAGCCGGTTTGAGGCGCTCGATTCCCTTACGAAAGACAAAAGCCACACAAATAGGACTGCCAAACCACGTCTGTCAGACGAAACTGAGGGCTCGATGAAGCCCAGAAATCAATCTACGGTTTTTTTGGAGACTGATCGTCGGTCTGATCCCGATAGTCCTGACGAGCTCCAGGGTGATGTTACTACTGGTCCACTAGCAAAGTACTCGGCGGACAAGATCCGTTGCATGGATACACGCAATCAAAAAGCCCAGGCTGAAATTCTTGGCCGAAAGCGCTCACCAACCGACATTCGAACAACTGACTTTGCGGGATCACCACCGGAAGGACCGAAGCGGACAAAACGCTCCCACAAGAACACTGGTGATTCTATTCCATTGAAGACAAGTTTCTTCCGCATGGGTCAATTTAGCAAAACTTTCACAAGAGAGAAAAATGCTATCTTATACCTGGCACCGGATAGACTTGACATCCCGGGAGATCTACTCGACGGCGGCAACAGCATTGATATTCCTTTCAGACATGTCAGCCAGGTCCTCGTGGCCGGGGACCTGGGCTGGAAAATCAGAATGAAACTTTTACAGGGTTCTACTGGGGTTGGCCAAATACTCGACATTGAATTTCCGACTCAATACCAGAAAACTGCTTTGGTTAGGGTTTTGCAAAATGCTCATGTCAACGTTCTTGAAAAAGACATGTATGTTTTCATTTCAAGACTTTTTCAAGACTTCTTCACGTATCTCTGCTGACAGGTTAATAGCAAATGGATGAACAAGGCGTTTGCAAGACACGAAAAGGATATGGCACAATCTAAAACTCTGCCCAGGAGTACGGGTATCGATGATCCCAACGAAAGTCTCAGCCCTGTGCGCAAGGTGACTTCCACTCCGCGACGAAAGATCTCGGACTATTTGCAGGATGCAAATGGCGAGTTTGGGGATGAGTCATTGCTTGAAGAGAAGCGCATAACGAAAGCATCTTTGGCCTGCACAGATGGTAATTTCGAGACCAAACAATCGCCGAAAGACAAACAAGATCACACTGATGCCGATGCCGATGCCGATGCCGGAGTCGAGATTCCCGTGAAACCCTTCAGGGCTTTCAAGGAAACACCTGAACGCGAAACCCGATCTTCAAGGCGGCGTGCGAAAAAGAAAAGCCCAGTTGGAAGTGGAAGTGAAGATTCCGACAGGGAAGCTGCGTACCTACAAAATGATACTGGTCGTGACAAGTGGAAGAAGTCGTTGATTTATCCCCGGATTGGAAAGAAAAAAGCTGAGGTCAATCTTGATGACCGTGACCGGCTCCGTCCCGACGAGTTCCTAAACGACAACCTTATTGCGTTTTACATGCGGTTCATTCAAGATCATCTTGAGCGTATGAACAAGAAAGCGGCCGAGCGGGTCTACTTCTTTAATTCTTACTTTTTTGCAACACTCACAAACACTGCTCGTGGCGAGCGTGGAGTCAACTATGCTGGCGTGGAGAAGTGGACTCGCGCTGTTGATCTTTTCAGCTACGACTATGTTGTTGTTCCAATCAATGAGAATGCTCATTGGTATGTTGCTATCATCTGCAACTTGCCAAGCCTGGATCTTGGGCCCGCGGAGCCTGCAGAAGTGGCCCAGACAACGACACGCAGCACTGAATCCTCAGAGCACGATAAGGAGGCGGAAGAAATACGCGAAACTCCCGAACCGGAACGTGCATCCGTGCCGGAGTCTGAGGCTACCTCTGACACATCACCCAAACCGGCATCCAAGGGGAGTTCGAAGGAGACTGAAACTCGGAAGTCATTTTCCCACCTTTCGCTTGGTAATAAACCAGATGGCCAGCAAGATGCCTCCGACTGGTGTCCGGACTCAGACGAAACCCCTACTGCCCCAGTGACCAAGGTTTTGGCTCCCTCACCTCAGAAGCTCACAGGTGACCATGACCAGAGCAAGGCATCAAAGCCAGCAGTTAAGCCCGAGAAGAAGACACGGAAAGGACCCAGGCTAAGCCCCGAGCAAACCTCCATCATTACATTTGATTCTCTCGGCATCAGCCGCGCCACCACTGTCAGAATGCTCAAGGATTACATTTGTCGCGAAGCAACAGCTAAGCGTGCCGTGGACATTGACCAAAAGGCAATCAAGGGCATGTGTGCTCGTCAAATACCTCTCCAACCAAACTTTTCTGACTGCGGCCTTTATCTGCTCGCCTATCTGGAGAAATTCGTCCAGAACCCTGATGTCTTTGTCACGAAAACACTCGGACGTAATATGGATCCCGATCTTGACTTTCCTCCTTTGGGCTCGGGTCTACTCCGTCGACGACTTCGCGATTTCCTGGATGAGCTTTACGACGAACAAAGAAAAGCCAACAAACAAAAGGCTGAACCTGAACAGGTCATGGCGGATCGACAACCAATCTCTTTCCTTTTAGGCCCACCAGAACCCGTCCAAGACAAGGCTGAAGTGGAGGAGGAGATACCAGAATCACAGCCTCAACAACAACCCAAGAAGCCAAAGGAATCAAATCAACACAAGGACTTGGTAACAGTGGAAATCACACCACGCAAATCCCAAAGAATCGAAGATCAGGAGAGCGAGGACTCAATTCTGGACCAGGTACAGATGGTCCCTCTCACACGACCAACCCCCACAACACCTACATCCAAACACCTCAAACCCCCAAGGGAGCAAAGTGCCCCCTCTTCGCCTGCCAAGGAAGAGCCGATCATTCAAGTTCCTGATAGCCAAGAAGAACATCCAGTTCCAGGTACACCTCCACGAAAGATAGAGGAGCGGGTGCGACGGAGTCCACGGGGCCCTTTGCGTAAAGAATAGATATGCTTATTTTCATTCCTCATTTAGTAGTGTTTTATCTATTGAATACAGTTTCCGGCCGGGTACAGACTGTAGCTGGTTACCATATGCATATGCAGGCACATTTATAATTCTTCTTACTCTCAGTTGAGTTTGGGTTCAATGTCATATTGTATTAAGTACTATTTGAGATATCATATTCTGTATTTCAGTATAATCCATATCTGCATATGTTTTCTAGTTCTACTTCTAGACATCTCTCAACTTCCATTCTATACCTCTACCACTCGCTCTCATCAGCACCCACCCACCAAGCCAGATTTTCCTTCTTAAACGTCTCGAAATCCCACTCGGTTTCCTCAAGCCGATCCATACCAGCAATCCACTCATAGGTGGTAGCTTCCACTTCCTCCCCTCCAGACGAAGACGTGTTACCAGCACTAGCCGCATTAAGAGCCTCTTTCAAATGCTCTTCGTCACCATTATTGGAAGTAACTTTCGTCTTTCCGGGTTGAACTTCGTCACCTTTGCCCATAGGCAAAGTTCGCACGGTGACTTTTCGATGCGTGTATTCGGACCCTTCAAATTTGTCCAGACGGTAGATATCACCGTCTGTCAAGCCTGTCACGAGGATTCCTAGGACAGAGCTTTGACTTCCTGTCTTTGCATCTGTGTTGGCCACTCGTACAATTCCTGGGTAAGAGACACCCCGCACGCGATGGCGTCGGTAGCCGTGTAGAATTGCAGGCTGGAAGCTTAGCATGGCTTTTTGCCAGGGCTCTGGGTCTGCTTGGCCGTGGATCACTCGGTGGAGGATCTGTGGGGCCATAAGGGTACCTGTATTCTTGGTGTTAGTCTCTTTTATATTTGACTCGGCGGTATTTGGGTCTTGCCGTAGAAGAAGAGAGCGTTATCTCCCATTTTGAGGTGTCGGGGTTGCTTGAGTTGGGGTGTTGGTGATATGCAATTGATTATACGATGACTTGAGAAAAGAGAAGATCAGCAGTCAGTCAAAAAAAGAGAAGAACAAGAAGAAGAAGAAAGGAGGAAGTGAGAAAACATGGAGAGGGGAGCAGTGACGGTATAGATCTAGTTCCTTATCGATAAGCACAAACATGCCCAGCTGGCTTCATCCGCCCTTCTCTTCCTTCATCAACAATGCATTCGTCCTTGAACCGCGTACAGTCCGTCTTCGGATTCTTCACCACTGTCGCCCTGGTGGTGAGCGCACTGGCCGCAGTGTCAGTGCTGTTCTTCCCAGCAGATGCCACCACGGCCGCAGTAGAGCTGAAGAACGTCCAGGTGTAAGTTCACGTCTCGACCTCCAATCCCCTCTCTATACCCATATACACCGATTCGACTACAAGAGAAAAGAAAATAGATGAGCCATTTGCTAATGTCCGAGATTTGAGGACAACAGCGTCAAAGGCAGACCACACTACTACTCCACCAAACGCGAAGAATACGCCCAGCTCCGTTTCGACCTAGACGCAGACCTAAGCCCCCTCTTCAACTGGAACACAAAACAACTCTTCGTGTATGTCTACGCCAGCTATTCCTCCTCCGACAAGCCCAATAGCCAAGTCCGCAACTCCGAAGCCATTATCTGGGACACGATCATCGAAGCCGCGCCCTCGCCCTATTCTTGGGAAATCGTGAAAGACGAGATCCTGTCCCGCGTGCCGGAACAGATTGCTTCAGCGGCAGCTCCTGCAAAGAGGCGCATTAAGAAGCGCGCTGCTGCCGAGAAGGCTGCTTTGAAGAAGGCCGCCGCTGCGAAGAAGCAAAAGAAGAATGACGAGCCTCTGGCGCCTGGTGTTCTTAGGTTGCGTGGTCAGAAAGGAAAATATCAGATTAGTGATATCACTGGGAGACTTGCAGAGCGTCAGAATGTGACGCTGCATGTTGGATGGAATGTTCAGCCTTGGGTTGGAGCTTTGTGGTGGGCTCCTGCTACCGGTGCTGTGCCGCGGACTGAAGGGACTATTGTTCCCAGCGGGCCTTTTGATTTCCCCGAGTTGAAGGGCAATAAGAAGGCTGCCACTGAGGCCAAGGCCAAGGAGGCGAGTTCATAGGCGGTTGATTTCTGCTTCTATTTACTTTTAGATGTATCTTGACGTATTATGTCTGGCCTAACCTCGGCATCTACTGCATTTGAAAAAAGAGATACGTGGAATATCAGATCAAGTCATTAAGAATCAAGGTTGGTCCTTGTTATTTCATTGCTTGTACGAGAGGGACAGTCGCTCTCGAAAAAGAACAAGATCGGACGCTATGAAGGAAACCTAGTAATGATGAAACTAATTCCGCTGACAAAATTCATAAAGAGCGGTTTCGCTGTCAAGAGAGCTCAACAACGGGTCTCGGGCTGTTGCAGAAAATCAGATAGTACCGTAGCCCCCCTGGGCAGGGGGAGGGGCATGCATAGGAGGATGCGCGTGATGACCTCCATTCTGGATGCGAGTGGAGTAGACACCCGGGGCTGGTTGCTGAGCAGCACGAGTTAGGGGATCGCGGTTGCGACGATTGTAGTAGACGTATTCTAGGTAGAAGGCATGGATGTGACCAGGGAAGTAGCTGTCATAAGTCGCCGGTTAGTTTTGAAATCTGGCGGAGTTGGTTTCAGTTGGGAATATACTCACCCAAGAATAGTGAGAAGGACGTTGATCCAGAAGTCCGCGCCGCAACCTGAGATGAGGAAAACTCCCAGAGGAGGAACTGGTGGTTGTTAGTATATGAACTCTTGCCATTCTTGCCATTTCTGTCGCGAAGGCTGGCAAAAAAATTGACCATGTCGGGTCTTTTTTTCCAGCAGTGATTTTAGGCAAAAGCACACATAAATCGCGGATCACTTACTGAACAATGTGATGATGATCAAACAGAGCATCGAACAAGTGCCTGCCATGGTTTGGTTGCTTGTAGGTTGTGTTTATTGAGAGCTGGAGGTTCGCTTGAACTGGGTAGTAGCGAGGAAACTGAGGAGGAGTATTGCGAAGAGGAGAAGGAAGATATAAATAGGGATGTTGTCATCGGCAGGGGAATTAATGCGTTTCATGATCAACGGTAGGGCTGAGAGTTGGCTGAAGCAGTTCATTCGCTGCCCAAGTCCACCCGTGGTGACGCTGACGTCATGCCGTGTGGACGCCACGGCTGTGGCGAGTGGCATGTGGCGGTGCGGGCAGGACAGCAGGGGAGTAGATAGGACAAAGTACGGGTGCTGAAAGTACTGGAGATACTGGGATCTCGCCTCCTCGTCACACTGCATCGATCGCCGCTCGAGTGGTAACCTGTTCATTCTTGTTGCCAAGCTTTGAGATCTGCAGGAAGGCATCCACGCCATACCCCTCTAGGCTATGCAGCTCGAGACTGCCCGCCCAGTACTCAGCATATACTCGACTCATGGGTAAGCCCATGCCCAGCCGGAGATCAGGTGGCCGTGACGTCAGGGTGTCTAGGGATCCTTCGTGGTATGATTCCCGGTCGGCCTGTTTGCGCTCGTGTGACACCTGCAGCTCTTGCATTGTAGCCGCCATGGCAGGGACTCGGCCGAGATTTTCCAGCCTGGACTGGGTGCGAGGTCCTTTGCTGAAAGACCACAGGTATGGGAGAATCTCTCGTGGGATTCCACCGCCCTGGTCTGAAATGCGCATAATTACATGCTGCGGAGTCTCGCACACGAGCACTTCAATGGGAGGCGGGGGCTGTGATAAATGCTGATATTTCTCCATGACTGCTTGCACAGAGTTGCGAAGAAGCTCTCCGATGATATATTCCAGATGACTAAGAATATATGGGAAAGTAGCGTCCACATGGCCTTGGACGGTGATAGCAGGTATCTGGGTCGACTCTGTGCTCTTGCACATCAGATCTTGTGCAACCTTTCCACATCGTTCGACCACCTCCTTTGCCTTGCATTTGAGGAAGACTTCCCCCACGAAATCTGCGTTCATATCGGTTCGATCGTGGGAATCCGGGAAATGCCAGGGCGAGTTGAAGGTCTCGGTCAGAGCTAGATGTTGCTCAGCGATGACTCGGCGGGAGATTCTCTATCATCATTCAATCGGGTCAGTTCAATCGCAACTTGAGCCAGGATCATATGCACATACCGCTCGCAAAAGCGTGTTCATCAATCTATCCATCTCATCTGCGGGGGCGAGATTGCGGCACTCCAACACGCCCATAGCCAGGTTGGGGATCGCGACCAAATGCTCCCTGAGCATCCCCTTGAGTATATCACAGAATCGATCATTATCCTCGAGACTCCGAATTTCAGGCACGACCCGAACCGTCTCGAACGCTTTGTAGTACAACTCATACACCAGGGTGAGATGCGGGTTGGCAACCACCACATAGGGCAGCTGTTGGATATCTCGCAGGCGATGGGCAAGGCTATTCCACCACTCCAGTCAGCTTCTACTTGTATGTTCTTGTCTTTCCCACGACATACCGAGTTGGTAGCTCCGTCCGCACGTAGTTCGCCGAGCTAATGAGGCGTGGTTCGGTCAAGGTACGACCAAAAAAGGTCAACTGGCGCAGACTGATGGGGCGAATAGCTCGCTCCACCCACCTATTCAACCCAATAACGTCAGTATTGCTTCAGGGACAGTATCCTGAGAAGGTATTGGGTCATGCGTACTCATCGACAGCAGAAACTGGGCGCCAGGGAGGTGGGCTGTGAGCTCCAGAGTAGTATCGTTTTGGTAGAGACTGGAATGCATTCCAGCTCCGAGCTGAGTACCTCGACCGCATTGTGCTCCATGCAAAAGAGTCTCTACAAGAGATCTATCGCATCTCCAGAGTTTGGGGTCTCGGGCGGTGAGGCAATCCTGCATGTGACATGCCACACGATGGGCATTTCTGCTTTGGTGTTTGTTTTGCATGCGATTTTCGGTGTAAGCTGATATATTCTACTCTATCGAGCTATATTTCACTATGCTGCGCTGCTTTTGTGTGGCATTTGGACTCATTGACTGGAGTCCACGGGCGTCGTTATTAGCCTCGGAACAGAAGCTGCGTGGGCTTGAGCTAGCCGATGATCTGAGGGGAATTTGACGTTTGCACAAGATCAAAATGCACAAGGATTCTTTAATATTAGTATTACATCTACAGTAGTTTTTGTCAAGTTGGGCGTTTCAGAGAACGAGAATTAGGGCTTTGCTATACATGCCTTGATTTGAAGGGTCCACTGAGACTCTCTGATCGTCAAGACTTTTATGACTTGCCTATATCTCTATCTCATAAGGTACTAGTCATATATTTTTCATAATAGTATTGATCGTAATTGAAAACTTGGTCTCCAAGATAATTATAGAATTCCTACCAATAATCCTGCAAGCTCGCTCTCTCTTTGTATAAGAAACAAAGGTCCACTGATACTGCCGAGTCCTCGCTCCGCCACCGTTAGCTCCGGCTCTTATTAGTTCTGCAGGTTCAGCATCCTCCACCACTCTGTACGATTCTTCCTTTCTTCTTTACTTCTCCTCCACATCCCTCCATTCAATCTGACTGGTCGGGGAGCCGCTTTCCGCGATGGAAAACGTGAGCGACCGTGCCCCTCAGTGTCGTCATTGCGCTAATCCGCTAACCCTGCCAACAGCTCGCGGAGAACGACATGCTTGTCGACGACTATGAGCAGTATCCCGCCGAAAAGACCGATGTCGTCGTCGTGTCTCGGTCTGCCTCCGACGAGCCCGACTCGAAGCCAAATGCCGATGACCGTACGTTCTTGTGTTGTCTCCCCTTCCCGAGTCAAAAGCCAAACATGAAGCGAGTGTGTGTCTGGTTGGGGAACCAAGTGACCGAGGGACGCTAATATGAGAGCCCTGGATTACTTTGTTCTCGTTTGACTTGTTTGGTTGCACTGCGAATCGACTGGCTAGCTAACGAGGAGTTTGTGCAAATAGATGCGGCAATGATGGCCCGGGTGCTGCCCAAGAATACCGATTTCGAAGTGCAAGCGGAGGTCTACAACACATGGCGTTTGTCCGATTGGCGAAAGATGGAAAAGAAATCGCACGGTCCTGTCTTTCAGTGTGGTGGTTCACCTTGGTGGGTGCTTGAAATTTCATGGCCGGAGAGGCTCTACACCGACTTTGGCTCTGACTCGTGAATAGGCGCATTCTGTTCTTCCCCTACGGTAACCACGCCGAACACGCCTCGTTTTACCTCGAACATGCGTGGGAAGGGGAGCCCCCGGAGGGCTGGTACGCCTGCGTGCAATTCGCTCTCGTTCTCTCGAATGTAAACGATCCTTCGATTTATGTGCATCACGGTAAAAAATTCTGAATCCCGTGGAATCGGTTAGCAAGTCTAACATTAACTTAGTTGCAACCCACCGTTTCACCGCCGAGGAAGGTGACTGGGGTTTCACCAGATTCCACGATCTCCGAGGTCTGTTCGCCGATGCATGGGAAGGCAAATCTGTCCCGCTGGTCCAGGACGATGAGGCCAATGTTACGGCCTATGTTCGTGTGGTGAAAGATCCCACGGGTGTTCTGTGGCACAGCTTCCAGAAGTGCGTTTTTTTTATACAGGAACAGTACGCAACACTAGAGGCTGACCGTTTCTTAGTTACGACTCAAAGAAGGAAACTGGAATGGTTGGCTTGAGGAACCAGGGTGCTACCTGCTATCTCAACTCACTCTTACAGTCGCTTTACTTCACAAATGCTTTCCGCAAGGTAAAAATGCTTTACTGATCTCGAATGCGCTTACGAAATCTAACCAGTCTATAGGCCGCTTATCAAATACCAACTGACCAGGAAGCGTCGCGGGAGAACAGTGCCTGGGCTCTTCAGAGGTTGTTCTACAACTTGCAGACCAGTGACTCTGCAGTTTCAACTACCGAGCTTACGGCATCTTTCGGTTGGCAATCTAGCCAGATATTTGAGCAGCAAGATGTACAGGAGCTCTCGCGAAAGCTCATGGAGCGATTAGAGCACAGAATGAAGGGTACCGTTGCCGAGAAGGTTCTGCCGGATCTATTCGTGGGAAAGACAAAAACTTACATCTCGTGCATTAACGTCGACTATGAGTCTTCTCGTGTGGAGGACTTTTGGGACATTCAACTAAACGTTCGAGGCAACAAGACCCTAGACGACAGCTTCAGAGACTATATTCAGGTTGAGACTCTCGAAGGAGAGAACAAGTACGAAGCCGGCCAGCCGTACGGCCTACAAGACGCTAAGAAGGGTGTCATATTTGAAAGCTTCCCGCCCGTTTTGCACCTCCACCTGAAGCGTTTCGAGTATGACCTCAACTTGGATATGATGGCCAAGGTCAATGATTATCATACTTTCCCCATGGAATTCGATGCCGCTCCTTATCTTTCAGAGGGCGCGGACAAATCCGAGTCTTGGGTTTATCAATTGCACGGAGTCCTCGTCCACAGTGGTAATCTAGATGCCGGACATTACTATGCTTTCCTTAAGCCTGGCAAGGATAGCCACTGGTACCGCTTCGATGATGATCGAGTCAACCGCGCTACCGACAAGGAAGTCCTGGATGAGAATTACGGAGACTCCCAGCAGCGCACCAATGGAGCGACTGGAAGTCGGTCTGCCATTCGCACAAACAACGCTTATATGTTGGTGTACGTCCGCAAGACAAGACAGGACGATGTTTTCTTCCCGGTCACAAAGGACGATGTGCCCGATCACATTGAAAAGCGTCTATCCGAGGACCGCGTGGAGATGGCGCGTCGCAAGAAGGAGAGAGAGGAGGCGCACCTTTACATGAACGTCGGTGTAGTGACCGAAGACACTTTCAAATCACACCATGGTTTTGATCTGACCAGCCCAGACTTGCCCGCCGAAGACCCAGCAGTTCCCAAGCAGTACCGCACTCTTCGCGCCAAGAAGGTGAAAGATTTTGCGCAGGAAATTGCAGAGGAACGGGGTCTTAAGCCAGAATCAATCCGGTTCTGGGTCATGGTCAACCGCCAAAACAAGACCACCCGCCCTGACCAGGTAATTCGTGACCCAGAGCTGACTCTTGAAGAGGCATACAACAAGCTCGGTACTAAGGGCAACCTCTTCCGCTTGTGGATGGAGGTCGCATCGACTTCCGCAGATGAAAAGGCGTGGTCCGACCCCGAATGCAACCTGATCTTCCTGAAGAACTTCGATGTGGTTACCCAAACTTTGTCTGGTGTGGGCTCTGTATATGT